GAACACAAAGCTGAGGGTCTAACTTACGTATGTACAAAGCTTCCAACACGGCAAGATGTAACAAAGACCTACCACGCGACAAAACAGAGAATACATCATTGGAATACCACTCACGACAACTAGCACTACCCGACAAGTGACACTTGATCGCCGAGGTACCTTTTCCGTGACCCGATGACTCGGCCGTTGTCACCTCCGATCCTGCCACTTGCGAATCTCTCCCATTACCCCATGCGTCCCTGCAATTCCGATTGCCTCTGTCGACATCAGTGTGCTGCTCCACGTCCAGTCTGCCCTGCTTCCGTGGTCTACCTCGTTTCTTCACATTAGGGGAATGTGTTGTCTTTGCAGTTGTTTGGCACTGTTCGTCGTGAAGGTGCAAAAATAGATCCATTGATCTCTTAATATTTCTCTCTGTTTTTGTCACTACGTTTTCGTCACTTATTGGATTTGCATGCTGTGTTCTTGATTCTTCACATCTATATTTTTTCGTGTCACTTCTACACATAATCAACGGATTTGTCAATTGGAGTGATGTATTTCTGAACTTCTTTTCCTTATAGTTGCAGTCTTTTAGCTTATTTCCATCATTCCCTGTAGTATTTTGACAAGAAGGGAACGAAAACGTTCAATACTTTGCAACATGTCCTAATTGGCTGGTGGTGACTCTTGCGTAGATGCATGCGTAGATAAGGCCACACTTTGTTTTTTCTATGTTTCTCGTCAGCAAATTTTAACAAAAGGTATGCGGGCGGGCGGAAAAAAAACAAAAGCCAAGGAAAAAACAAGAACAATTTCTACTGAAAACTGTATACATTTTACATGTATATGCGTGATTCATACAAGACACTGCGTATACCATGTATAGAGTACTACACAATTGTCATTGTACAATCATGTACATGTAGTCCCATACATGATTGCACTACTGACTGTACATAGTCATTATCACATCAGCCCACGAATATCAGGCAAACTGCAACAATGAGATTATAAAGTTTGATGAATACGAGATGGCGAAGAGAACATACATTTATCTGCTATCACATCAACAAACACTTTCCCACTCGTCATTTTTGGTTTTGTTACTTCAACGTTCTTGTGTCCGGTTATCAAACTCTTGTCTCCATGCTGCTCATCTTTTCCTCGCCATGCGTCCTTTGCTTGGATTTTCTGCCCACGACATCGTTCCACAGACGCCAGGTGCCACGGAACTCGTCCGACTTACGGTATTCCTGGGACCCGCGAGGCTCAGGCAGTGAACGACTGAAAGCTTCGTCATGGCAGCCTTCATCGCAGAGAACGGGCGGAAAGCGCTCCTTTGCTGCTGTGGTGCAAACGTTTACGATTTTGATTGACGCATCTAGCTGCTGCAGCATGTGCAGCATACATCGTCATGTACATGTACGTACAGTACGAGCGTAGTACTAGTGTTGTACATGTGGCTGCGCTTGTGTCTCTTCGTAGTACATGCGGTTGCACGTGTAGCTCTTTGTCGTACATGTGGCTGCTTTTGTGTCTCTTTGTTGTACATGCTGCTGAGTCGTGGTACATGCTGCTGCGCTGTTTTCGACTCCTGCGTACATGCGGCTGCACCGTCTTCTGTCCCCGTTGATACACACTTGCTCGTCTTGCCCCCTTTTTACACCTTCAATCTAATATATTCTGTTGTCTTGTCTCAGTGTCAGTCGTCCGTCGTTCGTTGTCAGTGTTAGTTGTCTGATAACCATGAGTTCTCCATCGCCTACTGAAGCGAAGTAGAAGAAAAAGCTCTCTAACAATTTGCACTAGTCCTTTGTTGTGTGGCGTGGCGAGGAGCCTAGAGCAGTTCGTGCACGGTTCTCAAACCCGTGACGACATTTGGCGCCCAACAAATCGTGTCCACGACCCTGAGTTCGTCTCCATATCAGCTGTGTTTTCGTCTCCTCTTCGTGTTCTCGCCATGGCCCAGCTACTTGAGTCTCACGAACGTCCAAGCCTCTCATGAGAGCGCCTACTCAGGTGAGAATGCCTTTGTAATTGTCTACTCTGCGTAATGTGTTGCCGTAACTTGTATTCGATTTCGAATTTTTTCAAATTGTTTTGCGTTGGGTGACTCTGACTCGGGTCCCGGCAGGAGGTCCGTGGAACCTTGTTCTCTTGTGCTCGAGTGTGTAGTGTAGTCTAGCTGCTCGTTGTAAGTTCGCCCCGTTCTGTTCGTTGTTCCTGTGTCGCTCTGACTAGTAGATCGACTACCCTGTACCGTACGGTTGTGTGTATGAAAATTTCAAACTTCTGTTTGTGTGCTTCGCGTTCGAATCTGGAACTTGTTTTTGCTTGCTCATCGTGAATTCAGCATGGGTAGCTTTGATCTCGTCTTGTGTTGTGCACTTGTGCTTGTCACGGAGACCGAGTTGCCGTCGGACTGCTCCGATATTGTGACTGTGTCGCGTGATTTGTTTGGATGTCCACCTGAACGTTCTCGAGGTGCTGCCTCGTTTGTAGTCGATCCATATTTTGTTTCGTGTTTCTACCGTTTCTCTAGTGCTAGAAGTAGTAGTCGTAGTAGTAGTTTCTCCATGTTCCGTGCAGAGCGTTGTCAGGCTCGGTCATGCACTGTGCACCCAGTCGGAAAGCTGGTGGCTTCCGGTTTGGTGGGAGGTGTGAACTTCATGTAGGATTCTCGTTTCGGATCCAGGTTGAATTTTTTTGTGAGCGTATGGTTTTGTAATAATTGTGTTTCGGCATGTGGGTCTCTCTAGTTCGTTTGGGTGGGCGTCTGATCATGGTGAGCCACGGTCTGCCTGGTGGTCTGCAGGGATCCTGTGTTTTGTTGTATCGGTTTACCTTGCGGGTGTTATGGTTTCCGCGTGTTGCTGGTTGGCCCTTGCGTGCCCCAGTCGGTCCCTGACAGTTTTTGTCTCGGTTTTTTGGTTTTGCGAAGCGGATGTAGTTCCGTGTTTTTCAGGTTCAATCCCTGTGGTTTTTTCCGGTTCAATCCCTGTGGTTTTTTCAGGTTCAATCCCTGTGGTTTTTTCAGGTTAGAGACCTGTGGGTTTTTCAGGGTAGCGCCCTGTGGTTTTTCTTCATTATCTTTTGCGTATTGGTAACCGATTTGTTTGTGTGTCCTCAATGGTGTCCTCACTGATTAATTGCTCCTGTTTCAGTCGACGTGTTCTTCCTGGCTGTTCTTCCCTTCCTTTGTGTGCTTTTCTGATTTTTGGCGATGGCTGAGATGTTTGCGTCAGTCCGTGTTTCTTTCTGTGTGTGTCTTTCTGTCTCTGTGAGCTTTCGTAGCCCCATCGGCTGCGTGATGGTTTGCTGCGTGATGGTTTTCCGGACAACTCCTGTGGTTCCAGATGCCTGGTCACCCGGTTCAGCTGCCGCGGTCTTCGCAGTGCCGTCGGTTTGCCTTGGCTTCGTACCAGGGCAACGTGGTTACTTCCTGGCGGCCCACGCCTGAAAGTATGGCGGTTCCCTCTATGGGTGGGCCCGGTCTGTTTTCTTTTCACACATTTGTGCCTTGGCTTTTCCCCGTTGTCCGGAGTTACGTCTCTTACTGTTTTGGCCCTGCATGTTTTGTTTCTATTCTCCTGTGTATGTTGTTCACATTTGATTTCTTTTTCTCCTGTCTTTCTTCTAATTTTGTTTTGATTGCTTCCATCCACAGGAGTGGATGTCTTTTTTTGATGGGGGATAGTGTTGTACATGTGGCTGCGCTTGTGTCTCTTCGTAGTACATGCGGTTGCACGTGTAGCTCTTTGTCGTACATGTGGCTGCTTTTGTGTCTCTTTGTTGTACATGCTGCTGAGTCGTGGTACATGCTGCTGCGCTGTTTTCGACTCCTGCGTACATGCGGCTGCACCGTCTTCTGTCCCCGTTGATACACACTTGCTCGTCTTGCCCCCTTTTTACACCTTCAATCTAATATATTCTGTTGTCTTGTCTCAGTGTCAGTCGTCCGTCGTTCGTTGTCAGTGTTAGTTGTCTGATAACCATGAGTTCTCCATCGCCTACTGAAGCGAAGTAGAAGAAAAAGCTCTCTAACAATTTGCACTAGTCCTTTGTTGTGTGGCGTGGCGAGGAGCCTAGAGCAGTTCGTGCACGGTTCTCAAACCCGTGACGACACTAGTATGAACTCTTTTTTTTCTTCCGAAATTTCTGAAAACCTACGCGGGCGATGACGAGAAACATAGAAAAAACAAAGTGTGGCCTAACACATTTTTGGTAATAATAATAATACAACCTGGCGTCTTTGCCAGCTAAAAAGAGGTGAGTGATGGATACTACACGTCCATGAGGTCAGCCAAATGCCAGTGAGGCTCCAGAATCCATCTTGTCTTGCAGAGATGCAGGCGCTTGACATACATGTATATAGTAGCTAACGCATGCACATACCTAACAGGACACCTGAACCCCAGAGGCCTCCCTAGCCCTCATACATGCCAACCGTCCAGGGTTTCCCGGGACAGTCCTGGGAATAGGGTGTTTGTCCCGGGGTCCAGGAAAGTCCAGGGACTGAGATGGAACTTTTGAAATCGAAATTCTCCTTTTTATGACGCTTTTTCAGTGTTTCCTCGAACTTGTAGATCCGTTGTAAGTGCACACAGCATGTAGCACGTAGTAGACAACAAAACCCATGTGGAACTGCAACGGATCGTCGGTATAACGGTAGTCAACAGAAAGTTTACTTGTGCAGTTACAGCTCAATGCAATGACATCCCTTTTGATTGTGCAGCAGTCATGAAAAATACATCTGCTAATGATGGATGCGCTAAAAAAAATTGGTGTCGAGGGAAAACGGACCAAATCAAGGGAATTCAGCCTCATTGTCCAGGGAATTCAATCCTCCAGGTTGGCATGTCTGGGGGCTATGTAGCCCCAGGGAGGCCTCTGGGGTTCAGGTGTCCTCTTGGCCCAACCCAATGCACCTTAGAATAGATACAGTCGAATGGGCTTGCATATCTATATGTAACCATTCTAACTGGTCGTGCTGTGTTTGTGTGTGTGACTATGCACAGCTGAACTGGATGACATCATTTCAACATGCAATGTTGAACTCCGTCGACTGAGAATCTTCTTCTGCGGCAAGTACGGTACTGGAAAGTCCACTCTGATTGGAGTTATTCTTGGCGACGAGTACGAACAGAATAAAGACAGCACAGAAGGCGTAAACGTCAGGCGAACCCTTGCTACTCTGCCAGCCAACGACAGTCAGGAAGATGTCGCACTGCTACCCAAGTTCAGTTGCATCAAAAAAAATGAATTGTCTGCACAGCTCATGACTGCAGCTATTCGGCATCAGCAGCAGCAGCGGCAGCAGCAACTTGTTGGTGGCATTAAACCAGGGGACGAAGCAGCCTTTGGTGGATCGTCAGCTGCGGGTTTAGAAGCAGCCGCGGCTGAAGCCAGCACCACACAGGAAGACATCAGTATCTCAGCTTTCAAGAGCAGCAATGACAGCAGTCATACTCCTGATGGTGACTCTCACATGGACATGTCCCACAATCAGGAAGATAGAACTAACGAGTTGCCATGGCCACTAGGCTTATTTCATGGCATTGATGACGATCTCAAGGAAGGACTGCAACAAATACGGACCGAAGAGGATCAAACCGAACGAACCAGTGTGGAGTTTTGGGACTGTGGTGGTCAGCTAGCAATGGCAACGCAACAGAGCATCTGCCTTGCTTCAGAGCGTGCAATGTTCGTGATCACGTTCGATGCCAGCAAAGACCTGCGCGACAAAGTGGACACTGAAGTTTTCCGCTATGACAAAGGAAAGACTGTCTCCATCGAGCCATTGTTTCCCGGAATGACTCATGAAGATTTCCTGCTGATGTGGCTATCCACTGTGTCTTTGCGCATGCAGCAGAGTCCAGCCAGCACCAACCCAAACCCGGAGGCAGCAAAAACCACAAGCGTGCACACCGCACAGCAGTCAAGAACTGGCACGGATCTACGGAAGACAAAGCCAAAGGTGTTCCTCGTTGCAACCCACATAGATTTGGTCGACGATGTCGAGGAGAAAAAGAAGGAAATAATTGCTGTTGTCAAGGGCATTTCAAAGCGTTTGAATTCCGCTCACCTTCAACTGGTTGGACCATACTTTGTAAGCAACAAACAACCCGGACATCCCGCGTCGGAGATGAGCACATTCCTCGAGGACTTGACTGAAGACATCCGCCTGCTTGAGCCTGACATGATTCCCCTCAACCAGATGAAGCTGGAGAAAGCAATTACCATGCTTCAAGTAGCAGCTACACCAAAGCAGCAGCAAACACCAAGGCCAAACCAAACGCCGCCGGATCTACGCATGCATGCAACCTTTGCAGAGCTCAAGGAGCTGGCAAAGTTCATGTCAAATGGGTCTATGTCAGACAAGGAATTCCGTGCTGCTTTGTCTTACTATCACCACATTGGCGTTGTGATTTGCAGCGACTGGCAAGATCCTACTGCTAAAAGTCTTGTCTTTCTCAACGTGGACTGGTTGCTACAGCTATTCGTGCAACTGGTTGTCCTCTCCTATGATCGGGACAACAGCGACCGTCGTCTCCTGGATCGTGTAGAAGAAATCGAGGCTCTGCAGGAAGAGGGACGGCTGTCAACTTCACTTCTGGCAGCAGTCTGGAAACTGGATCAATGCGTTCAACAGTCACTCATGGAAATCATGTGTCATTTTGGCCTAGCTTCTGAGATATTGGCCACCGAGCCAACCGAGTATCTTCTTCCATTTTGCATCAGTGAGAGAGGTAGAGCGAAGACTCTTCCAGCCAATTTGCGGTACAGTCCACCTCTTCTGGTGATGAAGTTTTCATGTGCTTTCTTCCCACCGGCCGTCTTCAGTCGCATGGTAATCTACTGTGTTTCAAACAAGCCGCATGAGGGCATCCGCGATCCTGTTGTTGAATACGCAGCTATCACGTTCAAGTTTGGCCGTCAGCACCATGTCCGTATATCCTGGTTTCCTATTGGACTGCTGGTGGAAGTGAAGTCATCGTCCAAATCAAAGGAGGAGGTGATTGCCGCCACCCATCAGCTGCTCCGCGTGATCAAGCATTCCCTGGGCAACCTGAACGACCAGGGCTTTGTGGGTCTTGAGTGGACGCACTGCTTCCAATGCCAGCGCTGCATATCCAATGTCGTCGATGGAGATGATGATGCCGGAGAATCTGGGCACAGTAGTCGACCATCAACGCCTGAGCGAACCACAACCTCATCTCGTCAGTTACGCAGAGACATCGGCTTGATCGAGTTGTCTGGAGACGACCTGCTGGACTATGCTGAAATGGAAGACGACGACACTGAGGAGTTGCATGAATGCAAACGCTGTAAAGAGCATACGTCATTGCCTTGTGACTACGTTCATTACTGGATCAGAAGCCACAGCAGCAGTACCAGCGATGCCGCTGGCAATAGCAGCACCACCACCAGAAGCAACAGCAGCAGAAACCACAGCAGCAACAAGCGCAACAGACAACATGCTGGTAGCGACAGCCGCGCTGCCGAGAGTGTGAGCACTGACGCGGTCGCCTGTGATTCATTGGAATTGGTACGTGTGGTTGTACACACTTTACTTTATTAGAATGTGTGTATGCACATCCTTTATGCGGTACCTATACAATTCCGGGTAATTCTGCTTGCAATAAGTGCACAATACAACCTATGAGTTGAACAAATTAAAAGTTCAGTAAAGGCATGATCCTGTGCTGTTCGCATGCTCACTAGGGTTGGACAGACAGTGTACACATACTGCAATCTAGTGCAAAGCATCTCCATGGTGTCAGTATGACTTGGAATTAGGGAAGGACAAACGCGGAACCCTTTGCTAGAACTTAAGCCGTGCTTCTCAAATCCCCCCCCCCCCTCACCTCACGCCCAGCCAACACGTCTCACACCTCACACCCAGCCATCTCACACCTAAGGCTAACGGATACCTCCAGCGTGACGTGCACGGTGTACTTTCTACCAACGTATGACATCACGTTATGACTGAATTGCCATGGCAGGAGTGACTGTGGTTGTACTGATGGGATGGGTATTGACTGTGTGAATGCAGGATGAATAGTAACACACAGACCACTGGTACGGACACTCACATCATCCAATCAATCAATGACATCATCACCCTGAATATGCTCTGTTTTGCCACACATTGCTCACAGCTAGGTTCAGAACAAAGTAGTATACTTTTTGGCTCATTGTTTTTCTTGTGTGTGTGTGTGTGTGTGTGTGTGTGTGTGTGTGTGTGTGTGTGTGTGCGTGTGTGTGTGTGTGTGTGTGTGTGTGTGTGTGTGCGTGTGTGTGTGTGTGTGTGTTTGCTTTGTAGAGCCATGGTCGTGGTGGTGAAGCTAGGCCAGGAGGATCAGATGGTGAATGTAAGTACGCGTCTGCCGATTCCTCGAGTGCTCCCTCCGAAAAGCGTTTTAGAAACTTGCATCTTGATGCAGTTTGTACTAGTAGACTCCCTCTCACATTCAGGGCGAGCAGAGGGGAAAACAACTGGGTGTTTATATGCCTCACGTTCGTCTCAAGGCCCATTATTTGTGGGGCAAAACAATAGGGAGGAGATTGTGCCGTTTTTGGAACCGCTTGACAGCAAGGAATTGTCGAGCAATAGTCTCATCAGTGTGCACCGTGACCTTTCACTCAAAATATGTTTTGTGTAAACTCATAACTGACATGTTGAAGTTTGTTGTGAGACCAGAGTCGAGCCATTACTTTGTGTTAGTCTGTTTCTTTCCAACTGTTCAAATTTTCTTTTAGAATTGTGGTGTCTTTGACATGGCTGCAAAACAGGCTGGTTTGAATTCCATTCAAAGTTCAGCCTAACTTCTGAAATTGTCTAGTTTGAAGTACATACAGTACTTTCCGGAATATTACCTGCATTCTAAAATCCCTTTTAAAAACTCAATAACCTTCCCTGCAGCTTAGACTCCACATGCTGAAGGCGAACACGTATTATTTTGTTACTCGGGAGGTATCACTATTAGTGTTGCGCCATTTATGGATGCAATGACCATATTTGATAACAAAAGAAACCCATAGAAAGGTTAGGCCATGGATTGTGCTGGGTTGTATGACTCCCTACGATTCCCAAAGCATTACGCTCTTGCCCATCAGTGCAAACTTTGCAGAAGTTTGATGTTGGATTCATTTTCTGTGAAGTAGGAAAACATTTGAAATTGCAGCACTTGAATTCAGGATTCAACCCAAGCTCTATTTTCCTACTTCACAGAAAATGAATCCAACATTGAACTTCCGCAAAGTATGCACTGATGGGCCAGAGTCTTGTGTTTTGGGACTCACCGGAACTTGAGTCGCACAACCCCGAGCACAATCCCTGGCCGGTGGCTAGGCTCAGCAAATCAATCTCAACGGCATGCGAAGAAATATTGAAACGTTTGTGTCACCCTACCTGCACACACCAGATTGGTTCAAGTCGCCTAAGTATGTCAGCGATATCCGTCCCTGGCTGTGCGACCTCCCTGCAGCAAACTTGAGAAGGACTCTTGAGAAGCATGGACTGTTGACACTGTCTCAGGTGCACACGCTGATGGAGACTGAGCGGTTACATGGGAAGGAAAGGCATAACTGTGAGATGTTGCTGGAGTCCGTGGAGTCAGCAGGAGAAGATGGCTTTGTCGAACTCTACAACGCAATCGAGAAGAGCACATCCTTGACCCAATTGTTCATACGGATTGGCTTGAAGCGAATGCGTGAAGCGATGCCTGATGAGTAATGCCGGTAGGATCGAGGTCTATGCAAGCCATCAGCACAGCAGCATCATCACACTGCGGTATTTACTGGCTGTTACCAGTTCCATGTCTACATGTGGTTGTGCGTGGGTGTATCTGTGTGCAAGTGGGTTTCATTACCTGTTTGCTAGTGTGTGTGTGTGTGTGTGTGTGTGTGTGTGTGTGTGTGTGTGTGTGTGTGTGTGTGTGTGTGTGTGTGTGTGTGTGTATGTGTGTGTGTCTGTGTGTGTATGTGTGTGTGTGTGTACGTGTGTGTGTGTGTGCGCGTGTGTGCGCGTGTGTACGTGAATAGGTGTATGCACCTATGCACATGTGCGGATCCAGCAATTTCAGTATGTTTGGTCTGTGATTTCATTTAGAATAATTGATCTATTTCCATTACACATGTATTTGCATCCTTGAGTCCTTGGTGCTACATTCCCACCTCTACCCCCCCCCCCCCCCCCCCCCGTGATGCATGGTGTTTGCAGGGCTTTTCTCAGGCTCCTGAGTGTTGACCTCCGAATCAAACCAAGTCATTAGTGCCTCATTACCCGCATGGCAAGTGTGAATAAGGCCACCCTTTCTTTTTTCGTTGTTTAACGTCCGCGCCCGCGTACCTTTTTGCCTCAGACTGGAAAAAAAAACAAGAAGGTAGTAGTACCAATAATATGCGAAGTTGTAAATACATGATTGTGTAGTTTCACAGTGTGCCGATCATGACCTTAAACTTATAATCTTGCCTCCCGGCCGGCATGCCTTTGTCTTGTGTTCTTTTTCTTTTTTTGTTGGCTTTTAAATATCGTACGGTGTGTGTCCTAGTAAAAATCCAGATGTAATGAATTCATGACATGCTAACTCCATGCTATGTACCTGTTTTGTTGGATTCATCAGGCATGTATGTACATGTATGTATGTATATTTTTATTTGAATTCGCAAGTACACACGGGCTACAAGCCCAATTACATGGAAGCGAATGTGCTCCAATGTACCATCAAAGAGTGTTGTTCTATGCCTGCAAGTGCCGTTAGACCCAGAAATATTGTATATATCACATACTTTACTGGTCAAAATGTTTGATTGGGGTTTCCAGTTTTTGGAATGGGCTTTTGTTTTTTTTCCGCCCTCCCGCGTACCTTTTCGCGAAAAAAAGGACGTTAAACAATGAATTAACAAAGGGTGGCCTAATCTTGAGTAGATACGGCCATCCTTTGCTTTTTTAAGTTTGTTTCCCTTTGGTTTCGTTACGCTAAGACTGTAACAAATTTGGATGACCAATCTGCAGCATAAACTAAATCATTTTGTTACAGAAAGCGCCAAAACCTCCATGATTAGAAGCAGACGGTTTTGGTTCCGACTGCTAGTACATGATTACTTTTTTTACTTTTTGTTTTACATTGCCGGTCACGGCTGCCGTGCAAGAGGGTAGTGCATCCAGTTCGTGATGTTGCCTCTGTCGCCACCGCTGCCACTACTACTGCTGCTGCATTCGCTCTATCTGAAGGTCATTTTCTGAAATTCTGTTGCCGGTGTAATAGGTGTATTTATAGGAATGTACATACTCACTATTCGTATTTCCCGCTCGTTCCCCTTGGCAATGAGAGACAAGAAGAGCGCATGCTCCAGTGAATCTCTAGTCTTGAGTTGTTCTTGTCCTGTTCTCCTTCTCACTCTTGTCTACTCTCTTGTCGAAATACTTATTCCATATTCAATACTATAACACCCTTGTGTTCGGGAAGAGTGAGGGCACTTTGTTTAGCCGGGAGCTAACACCGGTTCGGCTTCACACTTCTCTATTTCTAGCAGGGAGTAGTAAAATACCGGTATTGTACTACTCCCTGATTTCTAGTGTACATGTACTTCGAAGTAGTAGTCTTACTACAACCTACCGATTAGTGTATGCGCTGCATGCAGAGCTCAGCAAGCTTGCTTCATGCATCTCTACGCAGTCACACACAGGTCAGTGATCAGTGTGTTCTTGAGGCGACGCGTTCTTGAGCACTGAGCCCGAGGCCTGTGACCATGGTGACTTGGTTTCGGTGATGATTGCTCACCCAGGTTCCTATGTATATCAGACAGCAAATCTCAGTCGCATTTCAAATTATTGTTCTTGAAGAATTTTTTTTGGAAAGAATTGCCCGTCATAAGGTTTGTATGGTTCTGCCAATTTCACTGCTTTTCGAGCAGAATCTGCCACCTTTTCGAGCAGAATCCGCCGGTGCCTATATCGGGAAGGGGAATCATCTCTACCCATTTGGAAAAATAGTCACCCACCACCTGAATGTACATGTGTTTATAACCACGAGCTGTTAGAGCAAGGGATCCCATAATGTCCATTCCCATTACTTCAATTATAGCTATCAATAGTATTTTTTAAACAGCTGCAGACATCTCCACGCTATAATTATGACACTTGCTCGAGTTTAGACGTGTAAATTTCCAGAATCGATGTTCTCGCTCCTATCATCAGTGGAATTCATACGGAGCTAAGGATTAACAACGAATGCAACTAAGGTTGAGTAATAGAAAGGTGTTATAATGACACATACATCATGATACAAGCGCAATAAAACTACCGCACATAGATGGTAACGCAAAATGGTAACAAATGTACATAACTAAAGGTGAGGAGGAACTGAACGAAGCGTCAACTTTTGACTATACGGAGCCTAGGTGCAACAACATGCTCTTTCTGCTTACATGAAACCGGTTTATGTACACGTATACAAACTGCCTCAATGATCCTCAACGGCTGGACATATACCAGGCACTACACTGTCACACAGTGCAGAGAAATGAGAGTCATCGTACACACTAAGACAGTCAGGACGAGAAGACTGTAAGCATGATATAAAGATATTGAGAAGGCATTATGCTGAACACCCACTCATGCTCATGTACGCACACACATGCACACACACACACACACACACACACACACACACACACACACACACACACACACACACACACACACACACACACATGCATACACAAGCGCGCACACACACACACACACACACACACACACATCACTACTACTATTGACAGCTGCCAGAAATGGCCACGCCGCTCCCCGAAGGGAGGTACTGTCAGAGAGGTTAGGGGAGAGGTAGGTAGTGCCTCAAATGGCGCTCCAGGTCCTGTCGCCTCCGAAACTGGCGTCGATTACAGACTCGGCAATGATGTTCAAAGTGCTGGCGATCAGTCACTGTAGGGCGATTCGGGCAGGGTCCACAGCGATGGCGCACACACACACACACACACACACATACATACGCGCACCACGCACACGCACACACACACACACACATGTATGTGTCCACCAATACTGTTCAGTGCTCATGGTATGGCGGCTGCGGCGGTGGCAGCATGACAGCTTTCAGCCGCAGCTGGATATTCAAGGCTCACTCCCGATGTACTGCCTTTCTGCAATGAAAATATCCATGCATGCACAACGCACCCGTACGCCATAGTCAGTAGACACACACTTGATTAGATCTCGACGCAAGTTGTCTTGGTAGGTTACAGATCAGGGGAGAGGGGTGGGAGAGGTTGAGGGGCAGCACTTCTAGCAATGCACTCGATGTTTGTGTAGTCGAAACTTCCTGCGGCACCGGCGCTGGAATGGGAAGTCGCCCTTTCTGATTTTGTCCTACGTTTTGTGCGTCACATTTGTGTCTGGTCAAGCCGCTGCTGGACTTTTAAAACTGCGATGACAGGTGTTGCACTGCAGAGTGACTGAATTTGTGAGATGCCCGGTGTTGTCTTGAGAGAATGTCCGTGATCGCACTGATGGGTGGCCACTCCACCAGGACTGCGGGGCCAATGTTGGAAAAGACGACATAGTCATTAGCAAGCGCCAGCTTGGCCACATACCGGCTTCTGCCACTCCTCAAAGCATTTGTGACGTTTCTCATCTGCTGGATGAGAACAGTGCCGATCACTTACATTACAATGACCACTGGCATGTACACTTTGGTGAATTTCAAGCCGGCTGGTTGTTTTTCAGCCCCCAATTTTATAGTGCACATGTAGATCATGACTTGTGGGCATGTGTGTGTGTGTGTGTGCGAGTGTGTGTTTCTGCGTGTGTTCCCGGCTACCGTAGGGTACTAACACAAAGCAGCGGGATGTTTGCATGGTGACCTGCTCACTTACCAGATCCGCAATCAGCACCTTCAACAGCTTAGCGGCATCACCAACATTCTTCCTCTGACCACGCAAGAGCAGACAGCTGGCTCCTCGCTCACTTTCCTCGGCTGTCAGGCTGCAGTGTACCTTCAAGTCCATGAGCAATTCTTTCCACCTCATCACAACGTCGTGGGCATCCAGTCCTTTGCATTCATGCCGTTGAATGATCAGTTCACCGCGGAGCGTCTGCTGCAGACATGCCTCCCCCGTTTCCAAGTCATTATAAGACTCGGCGACAAGCAGGAAAGATGCCGACGGTGGACAGCATTCAACAGGCGGTGCTGGTGTATCCACCACCGTCTGCAGCGAGAAGAGAACGTTGCCGATGCGTTTGCGTGCAGTCGGTACGTTCTCCTCCATCAGATCGGACAGAGCGAATTGCAAATCACCAATCGGGTCACGGGAAGACCGGGTGTAATAGTTGAAAAGGATCCTCTCCAAGCTTGTGCCGCTACGCAGACATTCCATGGCTCCTTGGCCTATGAGCTGGAACCATTCTCTAGCCGTCAGATAGTCTTGTCCTGGCTTTGGGAGAAATGGAATGGCGATGGATTTTGCCTGGACGTCTGATGCCGTCTGGAAGATGAGCTTGAGTTGCTTTGAGAAAGCGGTCTTGAACACCTGCCCTTCTCGCATATCTCCGCCCTTGATACAGTTCGGGTTGGAGTGGATGAGAACCGGGGCAGGCAGCTTTCCGCTGCTCAGAGCTGGTGCAGTTGTAAATACGTCGCCATTGCTCTCAACCCAAGCTTGTGAATCATCGGCAATGCCAGTCCCGCCGTGGTTGATAACGTCACGTGCCATGCCGTCAGCAAGAAGCAGTGTTGAGTTGGAGAAGAGGACCATTGCATCTACATCAGCCATTGCAAATTGGTCGTTGTACACGGGCTTGTTGAGCTGCAGAGTCAGGGTCTGTTCATGTCTCTCCCCTCTGGTGAACTGATGCAACTTTGCAAAGCAGAGTGGAACTTGGTCTGCAATTGCTCTGGTGCGGGGCTTCACAATTCGAGCAGTTTCTTTGTCTTGCATCAGCTTTGTTTTAGGAAGTCTGATAACGGTGTTGAGCTCGGGCGGCTTAATGACTAGTCTCTTGTAGACACGATGCTGCAGTATATCGTGGGCCAGTCGTTCCAGTGCTGCCTTGCCATTCGCTGCTTCTTCCTCTGTGTCAGCTTCGACCACAGCCAGCTGGTAAGCAAAGGAGTTGTTCTGAAACTTTCCACGGCGCTCCCGGAAGCGGCAGTTTGAACTCTCAAGCAATGCCTCTGCCTCGGCCCGATGCGTTGTGAGTAAGAAGTTGCATACGTCGCGCCCTGGCATACTCACCATCTTACTATGGTATCGGCGGCGGCGATCACGGTCGTCCCTGGCGACGGCAGGTATAGGAGAAAACCTGATGTTGTCCATGTCACATCTACCAGCCAACGAACACCAACACCAGAAAAAGAAAACTCCCGAAAATGAAGATAAAGGCGGACTACACCATGGCCATAATTCATATGGCTCGGTGGTTGGAACATTGCTGCTGGTATATAGCCAGGGTCCTTGGTTTGAATCCTGGCAGTGGAACTTGTCAATTTGTGTCTTCTACTTTTCGCTACTTTTCATTTCCTCGCTTGAAGCTGAGGAATATCACCTGGCATTCGAAATCTTGTCATTGGAAATGGGTACTCTAATTTCAGAAATTTAAGGTACTCAATATTTTCGGTATGAGGGCAAAAGGCCAGGTTAGGTGAACAGAAATTTTAGGCATAGAGGAGCAATTCCCTATTGGATTATGTGTGTTAGTGTTTATTCAGTGTATTGAAATTTTAGATATGAAACATATGCACCAAAAGTACCGAAAATAAAAGTACACCGAAAAATGAGTGAAATTACAGTAGTTGATGTAGCCGCATGGCAGTGTCAGTGTACTAGCACACATGCCTCACCTCTTGAAAACACCGTTAGCAGAACACACAGATACAGACACACACCGTACACACACACACACACATACACACACACACACACACACACACACACACAAGAAATTCCTTTTGTAACTAAAGCCGTTTAGGAAAGTTCCCTTTAATATGGACAAGCAGTGACTTTTCCTTCACTCACCCTATGGTCCACTTGTCTTGCGATTGTATCTGGAAGATTAGTCTCATGTGAGTGCGGCGGGTAGCCTTCGTCCGGACCGTGACCGGTGCTGTTAGAATCTCCCGATCCCCATCCACCTGTAGGTAGTTTGTGAGGCATACATCTTGCACGGCACATAGCGCGGACAGCACCTTCTCCTCCTCCTTCACGGACACAACAGAAAAGTAGTGGTAGTCCTTCAGGTTTTTAGCTAGCTTCTTCAAGTAGTCTACACTGTATTTGTCGAGAATGTAGACTGTAGCTTTTGTTGAGGATGATCCGACCTTGGCGGGTGAGAAGTGGGCAATTGCCACCATCTTGGAGAAGGCTTGGAAGTGCCGTTGCAGCAACACCGGGTTGCGAGCAATCTCGTCATCAAACACGTCGACAGCCACAGCCCACACATGTAGAGTCAGTGGTCGGGGAACATCAAAGTAGCTGAACGGTTCGGTGAAGTGAGGGCTGCAGTGAATGAAAGAGAGGGAAAAAACAGCAGAAAGAGACCATTAGCCTGCGAAGAAACTTGGAATGTCCCTCAAGACAGCATTGCAAGGAAGCCAAGTTAACCACAGTTAAAACTTTGAAAGTGGTCCAAAAAACGGAAATATATTCAAGACACAAAGAGTCAAGCTCCCCGCTACATGACACAGCAGTACATGACAATAAGTGAATACTGAACACCGCTTCAGGATAGCGATAGAGAGCTCCACAGATGTATCACTTTTTTCCACACAGTTCTATGCCAAACAACCTTGGCAAAACTGAACAGTGGAATTTTTCTTATGATTACAGTTCACAATTCTCTGTGGTCCATGGTCCTCGACCACGCACTGGTTGAAGTCAGATACTACTAGCTGTTTCAACCTTGTCACTGAGGTCTCCTCAACAGAGCTCAGAGTCAATGGTTATACTTGGTCATACCTGGCAAAGATCTCGGGAACCGGAGGACACACGACTCTCTGAGAGCCATAGTCCTCGACCACACACTGGCTGAAGTCCAAATCGCCAGAGATGGTGTTTAGAACCTTCTTGACTTTCCTCTTCTGCAGGCCCTTCAGGTAGTCTAGAGCTTTGCGTTGCTCTTCGTCAGTAGCAAAACCCAGCAACAGACAGGAGCAGGCACGGCTCTCCTTACTGCCCAGAAGTATACCCGGTGATATTCCCTCGGCAAACACGTCAGCAACAGCGAGACCACGCCTGACATTCTCCGGGACATTGCCGATTAGCACCAGATGCAGCGTCATCTCCACCTGTATCGGCCATGTTTGAAATCTGCTGTCCTGCGTCAACAAAAAAGCATATCACAAGCAACAGAGTGTTCATATAAATAAAAGGGCCAAGGAACTACTTCCCCCGGAGTACAAGTTTCGCTATAATGTCCACTAACGCTGCCAGTTACTTGTGGTTCCTTGATCCTTTTATTTTGTATAAATTAATCCTTGGCTCTCCATCCGAGTCCATTCTACGAGAGTGTTCATTCAACATAGTTAAAACACTTTTTCCATCCTCCTATTATTGTTTGAACTAGCTCTGCTTTTCGGTATTGAGCTCTCTATCGGACAGCCTGGAACCCCTCTGTTTATAGCTGACTACAGACGATTACCGGTGACACGAACTCAAAGCGCCCGCGCTATTGCCAGCTGTTAAAGTTGCAAGTGGCGGAAGACAACATCGCACTAACGTCTTGCACCCATCCATGTCAAGAAGACGTGATGTGCATAATTCAACTGCAGACATACATGTACATTTGTAGCGGGCCGCAGTCTCTCGGAGGCAAGAATACACAAGGGTCTCAGTGAACACACTGTAACTGGCAATTGAAATGTAACTATAACTGGCAATGAAATTAACTGGCTACATAATTAAGTGACTGGCAACTAAAAGAATCGTGAGCAGCAGCTTTAATGCACAGGTAAACTCCGTACACTAATGTACGGGGATACGCTAACGTATGGGGATACAGTACGGGGATATGCTATACTCTAAACACTATACGCTATACGCTTTGAAGTCACCAGCGTGCCAACGCTACACATGTAGCCTATGCAATGCTAAATGGGTTCTAGCCAAAGGGTGGTGGGGAGGGGGGGGGGGGGGGGCTGCCCGCCCCCCCCCCCCTTCTACTCTGTTTGCACCCCCCCCCCCCCCCCTGTGAAAAAGTGGCACCCCCTACTCATTTTCCGATTTTCGTGTTTTTCATGCAATTCAAGGAATATGCAGTCGAAAGTCACTATTATAATATTATGGTTCATAAAGGCACATGTGTCTGGGGCCAAGTCGGGGATTCGCCCCATACGCTGCATTTAGCGTTGCAAGACAATATTGGAAAGTGGAAAGTTGGGATACGGGGTAGCTGTTTCCCATACCCCTCCCCCCCCCCCCCCCCCTACTATTTTGACCTGGCTAGAACCCTGCTAAACACGATTATCATATTCTGCCACTTCAAGCAGGCGATGTTTAGAAACTGTAAGCCACAGTGACAGTTGGATGGTAGTGTCTTTCTTTTGCGAGATGGTAAAACGTTTTAAAGTAACATCAAGAGTGCACGAGTCGCAGGAGTGTGCAACTCCACTGCGCGTACTTTTCGGACAGAATTTCAAGTTGACGTCAATTTTACAATGCAATGTGAACTGTAAACAGTGTGTCCATTGTTATTAGGCATTATGCCTTATAAGGCATTATGCCTGTTTTGATTTCCACTATAAACACTGTACACAACAAAAACAACAACAAACGCATTCTCAGACGTACACTGGACCTGTTGTGGACAAATCCCTATTTTGATCATGTACAAACGAGGACAAGGACACTGCGTTGATACCTTGGCACCCAGTACAAACGTCGTTGAAAGCACTCGTGTGAGGAGTATTACGTCATAAAATGCTCTCGGCTTGAAATTCTGTCGGGACATCACTGTAGGACATCACTGTATGACATCACTGTATGACATCACTGGATGACATCACTGTATGACATCACTGTATGACATCACTGCATGTGGGAGTTGCACAATCTTGGTACAGCTGTAGCACATGCATGTACTTGCAGTATGGTGCTACGATATACCAGTAGACCATGCATAGATGAATGGTTGTGCTGTGAGACATTGTTCATGCGCATTGTGTGAGCAGGCAAATTCGGTGAAGAGAAGCTGCCTTCCTCTATCATTCCCCACCCATTTCACCCAAAGAACATCCAAAGGTTCAAGACAGCAGCTTATCACCATCGCCTCAGAACGAACTGGCACTGGGTCACTCATAGCATACGCGAGTAAGAGGGTACAGTGTCCTACCCTGCTTGGACATAATCTCTCCTCACAGACAGTCTCCTATTGAATTTAAAAGTCTAACAGCATTCACATCAATACTCACACGGCAACTTATTCTTTTGCTCACTGAGCAATACAATCTTTCCATTTTCTTTCTTCTGTTTTCTTTTTCAACTTATTCCTCCCTACCCAATCTCCCTTTGGTGTGTCCATGGAGCTATGAAGCCGAGACCTCTGGTCGGCGGAGCTTAATGGTCCCCACCACCACACTCCATTATTCACCCCAGTGTCTGGAGATATGTGGATTTTGTAGAAAAGAAAGAAAAAAATTATGCGGTCAATAAAAACATGCTTCCAAGTACTGTACTACTACTACTACTACTAGCGGACGACACAAGCAACTACCGGTACATGATTGTACTTCAAACCGCATGCAAATAATGCCTTCTCAACACCGCTATTCTGATGTGCTCACCTTTTCGATTTCCTCGCGTAGTTTCGCGTTCAAACTCTTCGGCGACTCCTGGGCGGCTTTAGCCCGTGCCGACGCCATTGTAGGAGCCGCCGCCGCAATTCTTGAGGTCCTTGAAATCCCGGGTCAGCCCAAAGGGCAAGAACGTCGCAAGGGTTGAAGGACACGAGACCTGGATCGTTGCGTGGTTGCTTTAGACTGTACTAGTGACTAGTGTCACCGCTACCGCCGTACCGGGCAATACTTAGTATGATACACCATAGCTAGAAGTTATAGTCATGAGAGAAAGACAAGAAAAATTTAAAACACTGATAACCATCGCCTTTCGTCTTCAACGGTTTCCCCCACCAATACAAGTGCCAGCTTCGCAGGCAGAAGTAACTTTTCAAAGCAGTTGTGGCTGCAGTCACATGCCATCACGGCATCAGTGCTAGTGGGACACGTAACAGCATGGATTTGTCCGTAATCAACCAGTTACTAGTACCCGACTACTTCTCTCTTTGACTACTGCCCACTGGCACTGGTCTGGCAAACAACGAAATCGAAACTGTTTTGGTCTTGAATCACACGCATGGTTGCGAACACGACACCATGCACACGGCGTAGATCTACGGGTCGGTTCATGACGTTATGTGCGTGGCTGTCAGACTCACAGTCTCTCCGCAACTGGGGTAATTTTTAGGGGGAGTCCCCCATTACATGCACAGCTACAGGATTTGTTTTGCTTTCATCACCACCGCGTAGATACCGTAAACATGGTAAAGTCGCGGATAAAAGCCGGGTTTGCATACAAGCACATCGCGGATAGAAGCCTGAAAAGCAAACGGGTCAAGCCTGTCGCGCGTAGATACGGTAGAACTTACTAGAAGGCTATGCAAGCGCGAATCGGGTAGGTCAGGAGTGCATGCGCTATGTACATGACTGTACAGAGGTCAGTGCATAGCAAAACTGCCGCCATACCGATAATTATAATGATTACCATGTACCAATGATCAAGTCAAAGGAAAAAGAAGTGCAAAGCAGAGCTGGAGTGCTGCCGCCCAATAGCGGACTGAAAACTACTAGTAAGAGGATGAAAAGAGCACAGACGAAACCAATACAGACAAAACCAGAGGCAAATGGTATCAAATGCGAATGCCCGCCTCAGCAACCGCCAAGGAGGGAGGTGAGTCCAACTGCACCGGCCGAAGATTCCGGGATCCGCGCAAACACATCACGCTGGACCGGAGTAGGGCAAAACTTGCAGCGAACCCAAGACATACCGGTAGTTAGTGGTAGATCTACGCGTGTCGCGCGTAGAAGCCTGGCTTCTATGCAAGCCCGGATCGGCCGATGTGCATACATAACAAGCCTGGCAAAAACATCAGTGGTGCATAATTATAAGCATGGTTTGCATACAAGCCTGGTTTGCATTGAAGCCTGATGCAGAAAGCGGCTTATGATAAGTTATGACTGTGCTTATAAGCCCGGCTTTTATCCGCAACTTTACGGTATACACATGGCCCAGCCTACACTACTAATAATTAGTTACTTCAGTACAAGTCACATGATTTTGATGATCACCCTGCCGCTGGCCTGAGCCCCTCGGGCATCTCGACCTCAGGCAAGATCACTCACAGACCTCGGGCAAGATCAGAGCGTCTTGCCCTCGCAACTGGTAGTGGTAGGATTGTGTATTTACCCGGAGGTATCTCCCATCCAGACATCACTGCTACACCAGCCACTAGTGTTTGCGGGCTGCTGGAAGAGTTGTACTGTGGGCAAGGTTACGTGCGGATGAACTGATGTATAAAATTTAATATTATTATAATAATATAGTGCGTGTGCACGATAACCTAAGTCCTAAGCCTCAGTCCTTAGACTTTTAGTTCGCCAGGTGAGGTCAGAGACAGAAAGCCCGGTACTTCTGACCCAGTGAACAGGGTAAATAAAGGGGTTCACCGCCAAATTCTGCTCCGTCTCCAGAACCCCCCCCCCCCCCCCCCCCGATTCTGCTCGAAATTCTAGCGGCAGAATCCGCCGACCCCTATGAATCGCCACGAAAAATGCGATGGCAGAAGAAGGCCATTGCATCATACAATCATCAAGACGTTAGTGACCCTGGTCACACCAAAATAACTGCTGCGCTGGCCTTCCCCCATGGCTATAGGCTACACCCACACAATGCGAGTAACACGAAGTACAAGTACCGACGCGACATTGTACACGATTGTGTATACAGTCCCCGCTCTAAATACATTGTACTACAATAGCTTGCTCCATCATCTACTCGTACAGTCTCGTAGTCTAGCTGTCACGCTACAGAGTAGATCTACTGTCACCGCAGACGTTAGTGGAGTGTGTATGGCCATGGGGGACTATGGGCGATGGCACAACACCGTTACGTGGTCTAGTACTAGTACTAGTAGTAGTAGAAGTAGATCTACAATCATGCATGTAGCCAGTCACTAGGGGGTACTACTGAAGTACTAGTGCGCCATGTAATGACTGTCAAGAATAGACCCTCCAGCTAGCTCTAGCTCTACATAGCCCCGATGTCCTCTTGGTAATGCGTGTCCCTGTTACCGACTAGACAGTAGACTGTCTGCACATGGGTTATCCCGGCAACCTGGGCATGACATCAGTAGATCTACGGTGGAAGACGCTTGCGGCGCTTCGCTTGTGTATTCGGAGCAGAGAGTCGTGTACAGCAGCCATTGCCGCATTGGCTGACTCGGAGCTGCATTTCTGTTGGATCAAGCGAAGCGGGTCACTCACACTCACTGCGGAAATGGCCGAGGTGAAGAAGCTTGCCTCTGCGACTGCTGCCCCTGTGCCGGCTAGGCGTGGCCGGCGCCGAGCTGCGGGGATATTGCCCCTGCCAGCGGGGTCCTCGTCGGCCAAGGCAGCAGCAGCAGCAGATGCCGATCTGGATCCGGGCAATGCTGCAGACGACGAAGCGGCGCACGAGGACATTGACCCGGAGAAAAAGGCGAGGAAGAAATGGAAGCGCAGAATAAAGCGCAACGTGGTCAAGCTCTATGACGAAACTGTTGGTCGCACGAAGAAAGAAAATTCTGATCCAGAGTTGTCGGGTCAAGACCTTCAGGATGACGTTATGGACGGAAAGGCACTGAGAAAGAGGAAAGCAAGCAAGCTGAGAAGGCAAGAGCGGCGTGCAAAGCGCAGAGATCTGATCGCAAAGCTGCAGAGAATATGGTTCTACTACCTGGAGAAGGATGGAAAAAAGATGGGTGCATACCTGGTCCGGTATCGCAAACAATCGGACATGAAGGTGTACATGCGTCCGTTTGCGTTTGAGTTACAAACACGATTGCGGGCGTTGGATATGAATACTGAGGCGGACGAGCTGATGCAGTTTGTTTGCGCGAACGCTGACAAAGTGGCAGAGCCATGCGATGGTGACACGACTAGCAATCGTGACTTGAGCGACTCTGAGTCTGATACTAAGGAAAAAGGTGATAATAATGTTGATGATAACGTTGATGATACTGCTGATGGTAATGTTGATGATTATTATGATGATGACGTAGCTGGCTGCAGACGACTATTATTGGTATCAACGCCAAGCTCATCGAGTTTATCTTTTGATTTGGAGCAGGATAGCCCTGGCAGCATGTCGCCCTCAGTAACTGGGATGTGGTTAAACAAGAAAGTCGTCAAGAAGACCAACACATTTAAAAATGAAAAGGATGAAGCATTCGTCTACAGACCTTCCACCGTTTCTGAAGAAGAGGAGGACTGGAGCAGCGCGGAAAGTGAGAGCATGGAGTCTGACCATCTCCCTACAGAAATGGAGGCGCTGCTAAGCCAGTGGCCTCATTATCCCCACGAAGCCACGCCAAGACCCAGCCCGACGCCAAAACGGTATAAAAGAAAAAAGTCCCTTCTTGCCAGCATGCGACGATTGGAAGCGGCAACGCAAGCAGCAGCCGCAGCAGCAGCAGCTAAAGTCGTGGCAGCGGCAAGGAGAGCAGAGGTGGCCCGCAAAGCAGCGGAGGGAAGTCTCAGCAGCGAGCTCGAGCAGGCGGTGGCCAACGCTGAGAGCTCTTCGTCGTCGTCGTTGTCGTCGTCGTCGTCGTCGGAAGTGAATTCAGAAGAGCCATCGGAAGTGGACGACCCTCTGGACGCAAACGGCGAAGGTGCACACCTGAAAGCTTGCAGGAAGCTGGGCACACACAGTGTCACCGAGTTCCTAGAGAAATGCAGCAACGGCGATACACTGCAGCTGGACGACTATCGCCTGGGCAAGAAGGGAGCGGTGACAATAGCGGTGGCGCTCAAGGTCAACAAGACACTAGAAAGAGTGAGCGTGCGTGACACACACATCCTAGCAGCCGGCTGCCGGATCATTCTGAAATCCCTGCACTACAACACCACTCTCAAAGAGCTGGACCTTTCCTACAACTGGCTTGGCTACCATGGCAGTCGAGCCGCCCACGAACTGCTTCTCCAAAACCAGAGCTTAACCGGTCTCATATGCTCAGGTGACAAAATTACCGACCGCTGTGCACACTATTGGGCGAAAATCGTGCGCACCACCAAGTCCCTACGCAAACTGGATCTCAGCTACAATGAGTTAGGTGATGAGGCAGGCAAGAAGCTTGGCCCAGCTATTGCTGAGAATGATACCCTCGAAGAGCTCAGTTTGAAGTGGAACCAGCTGAGACAAGATGGCGCTCTATCCATCGCTAGATCACTGATTCGCAATGGGAGACTGAAGGACCTTGACTTGTCCTGGAATGGCTTCGCCGACAACGGGGCGGCAGCCGTCGGGAGGGCTTTAAAAAAGAACTCGACGCTGGAGTCACTGAATCTGCGACACAATCGCATCTCGGAGAACGGAGCAAAGCTCCTCGCTCAGGGGATCGAGGTGAACAGCAAACTTAAACACTTGCAGGTCGGGAGCAACCCAATTGGTATGGCCGGGGTCACTGCCATCCTTATGGCGATAAAGGCGAACGCTGGAAATCGACTCGAGGAGCTAAACCTGGACAACGTTGCAATCACACAGGAAGTCCTGGACATGCTGAACGCGTTGCAGATCGTACACCCCGGGTTGAAGGTCACCCATGGTGGACTGGGTGGAGTGCAGATGCGGGCGCAGAGTGAGAAGAAGAAAGCGCCCATGGTTCTAATCAAACAGTACATCGACCGATCCAATCTGAGACTGGTAGACTTCTTCAACAGCATCGACAAAAACAAAACACTGTCCATCACTGCGGAAGAACTGGAGAAGGGGTTAAGGCAGGTGAAGATCAACCTCACCAGTGACCAGATCTCCAAACTTGTTCAGCAGCTGGATACAAACGGTGATGGGGCAATCAACTACGCTGAGTTTGTGTCCGGTGCACAGCTGGCTGCGGAGACAGAGCGCCGCTACAAGCAGGAGTATGAACATAAACGAGCATTGCACGAGATGGCCACGAAGCGTTTGACGGAAAGCCCCGATCCATCCGACAATTAGCCACCAGTGCAGTGTGATCTGACTGTGAGTATGACATTGGTAAGACATGAGGCCACCGCGTGTGCACACCAGTGGAAGGCTGACTGTATAAACACAAGACACCAAGAAACTTCCCAGTACAGTTCCCCAGCAAGACTTCCAACGATGCATGGGAATGGCCGAGCTTCCTTCGTCGTCCGACACTGTACCGGTGGCGACGGACTGAGATCCATGCTGTGTTGTTTGTGTTGGCCTCACAGCATGCAGCAATTTGCCTCGGCAACATGCAGCTGAGCTATTCATCACTTTGAAGTGTACTGGAGCGGCCGAATCAATACCGCACCATGCGGCGATGCCATGTATATTCCTTACTGGGGTGTATGATAGAACACCTTGACCGTGGCATGCGGAGTGTTGTGTGTGTGTGTGTGTGTATATGTGGACACTAGTGTGTGCGTGTGCATGTGTGTACGCAGGTGTGTGAGCATGCATGCGTGAATTCGCAAGAGTGCAGAATCATAGCCGGGTGCTGGAGATTTGCAGACAGAGCGAGAGCCGTGACTCCAATCTCTACAACTAGCGCTGCCATGCATGACGTGTTCTTACTACGTGTTAGAATGCAAGAGGCACACAAAAGGAAGTAAAATAGGGCTGTTCCCGTTTTTTTCCTTTTGTGTACCTCTTGCGTACAACGCTCTGCCTATTCCGGGCATTTGAGCACTATTGCAGGTTAAGGCATGCCTCTGTGTATGTGTTAGAATACACAACAGAACAACAAGGACAATCAAGGCTTGTTTGCTGCTACTTTAAGTTTCATGCTTACGCAATCATCAGGCAACATGAAGATCGGGTGCCGACCATGCCGGTATATATGCCAGGAGTGGGTGGTATAAAAAGCTGTGTGAGACTGTGGGGGCTAGCGGTGGTATTTTAGGCATGTTGCCTGATGATTGCGTGAGCATGAAACTAACTTAAAGTAGCAGCAAACAAGCCTTGATTGTCCTTGTTGTTCTGTTGTGTAGTACGCTCTGCCTTTGTGGTGTTGAGCACTGTCAGCACTCTGGGTACGTCCTTCGGTATGTGTTAGAATACAAAGTTTCAGAATGGTTTTAGACGAATCCCAGGGGGTGACCTGAGCCAGAGTTGGTCCAGTTGTCACCGGACCAACCGGACCGGTTCCGGTGGCCCTGCGTTATCTTTACAGCCCATACTGCGATATTCCTGAATCTTTTCTGTAAATGCTGCTGCTGCTGTCTGATGATGATCGCTGAAATGCGTGAAATTTAAAGTTAGAGCAACACAGCCCAGTTTCGCCTCTAGCTCTGTTGACAGTCTGTTGCCAGTGTTGTGTGTGAATCTGTTCATAAAGTCGCCAGTTGAATCTTCTTCTTATCCTCTCCTATTACCTGTACACCAAGTACATTCCTTCCCTTCTTTACGGATTAAACGACCCTTATCGGTTGTATTCCGCTGACACTGGTTAACCGTTTGAGGGAAAGACGCAAACGGGAAAAGTCTGAAGAAGAAAAAATTGACTGTCAGCCTTAGTCGGTAGAGCGCGAAAGCACGAATGAGTCAAGGTTCGATTAAACACACAGTTGGACATTAATTCGCAGGAAACTAGTATCTAGGAAAGTGAACTGTCGGAAAGTGATCTTCAGGAAACTAATCTCAATCGGTTAGAAACTAATCTGTAGGAAGCTAAGAGCTAAGAATGTAGCAGCTTTTATAGCGAAGGTAGAGAACTAAGGTTGGCAAGCCAGTGATTACGAAATCATCCTTCTATAATATTATACATGTACAAGTTCAAGAATAGTGGAGAAGGTAAACCTAGCTAGATCATCATTGCTATACATGTAGATGAAATGAGCATTGCGTAATATTACTATAATGACTAAGCGAGGTATTCTAGAAGGTGAGATATCTATATTTTGCAATTTAGTCAGCAACATTGCCGATCAGGCATATTACTTGGAAGGTATGGAACAGTCCGGAATCAACGACGTGATTGACTAACTATTAGAAGGGAAGTGGTAGAAGTACTAGTTCTAGAAGTGAAGACAACAAAGTTAGATACTACATCCATGGGAGATCTAATTATAGCTGATGACGAGGCTTACATTTACGTTCATGTACTACTACTACTACACAAAGGCACACAATGAAAACCTTGGCAAATTATTCCGTTGTGACTCCGAGTTTCATGGCTGAACCAATCATCAGACAACGATGTCTGATGATTGGTTCAGCCATGAAACTCGGAGTCACAACGGAATAATTTGCCAAGGTTTTCATTGTGTGCCTTTGTGTACGCCGCTCTGCCTGAATCAGGCATTGAGCACTCTTGCAGAACCAAAGCATATTGCCTCTGTACTACTACTACTAGTAATGTAATCATCAAGTCGCAATCAAGTCAGGAACATGTCATACTAATGTATGCATTTCTACCCTAACATAACCCTCCCCTTTGCGGGCACATGTCCACATGCGAAGGAAAAGTAAGAGGTGACATGTACATGTACATGTACATGCATACGGGTAGCAGCAAACAGAAAGAAAACGCAAGGCAGTGGATAATGAAGAAAGAAAAAGAAAGAGTAGCCGGGCGGGTTGGGAGCTTTCAGAGGGAATGGGTGGAATGATGAATGATGAGCGTGTGTAGAGAAGCGCTGGGTTGTTGTGAGGAATTGGCCGTATGATTGTATTGTAACTGCGGAGTTTGGCACTGGTGGATGTGATGATGGATTCGTGTATTGTAATCATGGATTGTCATGTGTGGCAGGACAGTATGTCTTGGTAGACTGATAATAATTATTATAATAAAGCAGGGACCCAGTGTGTAAAATGTAAATGTGTGAAGGACCTGTCTCTCTGTGGAGCGGTAAAATGTATGTGTTCACGTCTCGATTTTGAACGGTGAAAAAAGGGATTTGTTCGATCGCGTCATTCTTGGAGACGGTAAAACTGGGAAAGTACTCGCTCATCATGTGGTGGTATAATCATGACATTGCTACATGACTTGTGAGTTGAGTGCGTGCCTGCTTGCAGGGTATACAGCATTTTGGATCTGTTCAAGGGCAGTGACTGCTGATCCAGCAAAAATGGTCGGGATGGAAAATGCTAGGAAGCTGTGTTGTCAGAAACTTGAGAAAGCTGTTGTGCGAAGTGTGGCCATTGTAAAATGTTGGGTGATCCAGAACTGTCTGTATGCATCTGTACGTAGATAGCGTTTTGATAGAATGGCGGGGCTGGGACTCGGAGTGTCAGTGGGATGGGATGAATGATGGAGAGAGTGTATAATTTTTTTTTAAAGCACTAGAACAACTACAAATGTACATGACATCATTTTTTTATTGACATGTATGCCTATGATAACGGAAAGATAGCGAATAAACTAGCGAGGGATAGCGTGGTTTGTATGATAGGGTTGGCACATTGACTAGTACTAGGTTCAGGAAGGAGAATCAAGCGTTGAATGTTGACAGACACTGCGTGCGATTGGTCAAACATAGCGCTATGAGGTAGGCTGTTGTCCCGGTACTCAGCATAATCCTTCATATCATCTTGCGAATCTTCTTGGGCATGTGCTTGCCATGGCACAGCATTGTTGACAGCCAGACATACCACCAGAGTGACGAAGAAGACTGGGACGAATTTCATCTTGACGAGTATGAGGAGAAAAACGTGTGCAAGAAAATGCTGGCTACGATTGAATGCGGCGGTCTCAGGTTGTCGTGGGTTCAGAACCGCTGTTCGGGCCAACTGTTAACTCAGCTTCAGTCAGTCGGTAGAGCAATAGAAAGTACTGAGTAATGAGTAAAGGTTTTCAGGACTCGAACCAGTCATAGGTTTTACTACTAGTCTGTATCGGCTATAGCGTACCCTTTTGATTTCCGTGATTTTATCACTATAACCGATGCATCACTATATGCGATACGATCGATTTTTTTCGATCGACACATGAAAGGCAAGGAAATACTTCCAGCATGGCGTTGTGACAAATGAGCATGCTGCATAGTTGACAGTGCCCGCATTTCCATAAAGAAATTCTGTTATGTACATGTACAGAATCACTATCAAAATAAGCAACGTGAAGAAAGTAAAGAAATAGGGCCTTTGATATTATTGCAACATGGATTCTAAACTTATCATTATAGACGATAGTAATAAATAAATTATAGTGTGTTATGCATGTTTTGATTCTTTGTTGCCATCATATTATCATTACATCCGATAAAATTAGTTATAGTGATATTTGTACTGGATAAAATACGTTTTGCTTTTGATATTTCGTACCAATATCACTGTAGCCGATATATTCTTATATCCGGTCACTCTATAGCCGATACAGACTGTACATGTACAGTCAACTTCGCTTATAACGACATTCGGCGGGGCATCAGAAAAGTGTCCTTATTCACGAAGTGTCGTTATACCCGAAGTCTCACAAGAGGTACACAAAAGGAAGTATAGGGCTGTTTTTGTTGTAACTCAGAGTTTCATGGCAAAAACCAATCATCAGACAACCTCACCCTCTGTGTACCCGAAGTCTTATTATATGTGTCACAGTGGGATGGGACCTTGCTCTGGGCATAAAAATTATGTCGTTATTCGCGAATTGTCGTTATGAAAAGGCGACGAGGAGACAATAACTTTATTAATGCGATTAATAGTATAAGTGAAGCGGACATTACGAAATGATGAATGAGAATACATGTATCTAAAATGGTTGTTCCTAATCGATTTTCTTGAGACTATCATCAGGGAAAATCGTCTCACAATAGAGGCTATACGGAGAAACAAACTACTTACAGGTTATCGGATAGTGGGAAGTATACAAGGTGAGGTGTGAAAAAAAAAACTAAAGTGGGAGAGAAGACGAAAGAAATTAGAAGAAAAGATGTGAGAGTGTTCTGACGGTGTGAGCTACTACAAAAGGTGAGTGAAATGAAGGCGTGGAAGCAGGTGAATGTGATAGAGTGAGGAACTGTGAGGTGTAGGTGTATGCGAATGAATACGTGTGTGAATGCTAGGTGAAGAGTCTCAGTTTTGTGACATTTTCTTTCTGAATGCATAGATTAGGATTGTGTTTACGGATGAAAACAGCTTCTAATACCTTAAGTTCACGAAACCTACGAGCACGACACAAAACAGTGAAGCATGAATCATCATACACTGAGCGGCATTGGCTACTAGACAAGAGGTGTTTCTTAATGGCTGACCCTTTCGTTGTGGTCTCACCTTCAGTTCGGTCATCTTCATCTTGGTTGTCCAACTCACTCTCTTCATCACTGCTCTCACCTTCCTCATCCTCAAACAACGTTCACCGGGCAATACATTGTCTACGACTCCTATTGCTCTACTTTATACAAAACTAATCTCGTACGAAATTTGATCATGCGCGCTAGGCGGATTTGCTCGCCTGATAAGCTTCAGCAAGAGCTTTGTTTCCTGAAGAAGATATTCGTTCAGAATGGATATCCTGTTCAGCTCCTCAGTACGCTGTTTAGCGAACCTGATATTCAGGCTGCCGAGCCTGAGTTTGGACCTGACCCATGTCGTGTGTTTTTACGACTTCCATGGAAAGGTCAAATTTCGCTGGATGTGGCCCGCGCCGTGAGGACTGTTGTCAGACAAACCTATTTTGCCACAGCATTGACAACAGTCTTTACTACGGCCCGTGCGTTCACGGTGAAGAAGGATGTTCTTCCTACCCAACTGATTAGCCATGTAATCTATCATTTTGAATGTCGGCATTGTGATAGCCGATATGTAGGAAGAACCCTTCAGCACCTGAACGCACGCGTCAAACAACATGTACCATTGTACCTATTGTCAGATGGAGCCAAAGCCCAGCGACCTGGACGAGGCCGTCCCCGCAAACAGGTGCCAGTTGCACAATTACAACAGAACCACACAGTACCGGTTGAACGGACTACAAGTACACAGGTACGTGAGACTGAAGGAAATGGCCAAACACAGGTACGGAGACCAGTAACTAGGAGCATGACTCGTGCGCTGGTAATAGCATCTACAACCGGACATGGACTGGCAGCGAGCAGTAGCGTGGGATTGTCGTTGGGTGCAGAGGACGGGATGGAAGCGGAGGAGGATGAGGAAGGTGAGAGCAGTGATGAAGAGAGTGAGTTGGACAACCAAGATGAAGATGACCGAACTGAAGGTGAGACCACAACGAAAGGGTCAGCCATTAAGAAACACCTCTTGTCTAGTAGCCAATGCCGCTCAGTGTATGATGATTCATGCTTCACTGTTTTGTGTCGTGCTCGTAGGTTTCGTGAACTTAAGGTATTGGAAGCTGTTTTCATCCGTAAACACAATCCTAATCTATGCATTCAGAAAGAAAATGTCACAAAACTGAGACTCTTCACCTAGCATTCACACACGTATTCATTCGCATACACCTACACCTCACAGTTCCTCACTCTATCACATTCACCTGCTTCCACGCCTTCATTTCACTCACCTTTTGTAGTAGCTCACACCGTCAGAACACTCTCACATCTTTTCTTCTAATTTCTTTCGTCTTCTCTCCCACTTTAGTTTTTTTTTCACACCTCACCTTGTATACTTCCCACTATCCGATAACCTATAAGTAGTTTGTTTCTCCGTATAGCCTCTATTGTGAGACGATTTTCCCTGATGATAGTCTCAAGAAAATCGATTAGGAACAACCATTTTAGATACATGTATTCTCATTCATCATTTTGTAATGTCCGCTTCACTTATACTATTAATCGCATTAATTGTCGTTATATCCGCAGTCGTTATATCCGCAGTCGTTATATCCGCAGTCGTTATTAGCGAAGTTGACTGTACTATTCACTTGCCACTGATTTTCCTTGTCAGAAGGTGCGCTCATGCCGTCATGGCTTACAATAATATATAATCATTACCGGTAATATACAAAATTCAATGTAGTCTCACCACTGTGAGTGGCTGTCTGTAACTAGTAACTACACTGTAGTCAGTCTTATTACAGCCGCACTCACTCATCTACTGTCCTTGGTCACTCCTTGCTCATCATCGACGAGTCGGCCCCTCTGAAACTCGCGTTCCTGTCTTCATGGTCCTTCGGGCATGCTTGCTGGTTTCAATCACGAATGAACTCAAAACAGTGCAAACAACACAAAGCTTGTGCCATGCCACTATCAACAGTGCTGGCACCTGAAATCCGACCCCCTGACCGGTGGGTTCACATTGTAGCGGTCTCTGTTTCGTAGTTTTACCATCCCGTTTTGGGTCTTTGCGATGTGAGCGCACCGCTCAGTGGTCGGATTTCAGTTGCCAGCACTGAGTCTGTACTTACAGTGTACTTACTTCTCTCCATGCTTTCATACTATCCTAGGGCTATGGAGTATGGACCAGATGGACTATGGTATCGATCCTGCACCCTGATGTTCGAAAAGATCACCTGCCGCTCAGCTGCATGCAAGAGCTGCAGTACAGATCAGCGGTGTCCTCCGTCTGGAACTAGAAGGGGAAACGGGGGCGGGGGGGGGGGGGGGGGGGCTGGGGGGATAGTGCGTAAAGTCTTGCGGCGCTGCATGCTAGCACTAGCACTCAGCAGGGCACCGCGCCCAGCCGCGCCGCTCGCTGGGACGCGGTACGCTGGCATGATACAGCACTTGTTTTTTCCAGGGAGTCGTAAAAATGGTATTTTACGGCTCCCTGTTTTTTTTCTGACATCACCGTGATTACGTCACTTTGAAGTGTTGCCTGGAAACAGAATATGGCGTCGAAGTTGAAGCGAGAGCAAGGACATTTTTTGCTTTTCATTTTGAGAGCGCCCGGCGCATTGTGCAGCTTTTTAGTGAGTTTTCCAGGACGAAGATCTAAGACTTTTCATCTGAGATCGTAGAAATGGAGGCAGAACGGCGGGAGGTGGAATTTGCGAGGCGCCTCTCAGTCTCGGACAAAGGAAGCCGTGATCGTGCGCTGAAAAAGCTGAAAACATGGCTTCATGCGCGATCCCAGCCGACTGGAGGTAATGGATACAATCAGTTACTTCGCTGCAGAAAAGATTTGTTCTTGTCCATTGCTGCTACATTGAGATATTTTGACTCCTTTGCGATACCCACTGCAGACTTCGGTGTAGATGAAATGATGAAGCTGTGGCGTGGTCTACATTACTGCATGTGGATGTCGGACAAGCCACTTGTACAGGTACAGCATGTACACAAAGTAGCCTGTACATGTATTTCTAAAAAATGTTTACTGCATTGTCGTCCTGTGTACATGTTTCGTTCCAGTACTAGTACAGTAGTTGAGAAAGTCAACACTCCAGTACTCTGGGCAAGTCTCTTATCGGAGCACTGCGCTTTGGCTGATGTTCGTAATTGTGGTTATTTTGCACCAGCTTTTCAGCACGCCTATGGATAAAATTAATATAAAATTAATGACTCATTATGTGTTCAGTTTGGCAAATAACATATTTTGTTAAGTGATTTTCCCTTCACATTTGGATTGTGAACGTTTCGAAAGTAGTGGATAGAATTGTCGTCTTCAGTTATGGTTCAGTTTTAGTTTGAACCAGTTCATGTACAGTGGTGACACGATGTTTGTCCATGTCCTTGTAGTGTGTGTGTGTGTGTGCGTGTGTGTGTTCACATGCATGTGTGTAAGTGAGTGATAAGTAGAGGGAGAGAGAGAGAGAGAGAGTACTGTAAAACCGGAAAGTCTAACGACCAAAAAGTTTAACGTTTTTTGTAATTTTGGCATGATTACGTGCAGAAAGTTTAACGATGGCTACCTGGCCACCCATCTGTATGCGCATCTTTACACAGACATCTAGCTATAACGTATTTTTCAAATAACGAAAAAGAATTGGTCGTTCGTTAGACTTTGTGACTCGTTTAGACTTTCCGGTTTTACAGTACTGACTGGGATTTAGTCTGGGTTTTTGATAGTGACTGAGGAGGTGGGTCATATCTCGTGCGAATCATAGTTGGCAGACTCCATAGCAAAACCATGCAGAGTTGCATACTCTTGGGACTTGGTTTTGGTTGCCTTTTCTCGAGATCTTATGTTGGGCAATGGTCACTTCTACTTTTGATTCTGCACCAGCAGACCATCCAGCCCCATCACCGCTCCAAAGTGACATTCCCGTACATAGTGTACACAAAGGCAACTCTCTTCCCTATGTTGTATATTGGTGGTGCTGCGGCTGTTCTTGCCCTTGCTTCTATGACTTTTGCTGCTGCTGCTGTTGCTTCTATTACTGCTAGCTGTACCGAATAGTACTGCTGCCGTTGAAATACATTTGCGAACTTACATGCACAGAATATGAGTGAATAATAATATATGTGCGTCAGTCATCACCACACAACATCGAAGCTTCAAAAAGGTTTGGCCAGAATCGATTTTCTTACCACGTTTTTCAGTGGACATTTCTTAAATTTTTGTCTCCACATCGCCTATTTGTGTGAGTTACGTTCAATGTTTTTTTCTCCTATTTCTATTGCTTGCAGGAGGAATGTGCTAAAAACATCTCTTCGCTTGTACACAGTCTGGCAACGCAATTCTCTGGTTAGATTCATATTGTCCACCACTGTACTTTCTCTTGTACCATTATGTACTGTTATCGCTGCTGCACCACCCCATGAAATAACGATCGGACATTGGACAATTTCTGTTTTCGATCGTTATCCGGGCGAAATAACCGTGCGACGGACAAAGTGTCCGATTGATCCGATTTTTGTTGTTGTGTGCATGTGCAACTGTAAAACGGGAGGTAATGCTAACGTGTGAACTTTACTTGTGTGTACTGTACGTCGTGGTGTGTAACCGTGCAGCGCTGAGATTTGTGGACTGTGGCTGGCTGACGCTGTGCCAGGAATGGCATAACATAGACCGGCTGCGCATGGACAAGTACCTCATGGTAAGCTTCATGTGCTGGGTCTGCTGCATTCGATATGGTGCATGCGCAGTCTTGGTGTACTGATACTCAGAAGGGAAAGCTAAAGTTGTATTAATTCTTTGTTGCCATCTTCAATAGGTCCGTCAAATACAGTAGTAATAGGTTTTTCATTTGACCCGACGAGACCACATATGTGAGGTAGTTGAGTGTTTACACCTCAGTGCGCCAATATCTTTTCTATAAAATGGCATTATTCAGCTAAACTCCTTCATTCAACAACTGCTTCTCCTCTGATGAGTTCCCCGTTATTATCTCTATGGAACGAAACAAGACTTATCAGGAGTACTACTACTTGCTTTCGTGGAGTGTGGCTGGTGAACTGTTCGTGCTGTGATCTGCAAGCGTCGTGTGGTCTCGTCGGGTCAAATGAAAAACCTATTACTAAAGTTGTATTGCTGTTACTTAGAGTTGAGTTTCACGCGTTCGCCATCATCAGACAGCACTTGGTTTATGCTGCGAGGACTGCTAATGTGTATGTACGTCTGTGTTCATGTCTTTCACGCATCTGTGTGTGTGTGTGTGTGTGTGTTTGTGTCCGCGTGCAACACGTGTGTGTGTGTGTCTGTGTCCGTGTCTTCCACACATCCTGGTGATGATTTAGATGATCCGCCACTACCTGCGACAGAACTTTGCTTACTTACAGAAGCACAAGTGGGACACAGAGTAAGTTATTTAAAAAGCATTGCATTAAAGGGGAAGTTAAGGCAAAAATCAAAATTTCACCAGTTGTAGTATTCGGGGTGCTGAGTCGAATGGTCTTGGTCCGAGAAAGCTGAAACACTCCCTTCCTACTTGAATCCCAATCGAACTCGCGCACTTCCACCGAAACTGGGTGACTGCGCCCTACTAGATGGGGATTTGTATGCAAAATGTCACTAAAAGCGCCATTTCGTTCTTATAATAAAAGCACGGATGACCGCGATTGGCCTATATGTTGTAGTCTTTTGGACGCTGAGTCGACTGGTTTTGGTCCGAAAAGGCTGCGATGCAGCGTTCCTCCATTATTCCCAATCGAACATGGTTGAAGAAGCGGTCACGTGCTCCTGGGTGCCCAAATCACCTGGTCACCACGCCAGCAGGCGAAAACTCAAATCACGTGTCTAGATACGTTCGTACTACGTACAAAGGAAGGATAGCGTGCGCGCAATCTGAATACCGTACTGGCAATATATGTTGCCGCGTAACGCAGGGGGGTGCGGCGTAACGCGCGACCAGGCTAGTGCGACAAATTTTCGTTGAGTTCGTAACGCGCGTCCGGCGGTGTGCGGCGATCTTTTCATTGCAGTTTGCAAAAAATGATGCGGCAATAGCAAAAAAATGATGCGGCAATAGCAAAAAAGTGATGCGGCAATAGCAAAAAAAGGACTGCGGCAATATAGAAACCTGTGTAACGGCTCCTGTGCGACTTTGCATTTAACGCCCTGCGTGCGGCAAACATGTGCCAATGTAACGCTTCATGGCCTCACTGCGGCAACATATATTGCCAGTACGGTATCTGCCATGATCACTCTGGGGATTTGCATACCCGCAGTGAGTTTCTGTCAGAGAGTGCTTTTTTTATTACTCCGCTGCTCGCTAAAAACGGGCTGGAAACGTACAACTGCAACACTGCACCACGTGATGTGAGTTTTCGCCGTCGGCGTACCCCGTAGAAAGGGTATCAGGAGTTGCACACTCTTGGGGGTTTATATACTCTTGATGGTAGGATGGCAGGGTGAGTAAGGCGTGTACTGCCACTGTGTATGTTGTCACAGATCTCTCTCACACATGCAGACTCGGTCTGCCTACTTTTTCTCCTTCCATTTCTTCGCATACCCTGTCCCCTATTTTATATGTAGTTACTTCAAAGTACAGTAAAACCTGGTTTAAGCGGCCACCCCACGGTGCAAGCAAAAGCGGTCGTTAAAGCCAGGTTCCACAGTGTCTGTGTAGAACTGTCCGTGCATGGAAAAACGGTTGTTAAGAGCAGGTGGTCGCTTACACCAGGTTTTAGTGTATGAAAGAACTCATCACCAGTCCTGGAGATGTCCTAGATAGGACATCACGGAACCCAGCATGCCCCTGCATACATACTATGCTGTTCCCATAGTAATCGTGACACGTGACTCAAAACTTTGTGTCGCGTCCGAGGAAGATGAACATTCGAACTCAAAACAAACGCAACCAAGGCCTTTCGTCTCAAAAGTAGTTAGTTGTCGTTCTCCTGGCGGCTTGCCTCAAGCGAGTCGAGATTCGTATCTTGCCTCTTGCCTTCACGAATTTTATTTTCCTCGTTGTGGAGTACGCCTGGACAAAGGAACTGGCAAGCGAATCATTTTGGTCGCATTGAAAATTGCAAGTGCACAAGAGGATTGGCGAAGCAATTTGTGTTCGCATTTTCAGCAGAGCAGTAGCTGCTGCTGCGATAAAGTTTTACTTTCGCCATTGGTTTCAGGCAGCAGAAGGATCTGGCTGAAAGCGATGGCGATACGTCCATGACCACCACGTCCTGGGTTGATATCCAAGAAAGACCGTCCAAGGTCCAGTTTTAGCCAAGAGCTGTCGTATCCAAGAAATCAAAAACGCCAACAGCAAGCTTTGGCCAAGTAATATCTTCCACGCAGTAATTTACGGGCCTAGCGCCTGCTGCCTCGTCGTCCTCCTCTGCATGGCCAGGTTTGGGGCGAAATGAACGCACGGGGCGTGAAGAAACATTCCAAAGGCAAAACATTCAAAAATTAGAACCAATCGTTTCCAAAGAAGCGCCGCGTGGCTACGAGAAACCCCACATGAAATACCCAAACGAAAACGGCCATTCGGTCGGGTATTCGATGGCGAATCGAATATACACTACCTCAATCCCCGCCGATGTCTGATATTCTCCGCCTATTCCCTCAAACTTGACCAATTCGGAAAGAAATCCATCGCCATTACGATCGTGCATCCTCCACATACATTCAGAAATGCTCACGCAGCACTTCTTTTCATCGCGTGTGCGGGACCGACGCTTCCATGACAACTCTGGGACAGGTAACCAATCAGACTCATTCAGAGTGCGATGTCCTAGATAGGACATCTCCCCGACTGATCACCCTGGCTTGAAAAGTTCCTGCGTGTATCTTGTCTTCTTGTTGTGAAATGTGATATCTGCTGTGCTGTGTTGTATGTGCTGGATCTCCTTGTCTCCATCTGTAGGCTGGTTGATGAGATGTTGCAAAACTTCACCCTCGGTATTCTTGACCCGCTCAGCGAAGAGGTACATTCCAGTGGCTGCGTTTGTGAGTGTGCATGTGCGCGTCAGGGTTCTAGGCTTCTAGCCAAGTAAAAATAGCAGGGGGGGGGGGGGGGGGGAACAGTTACCCGTAACCCATTGTTCCGTTTTCTAAAAGTATCTTGCCATGCCAAATGCAACGTTTTGGGGCGAACCCCCCCCCCCCCCCCCCCCCCCCGACCTCACCCTACACAAATGTGCCGTTGTGAACCCTATAGTGGTGACTAGAGACTGCATTTTTGTTGAAAGAAACAGAAATCGACAAATGAGTAGCCCCCCCCCCCCCCCCCCTTGGCTAGAACCCTGGTGCGTGTATGTACGTGGGTGCACATCCAGTGCATTTGCAGATTTGCATGCTTCTCTTGCGACGGGCGTATTCTTGGTACATATACGTGTGTATGTGAGTACTTCCTCCGTGTCATCGAAATTGTCGCAGTTTGACTTTTGATATAAAACGTGGTATTTACTCACCAGCACTCGTACCAGAGGCAAGGAATCGGACATAGGCGATAGTCATCAACCGACCTCGCAACGATCGTGTATTCTCACTAGGCTTCGTTGGTGGTGAAGTAGAAATCATCCAGAGCTAGCAGACGACAAGCATAGCAGCTCTTGTCCTGTGGAGAAAGTCAAAGCGTTTGGGATGAGGCGCGACCAACTTTCAACCTTCCTTGAAATATTTCGGAACGATATTTTTTGCGTCCATTGACATCAGCGACGACGAGGACTTCATCTCTGCATAAAAACTCTTAGTCCAACTGTCCTGGAACGTTACTCTAGTCTTCAGACTATCATACTGTGTAATAAGTTTTGAATGGCTTAGCGTATGGAGTTGTAGTAGTAGTAGTAGTAGTAGTAGTAGTAGTAGTAGTAGTAGTAGTAGTAGTAGTAGTAGTAGTAGTAGTAGTAGTAGTAGTAGTAGTAGTAGTAGTAGTAGTAGTAGTAGTAGTAGTAGTAGTAGTAGTAGTAGTAGTAGTAGTAGTAGTAGTAGTAGTAGTAGTAGTAGTAGTAGTAGTAGTAGTAGTAGTAGTAGTAGTAGTAGTAGTATTTATTATTTTACTAGGGCAATCCCCACAGACTGTGAGTCTTTTTACAGGGTACCCTAGGTAAGTGCGTGAAATAGAGCTGAATGAAGAAAGCCGTAAGTGTGTGAAATAGAGTAAAGAAAAAAAGAAAACGGTGGCTGCATACTGTGCCATTATGTGTTGCAAAAGAGGCTGCGAAGAGTACTGTTGAACATTGCAAAGGAGGCTGCCTGTCGGCATGCTGCTGGAAGCGAATTCCACCTGTCAGCAGCCAGGTAAGGCAAAGCATAGAAACCGTACCGTGACGAAGCATTAGGCAGGGCTAAAGCCAGGGCGGACTGTCCCCTGGTCAAGGCATTGGTATGGTTGCTATTTGATCTAAGTACAAAAAGCTCGGCAAGTAGAGGGCTGCGGCGGCCATGCACACATTTATAGACAAGGCAAAATATTTTTAGGTTATAACGGATGGCGACAGGAATAATTTTGTGGCGTTGACAAATGGTGGCGGTTGGGTGGCATGGTGGGTAGCCAAATGTTATCCTGAGGCTACGTTTGAAGCATCGAATGAGTGTGTTGTATAGGGTTGCTGATATCGTGTGAACGTAGCAGTTGCTGGCGTACTCCATGGTGGATTGGATAATGCTTAGGTAAAAGGAACGTTGTGCCTGGGTGGTGATGTGATGTCGTATTCTGCGGAATGCGGCCAGCTTACGGTTGACGTCAGCAACAACTTTCCCGACCTGCTCCTTGAAGGCAAGGTGCTGGTCGACTAGCACTCCAAGGTAACGGACACACTGGGAGTTGTCAGTAACAAGTGGCAAGTCACTAGTCAAACTGCGACAATTTCGATGACGCGGAGGAAGTATGTGTGTGCAAGTGTGTATGCTGCCCCATGTATGATTTGTCTTGCATGGAATGCGGCCAGCTTACGGTTGACGTCAGCAACAACTTTCCCGACCTGCTCCTTGAAGGCAAGGTGCTGGTCGACTAGCACTCCAAGGTAACGGACACACTGGGAGTTGTCAGTAACAAGTGACAAGTCACTAGTCAAACTGCGACAATTTCGATGACGCGGAGGAAGTATGTGTGTGCAAGTGTGTATGCTGCCCCATGTATGATTTTTCTTGCATGTAGGTGAACGATCCATAGAGAGTTGTGGCGTTTCTATGGGTGCGGAAAACTCGCCCTTCAGCCAAGTCTTGCGTGAACCGTGAATTTTGTTTTGGGGGGGGGGGGGGGGGGAACGATGCTTCTCATCTGCTATTTGTTACCTTTTGTATGTGCTTTTTCCCTTCAATCTTCCATATTGACATGTACGAATCGTACCATGCTTCTCTTGTTCTCAGTGCTGTACGTGCTGATGTACATGCTGCAGTACGCTGACCGAGAAGGCGGTACAGGATTGTGTTGTATCACGCTCACACACTCTTCTTCCTGCTTTGCAACCGAGTAGGTGTGTTTGGTAATGACTTGTGTTCTTGTCGTTTAGCTTGCCCTCTGTGTCCTGTTGTGTGTCTGTGTGGTCATGTTGGTGTCTATCCCCCAGGTTCCTGTCGGCATGCAGCTTCACTTGGCTGACATCTATGTACCTGTTCTGGTAGACCTTGCACATCGTGAGCAGGTAAATTGGCTCCTGGCTTGATTTAGTACAGCGACATGTTCGTGTGTCTTGCATTCACTCGCCTCTACTACTATCTCTACATGACATGTGTAGCATAGCCGAATTGTGTGTGTGTGTGTGTGTGTGTGTGTGTGTGTGTGTGTGTGTGTGCGTGCGTGTGTGTGTGTGTGTGTGTGTGTTGAATGGTGTAATCCCAGCACAAGTTGTCTAACATAGCTGTTCGCTATCATCGCTTCCGCGATGGGCAGGTCTGAGGTGTGTGCGTGTGTGTGTGTGTGTGCCGGTGGACAACACGCTTCCTGGTCTGCCCCTTATGGGGCCCACATAGCCAGTCATGGCAGTGGAAGAAGCAAGGAAGGTGTGTATGTGTGTGTATTGCAGTAATATTGACGGTAATACTACTGATGGTTTGTCACCGTTTCTACAGATCCCGTGGAATATTCTGGAGCGATTACTGCAACCTATCCTCTCCTTGGCTGTGAAGACAAATAAGTATGTGATTGCTATAGCTTCTAAGCAATGCACACTTCTCCTTTCGGCTTCTTTGTTCTGGACAGGATATCAGTTAACATTATGCACCTGTTATATTGATCTCTGGAATTTAGCATTGCCAATAAACACCTGGATAGGGCATTTGAGTGGTGGTATCTGATGGCATATTATATGCTTTACTTGCGAACTCATCTCTCTCTCTCTTTCTTTCTCTTTCTCTCTCTTTCTTTCTCTTTCTCTCTTTTTCTCTCTCTTTCTTGTTTTGTCAAACCCAAACACAGGCCCGTAGTTATGAAAGCTGTATGTCAAGGTGTCATTGAGATGTTGCTGGAGTTGCCCTCCATTCACGCTCAGCTCTCTGCCAACGGAGACTCGGACACCATGGCTAAGGAAAGTAATGGAGATGAACCAATGGACGACGATGATGAAGAAGTAGAGGACCTTCCACCATTGAAGGTACTTGGCTTCACCGTTCCCTGCTGTTGCTAGTAATCTTGTTACAATCCAATCAGCAATAGTTGATCTCCGCCCTTTTTGAAAACTGGCTTAGGGTGATTTAGGCCAAGCACCAGTGTTGTACCAAGAGTACATAACCCCCAAGAGTGTGCAACTGCCTGCACAACTTCTATGTAGTGCTGCGACTGCAGAATGATGTGTGTATTGCAGTCCGCCACACCACCACCACTATTGCAGTGTATGAGGGTGTGAAGGTATTGCAGTGGATGTACAGTGTTGCAGTGTATGAAGATGTGCATACTGCAGTGGATGTACAGTGTTGCAGTGTATGAAGATGTGCATAGTACAGTGCATGTATTGCAGTGTATGAAAATGTGCATACTGCACTGAAGGTATTGCAGTGGACGGAGCTGTGTATAGTGCAGTACGGCATGTCTGACTTCTCAATCTGCTGTACTGTACATCGTACTGCAGTTCACAGCCTTGAGCTCGTTCCAACTCATACTGCAGTTCAATATCAGGGAAGTGACACAGTGTTACTGAAAGCGGGAGGTGGGCAGATAGAACTGTACTTCACAGTATGTGCATCTAACGTCTTAGTCATGCAGCTGTAATCTGTTCGCCTGCGATTGTAGGTATTTCTTGCGCTTGGTGTTGCATTGCACCTGTCCGACCAACCACGTACATGTACTTGCTAAGTGCGGTCCCCCGTCTTGTTGTCTTCAGGTCGACCATGGCGCTCTGGCTCAAACCCTCTTCTCGCTTGGTAGCCAATCATCTGTTACACAAAAGGCACGCTCTGCACTGTACCTGCTCAAGCGAAGGTATGCAGCCCTGGGCACGTTCAGCTTGCTTGTTTCCCTATCGCTTGTTTCCCTACCGCTTGTTTCCCAACCGCTTGCAGTGTCTGTGACTGTGTTATGATACATGCACTGTGTTGTTGATACTGGCGTAGAGGTGCTGGGTACATGCACTGCACTAGCCTCGAAGGTGGTTTGCTTTATTTTGTTGTTGCTGCTGCCTTTCTAACATGCACGTGTGCTGGTGTCTGTGTGCTGCCTGGCATAGATTTGACGGAATTGCTGTGAAGCACGTGCCCACGACGCCCACTCCCACCACCGGTATGCACATTGCTGATGTGTGTGTGTGTGTGTGTGTGTGTGTGTGTGTGTGTGTGTGTGTGTCTCTCTCTCTCTCTCTCTCTCTTTCTCTCTCTCTCTCTCTATCGCGCGCGCGCTCTCCCTCTCTCGCTCTCTCTCTCTCTCACTCACTTTTATTTGTTTCCTCGGTATACCATCAGTGTACCCTATTCGTCTTTCTTCCAGTTATCCTATCAGCAAGAGTATATTAGCTCCCAAGAGTGTGCCACTCTGGATACCCTTTCTATGGGACCGCCGCCAGTGAAAACCCAGATCACATGGTGTAGTGTTCACGTTGTACATTGCAAGCCCGGTTTTAGGGAGCAGTGGAGTAGTAAAAATTGCACTCGTTGACGGAAACCCACTCTCAAGTCATCAGCATGATCACGGCAGATATTTGTACTGCATGCACGCTAGCCTTCATCGTATGTGGTACAAATCGTACTTGGAACACGTGATGTGCGTTTTCGCCGTCGGGGACGCCATACGCAGATTTGCACACTCTTGAGAGCTCTTTCTTTTTCTAATGATGAACACTTTTCTAATTGTCCGCAAACTCCAACACAGCCACTTACACGTTTAAACTTCACTTCTCAACTCCAAAAACGGTCTCTTTACTGCGATTCAAATTAAGATTAACATTACACCAAATTTTCGGGCCTGGCCCATCATCATTACCCTGATGGTGGGCCAGGCCCGAAAATTTGGTGTAATGTTAATCTTAAAGGGGAAGTTAAGGCAAAAAATAAAATTTCACCAGTTGTAGTCTTCGGGGTGCTGAGTCGAATGGTCGTGGTCCGAGGAAGCTGAGACGCTCCCTTCCTACTTGAATCCTAATCGAACTCACGCACTTCCACCGAAACTGGGTGACTGCGCCCTACTAGATGGGGATTTGTATGCAAAATGTCACTAAAAGCGCCATTTCGTTCTTATAAAAGCACGGATGACCGCGATTGGCCCATATGTTGTAGTCTTTTGGACGCTGAGTCGACTGGTTTTGGTCCGAAAAGGCTGCGATGCAGCGTTCCTCCTTTATTCCCAATCGAACATGGTTGAACAAGCGGTCACGTGCTCCTGCGTACACCAGTCACCTGGTCACCGTGCCTGCAGGGTACAACTTACTAGCCTGTTTGACCTTTTTTGGGTGCAGTCCTGTCACTCGAGTTGAACCTTGGTGTGAAAGTTGTCGCCTGCTGGCTTGGTGACCAGGTGATTTGGGCACCCAGGAGCACGTGACCGCTTGTTCAACCATGTTCGATTGGGAATAAAGGAGGAACGCTGCATCGCAGCCTTTTCGGACCAAAACCAGTCGACTCAGCGTCCAAAAGACTACAACATATGGGCCAATCGCGGTCATCCGTGCTTTTATAAGAACGAAATGGCGCTTTTAGTGACATTTTGCATACAAATCCCCATCTAGTAGGGCGCAGTCACCCAGTTTCGGTGGAAGTGCGCGTGTTCGATTGGGATTAAAGTAGGAAGGGAGCGTCTCAGCTTCCTCGGACCACGACCATTCGACTCAGCACCCCGAAGACTACAACTGGTGAAATTTTGATTTTGCCTTAACTTCCCCTTTAATTTTAATTTTAATCGCAGTTAAGAGACCGTTTTTGGAGTTGAGAAGTGAAGTTTAAAAGATGAACACCACGAAGAAAAACTTTTTTTCCTTTTTTCGGTCACACCGTCTCTCTCTCTCTCTCTCTCTCTCTCTCTCTCTCTCTCTCTCTCTCTCTCTCTGTTCATATGTCTCATTTCTAGCGGATGACTCAGAAGTGGAGAGATCGAATCACAGAGCGTCTGCGGCGCCACAACCTTCCGATGACTCCAGTGCCAGTGAGCCATCTTCACCTGTTCTCATTGGAAAGAAGAGAAAACGAAAGCAGAAGCGCAAGTCACCGATGGAAAGTCCCGTGTCTCCAGCAGCTGAGCCGACGCTGTCACCGACTAAATCGCCGGAACCAGAGAGGGTACCTGAACTCATGGCAACGCCCACTCCCAAAGCTGAGGTTTGTGCAGCCTGTGCTGGGATTCTGGTTTGTTTTTTTGTGTGTGTGTGTGTGTGTGTTTGTGTGTGTCACGGTGTATGTGTGTGTACATGTGTGCATGAGTGCGTGCGTGTGTGTTTGTGTCACTGCCCGGTGTGTGTGTGTGTGTGTGTGTGTGTGCACGCATACATGTGTGTGTGTGTGTGTGTGTGCACGCATACATGTGTGTGTGTGTGTGTGTGTGTGTGTGTGTGTGTGTGTGTGTGTGTGTGTGTGTGTGCACGCATACATGTGTGTGTGTGTGTGTGTGTGCCTGAGTGTATACTATTACTATGCATACTCAGTCGTCTAGAACTTGTCTGTTGTCATGACCGAAATTAGCGGATGTCGTTATGTCGTGCGGTATTTCGTTGATGATGAATTTGAATATATGAATTTACTTTTGCGCTTCTGTTCGTGCCTTTGTGTTGTACGACCACCTGTGTAATTTCTTTTTGCTCTCGTAGGCAACCACACCAGTTACAGACGACGGCAGTCCCCGGAAAAAGAAAAGAATACGCCTGTCTATGAAGGACAATCAAGTAAAACGTGAGTGTACAGTTGCCACTGCTCAGCCTGGCCTCCAACAAGTGATCCCATGTACATGTAGAGTTGCCACTGCTCAGCCTGGCCTCCAACAAGTGATCCCATGTACATGTAGAGTTGCCACTGCTCAGCCTGGCCTCCAACAAGTGATCCCATGTACATGTAGAGTTGCCACTGCTCAGCCTGGCCTCCAACAAGTGATCCCATGTACATGTAGAGTTGCCACTGCTCAGCCTGGCCTCCAACAAGTGATCCCATGTACATGTAGAGTTGCCACTGCTCAGCCTGGCCTCCAACAAGTGATCCCATGTACATGTAGAGTTGCCACTGCTCAGCCTGGCCTCCAACAAGTGATCCCATATACATGTAGAGTTGCCACTGCTCAGCCTGGCCTCCAACAAGTGATCCCATGTACATGTAGAGTTGCCACTGCTCAGCCTGGCCTCCAACAAGTGATCCCATGTACATGTAGAGTTGCCACTGCTCAGCCTGGCCAACAACAAGTGATCCCATGTACATGTGCAGTAAAACCAGTGTAACTAAACACCACAGTGACTAGCCACCAGCCTGCTACTACAGTACAGACCCCTTTGCCAGGCACGGACGGTCTCACATTCATTATGTTATGGTTGTGCGGTGCAAACCTCTAACTAGGGACCACCTGCCACTAAAGACCGCTTTCTCTGGCCCCAAGGGGTCGTCATTAGTCACAGGTTTAACTGTACTGGACGTATTGGCTACCAGTATGGCTACCAGTATGGCAATAGTACTTGAGCCTACAATCATACCTCAGTTATCCGGACACCGACGTTACGGACACTTCGGTCTACCGGGCACCCTTTGGGCAAGTTTCAGTGGAAAATATTACCGCTTTTTTGTTACTTTTAGTGGAAATGGTAACATCACATGTACATACCTGCCAAGTACTGAGAGTGCTTTTTCTGGATCGCCATGGCAAAATCCCGGGATTTGCCTTGGTTTTTCCGGATATGTCATACTTTTACTAAAAAAATCCTTTTTCAACTTTTGATGGCACCGACATTTCGATAATAGATAATTTATGGTGATCATCGGATCACACTTACACGTGTTCAAGACTCAAAAACGGAGGTTTTTTCAGACACTGCTCATGGAAGGAGCACTAGTAGATCCACTGGTACTGCAGGCTATGGCGGTCCGGGATCAACAAGGACAATTACTGGCCTGTGATAAGTCATTTGAAGTGCTCCAAGTACAATAACAAGCTTGTTTCTTGTACAGTGAATTTCGAGGTAATCGACAGGAAATTCGGGATCGCGGGAGTTCATCCAAAATTGCGGGATAATCCCGAAAAAATCTGGATACTTGGCAGGTATGCATGTCATACCTTCGGCCTTTCTCCATCAACATATACTGTGATTCAGAGTTACTCAAATTTTAAAGTTACAGGCCATGCCTGGTCCCGGACCACCAGGATAAACGAGGTATGAGTGTATTTGAAGGTCAGGTCAGGTCTGAAGATTGTGTTGGGTGTGCCATTAGCCCTTTCATCCGCCTAACTGCTGTGTACTGCTATGTAGAATCAAGTTTATTCTGTTCTGTGTGTCTCTCTCTCTCTCTCTCTCTCTCTCTCTCTCTCTCTCTCTCTCTCTCTCTCTCTCTCTCTCTCTCTCTCCCCCTCTCTCTCTCTGATGTCGATGCAGAATTCTCGAAGAAAGATCCCATAGATGTTAGTCCGTGGAAGCCGACATCGAAGGAAGGCAAGAGCTTGCTGAAGAATCGCACACCCACGCCGATCACTCCACGCATGCGCCGTATCCTGGCCCAGGACAAAGCCAAATCAGAGTCACGGCGTCACAGCACAGGCGGGGCAATGCCACCGTTGTCCACGTGATCCCTGTGACAGTGCAGGCCATTACCCACCACCCTTCTCAGTGCTGCGACACAACCAACTTATCTTTACTAACGTTTCTTCTCCCTCGCTCTTTCTTTCGTTCTGGACGCCGTCCGCTAGCTACTGTTGACTCGTTTCCGACCATCACGCTGTTGTCAGCGCATTCCTTATCTGATGCTGCGCTCTGCAATCAAGACTTCTCCTATGCTTGGTTGTTGCTAGCTGACTCTTGCCATGCTGCTGACTAGGTCAACCTGGTCACTCTTGATACCAACGAATTTCATGTTTTATTCTCTTTAGTAGCATCCTTGGATTGCTGTTGCTTAGCCTAGATTTACAGACACCGGATTTGTGAGTGATGATGTTGACGTTTCTGCCTAGATCCCAGTATTCTGACTTGGGTGTAAGTTATGTCGTGTGTCCCGTGTGTTGTATACAGTCAAGCCATGCAAAATATCTGAATTGAACTTCCATAACTGATAAGCAAAGGCTCAGAAGATTTTTCTCCCAAGCCCCATTCTGTTGTTGAGTGTGTGAGTAGATCTGTGCACGTGTGTGTGTGTGTATGTCTGTGCATGTGTGTGTGTGAGTACATCTGTGAGTGTGCGTGCACGCTTTTACGTTGTGTGTGTGTGTGAGAGAGAGAGAGAGAGAGAGAGAGAGAGAGAGAGAGAGAGAGAGAGAGAGAGAGAGAGAGAGAGAGAGAGAGAGAGAGAGAGAGAGAGAAGGGAGAGAGAGACTGAGAGTTTGCTTGAGTTATGCGCCAGCATACCCGGGCCCAGCACAGTTGGTCGATGCGACGTGAAGCGTCAAACACCTACAAGTACTGAAGTAGCGCCCGGGCTGGACTGTGTCAGATTGCACGTTCCGTACTTGCGCGATTAGAGCCCTCTCTTGAATAGTGCCCGGTCTCTAATAAAGAGCCCCCCCCCCCCCCCCGGGCTTGTAACCGCTTTAGCACACGTGCAAGTTTGGTGTTGTTTTGCTAATTTCTTGTTGCTGCACTGGTGGTTTCAGGATCAAAATTGCAGTTCTTGTTGCCGTTTCTGTTCAGTCGTGATACTTTGCAATAAACTTTAGTTTAGGCTCTGTTGTTACCGGTTTGCTGGATGATGTAAATCTACCAGCATTGAAACAAATAGTGCCCTCTCTTGAATAGTGCCCTCTCTTGAATAGTGCCCTGTCTGTGATGGACAATGAAAACACACTAGTATATAGTACAGTAGTAGTGCCCGAGGGCTAGGGGGGGGGGGGGGGGGGGGTATAGGGGGCACTAATGCACCAGTAGTACGGTACATGTACAAGTATATTATTTACAGTTCCCTTCGTTTTGTAGGACTAACATTGTCCAGTACTAGTGTCCCAGGATCACTGAGCACATGCCATGCCAGGACCGGCGGAAGCAGTTTTGGATTGGTCCGGTGATGCCGTAGCCTCTCATGTTGTGTATAATGATATCAAGAGTACATAACCCCGTTATCAAGAGTACATAAACTACTACTCTTGCCGTTATGTACTCTTGATGATATGAACAGGAAGGGTGTACACATGATGTTGGTGGTCAAAACGTTGGTCCAGCCATGGCCTGACCAACCGGACCGGTTCCGCCGGGCCTGCATGGGATCTGACCAGGGAGTCGTAAAATACCGGTATTTTAAGACTCCCTGGATCTGACTGATGAGTATACCAGTCATCATGATCATTGCATGCTACTGTCCAACACTGGCAACAGGAAATTCCACTACATCGTACCAAACGGCGTTGAGAGCGTGAATGGCGCGTCTGTGAAGAGTATGTACATGTATGTTCCGTGAATACAAATAAATCAATACCATACCATACCATACACACTCATAGTGGAGTTGTCATGGTAACCAGGAACTGGGCACCGTCATTTGCTACCATGTTCACTCAGGAATGCGCTCACTTCCATCTCTGCTAAACCTAGAACTAATAGTAATACTTAGTAGAAGCAAAGATTCCCGTCCTGCAAGTGCAAGGACGGTTGCAGCCAAGGAATGAAGTTCAGAACTGATAGGCTCAGCATTGCCCTGGCACTTGCCTGGCTGTGATACTGTATGTTCACTCAAAACCATTGTCGAGACTGCATTCTTAGAGGGTTAGGATTCACAACCCACATGGAAGACACATGGCCAGGTACAAGTAGACAACACGCTATAGCTAGGCATTGCCATTGGCCCTGTACCGGATCATACATGTACAGATCTTGGGGACAATTACAATCCACATACAATGTACAGTGAAACATGCCTGCTGCCGACCACTCAAGGGACCTTCAAAATGCGGTCACTGTGTACAGGTGGTCTCCTTACCCAGAATCATTATGTGACTAGAAATAACATCACAGGGCCCTTGTTGCAGTGGTCATCTGGGGCTTTCTGGGCCCTTGTTGCAGTGGTCATCTGGGACAGGTGGTCGCCTTCTCGGAGTGGTTGCCTTGACAGGTGGTCGCCTTCTCGGAGTGGTTGCCTTGACAGGTTTTACTGTACAATTTGTACTACATAATACCGTCCCCGTCGTCCGAGTGCCGGCATACATCCTTCACACTACAGCACGTCTATCCCAGTCGATATGCTGGAGTATGTGCAAGCTCCCGTCCTAGCATAGCACACGGGCAAGACAGGGATTGGGTACAATACCAGCCTGCAAGTAACGCTATGATAATTATCTTGTTCTACAGCACACAGCTTGTTCCCCACCGCCACCATCAAGCCAAGGGAACGCATCAGCTCAACATTATCAAGCATTGTGCGGGGGGGGGCACTCAAAAACTTTCCTGGTGCTTCTCTCCTCACAGAAGTTGAGCTTGGTTTAGAAGCGTTCCACGAAGCAGTCTGCTATGGAGCTGCAACAGACGCGGCGCAATATTTTGAAGACGAAAGCAGAAGTGATGCTGCATACCGTGCATGCTGTGCATTGCTTTCCAGAGAGGGACTCCCATTCTAGGGCAAAGCTGATTTGAGTCGGAATGTGGGGGGGGGGGGGGGTGGTAAGAGAGAGCCCCTCCCCCAGGGGGTGGTGGCTGCCAGTAGGGGGTTGCAGTATTATTATTATGTAGGGGTTTTCAGCAGGGAGCTGCAAAATACCATGCTGCTTGCTGACTCTCTGCTACTACTGTACACTGCCTAATATTCGCGATGTATTAATGTTCGCTATTTTCGCGAGATGACCGTGGCGCGAATCGCGACGTATTAATGTTCGCTATTTTCGCGAGATGACCGTAGCGCGAATATTAACCAGCGTGAAATCAAACTTCAACAGTGGGTGTATGTAGGTGGCCCAGGTGCTTCGCGAACTTTTGCCATCGCAAACTTGCTGGATTTAAGAAATCACGAAAATTTCGTGACACGAATATTAGGCGGTTTACAGTACTACTACTAGTACTACAGACGTCAGTCTTACAAACCTGTGATCACGGTGATGTAGAGCTAGTACTAGCCACACTGTATGCCATAATTCGTTGCTGCCAAGACACCGTGGCATGATGCTCACATGGACGCTGACTGCACAATGGTATCTACATGTAGAAACCGCTATCCGCTCCCTTTCAGCAGGCAGAATTATTTTTGTTCCCCTTCACTAATACACTATAGCTATCCATAGCTAGCTGGGGTCAAGCTAACTGAGTAACTCCAGGACTGGTGCTACTCTCTACAGTAACCACTGGTGACTGGGGTTATGTTCAGGATGGTGGTGCACCAGCGAGTCAGAGACTCAGACAACACAAAGACTGAAAGAGCGAACGAATGGTAGCATGGACAAGTCATTGGTGAGCTGTTGTGATACTAGTACTAGTACTGTAGTATTACTAGCGATGGTCAAGCCAAAACAATGCGGCACCTATCGCACTACTACGTACTAACGCAATAGCGCTCAGCAGCGCCGTTCTCAGTGCAAAGCCGATGCTCCTATTGTCAGTTTTGCTCGATCAGGCGTGTACGAGTGAAGAGCTGGGTCACGACAGGGCTACGTACCGTCAGCATACCGGCTACCGGCTCCACAATACCAACAACTCTCAACTCTCCTGTTCGAAAGAAAGACGACGCGTGCAGCCACTGTGGAAAGATCTGTACACACACTGTGACACAGTCGACGGTGTCGTGTATGTAGACTAAGTCTTGCTAATGCTGGGATCCCGGGACCGCTCCAACACTCGTCGTGTAGTACAGGGTCTGTCAGTGGCCATCGCCCTACCAACAGCGCCAGTGCCTGGTGGTCTCCAGGTTTTCTCACTTGTGAATCCGCACCAACCTCTCTTTGCAATACTAGTAGAAACTAAACCATAAACGTCGTTATTTCAGTCCAGAGGAGACTTGTAGGTGGCACTTCTCTGGAACGGTAAAATCGCGTGCCCGCCTCCGTAGATTCCACGCCAGCCTACGGTTGTGTCGGAGGGCACGGCAAATACGCGCACGCGTGGACGCGTGTCGTTTGCTTTGTAGGTTTTGCGCCCTGACTGCCTCAGTGTGACTCGCAGGCCCAGCACTAGTACTTGCATACAGCCAGCTGTTCACTGCTACTGTCTGTACTGAGCTCTGACAGCTTTCTAGTTTTCTGGTGACAAAATCAGTTGGCCTGGAGATTAGTAGTGGCTAAACATGTCATCGCAGGCTGAGGAAGATCGCTAGTGAAACTATTTATTCATCTGGGCACAAGTAGCGCGAGAGGTCAGCGCGCCTGGTTTGAAATCTCTACCTGTCTTTGTGGTGCTGGTGCCTGTGCTGGAGTCATTGTGAGCCAGCTTACAAGCGCGATCAGCTGGTTCGGAGAACTTGGTGGAGCGGAAAAAAAGGAAATCGCGAAGCAGAAGTGCTGATCTCCTTTGCTTGTGTCGTCGTCGTCGTTGCAGGCCGCTAGCCGCGGTGCTGTTGGGTGCGCTATGTCGGCGTTTGTGCGCGTGAAGCTACTGCAGGTGACGGAGTTGCGTAGCCCTACGTTCGAGCCGAAATGTGCTGTGAACGTGAAAGAAGTGGTGCAATCGACTGAGAGTGATGCCAGAGTTGTGCAGAAGAAGAAGACGTTTTATCCCGAGTGGGGAAAGTGCTTCGATTCTCATGTCATTGAGGGTCGCAGGTTACAGATAATGGTGATGGATCGGGGAGATACGATTCTTGGCGAGGTGGCTGTGGAGAATCAAGCCATAGCGGACCAGTGCAAGCTGATGGGTGCGTGTGTTGCCAAAATGTCGGTGAGTGGAAATCAATAATTTGAATCTGGCTTTTGGGGAGTGACTTGTGAGTACGAGTACTGTCTGACGTTTAGTGTGACTCTACACTTACATGTATCTTCTTGTGAAGTAAGTTGTGTGCATCGCATCCATTGTAAATATTTATTTTGTAGACCTGCACCGTAGATCTACTGTGTCACCAGTATGTGCATGGTAGTGTCATGTCGTAGTGGTAGATCTACTGGTAGTGTTTTTTCATCACGCTCCTCGCGTCTTTGCCACAATCTGCTGCAGATGAGTGCGCTGCCAGTCGCGGCTCTTGTAACTTTTACTTGGTGCCAGCTATCAATAGCCAGCAGAAGCGAAGCGTCCCACGTGTTGTCGTACAACTCGTAGTGCGCTTTTCAGTCTCACCCCGACTCTGGTTTCTGCTTCATGTGTCGACTGTTTATGAGCAATAATGTAGACCAATTTCGAACAAAAATAGTTTTTGTCATTTTGGCGAATGAAGCGGCGCAGCTAATATCAGCGTACTACTAGTATAGTATGTGAAACGATGCTGTTATCTCTATCGTGCGCTGTCCTGAGCTGAGTCGTGATCTCACCACCACTCCAGCAGGCTTGTTCAGGACGTTCCGTGATGATGTGAGGCTAGAGAAGATGTGCCCATACATAGGCTCGGCACTCTCCAGTCTGTGTCGAAAGGAGCGCCGGTCGGCGGCAGCTCAGTCTTACAGCCTCCGCTGGCGGTTAGCGCTCAGCTGAGCGGGAATTATTTTCCTTGCACTTTCGAAACGAGAGGACGAAACGAACTGCATCGTCTAGTCAATATTGCCCAAAGAAAATTGTTTGAGCTGAAACTGGAACGTTGTAACTATTGAAAATAGTATTGTCATTGCAAATGTTGAGAAGTGTTGCGGGATAAAAAGTGGCACGCGCACCCCCTGTAAAAGTGCATGTTTATCTGCAGCTGCCAACAACGTGCTGCCTGTCACAGTTTGTTTGAATGAGTTCTTGCACGAGTGAAGTCCTACTTCAGCGCTTTGCTATGTGCCTCGCTATGTGCCTCGTTCGGTGACGCAGCGATGGTAGCCTTTTCTCCCCAGTAGCATCGCTCCTGTTCCCCGGCCTCTGTACTGTCTCAGGAAATCGTATATCCGCCCGTGCATCGCCAGATCCGTGCCAGTGACCGCTAGTACTAGCGTGATATTGTGCATCGAGCTCGGCATCTCTGTTCTAACAGTTTGTTGGACGACAACGCTGTCGACTGCCCGCTATTGGCATTCATAATACGATCGGAAGTCGTTCCTCCTGAACTCGTTGACCTTGCTGATCTAACGTGCAATCAAGTAGAGTTTTCCCCCTCTCTGTGGCCAGCAGTACGTGTGGGTGTAGCTGACCTGATCAGTGCAGTGGCAGTGTAGTCCGCTGTGAAAAAAGATCACGTAGCACTTGAGACGCGCAACGTCTCATTGCAGATTCTTGAATCTTGTCTTGAGCTTTCCGCCATGTGCATGTGAAAGACAAGGCCACGTGACATGATTCAGGTGTATAAATACAAATTGTCGTTCACGAAATCTCTAGGTAGATCACTCCACCAGCAGGCTTGTTACATACTAAATTTCGTTTTTGGTCGCGGTCTGTCACCCCGAATGTTCGGAAAAAAAATTAGTGTTCGGAAAAAAAATTAGTTTGGTACAAACTTTAGCTATTTCGCGCAACCTAACGAATACAGCGAAAGTTGACTCCAAACGAAAATTTGTACTAAGTTATACAGTAACGCAAGGAGAAAGTCTGGAGAGTCAAAGGGTTCTAGATAATGCTGAACAGAAAGCTAGCCCAGCACGGTAGCACGGTTTGCCAGTTTGGCATGAGTTTGCAAAGCTCGTAGCGAAGTCTTGCTTGCTGCATGATTTACTGTGCAACAGCAGATTCGGAGAATTCATCGTTGCCTAGCTTAGGAAGTTTCGCTTGTGTCAGGCCGCCAGCATTCCTGAACGTTCCTCAGCTGGTTTCTTTACTTGTACTAACCGTGTTAACCTACTGCTGGTATGGCCAAGCATTGTGGTGGCCTGGCACAAGCGAAACCTTTTCTCAGCTGGCTGTGTTTCTGAAGACAATTTTAGGCCAGTGGTAACGCAGATGTGCGAACTTTACTTTCTATTATTACACCTGCGTTGTAGAGGGGGCGGTTCGAAATTGAAGCAGTTTGACAGCCGAATTGTGTAGACCCAAACTGGTCTTTAGTGTTGGTTGTTCACTTCGAATATGTTCGTTGAAGGAAGCTGGCATGTTGAAGTTTGCTCTGAGGCCAGAGTCGATTGAACTGAGCCACTCCTCTGTGCTGTCCCGTTGCCTCCAAGTTGACTGTTTTTTGTTTGTTTCGAATTTTGGTGTCACAGAGGTGGCTCCAAACCGGAACAGTTTTGGAGTCCACATCAAGTTCACCCTGAGTTCTGAAATTCTGTAATTGCTGTTGCTCAACGACGGCGCCAGTACAGAGAAACAGGAAGCCTTGTGTGCTTCCATTAGTTTTCATTGGTGTACGTTGCTTTATTGGCGGGACGCGAACTGCTAAGGAAACGCCACCTCTGCATGTGCAGCTCCCGTGCTGTGACAGCGTAGCATACGTATGGCGTTGCTGTGATCAGGACATTGTAACAGTCGCCTTTACCATGCTGTGTACTGTGCTCGTGAAGCAATGGTCATCCATCGTCTTGTTGGAATAGTCAACGTTATCACAGCGTTACCTATTCCTGAACTTGAGTAGGGTCATGGTGAACGTGTTGATCAAGTTGATCACATAATCATTACCCATATGTGGATGGTGAAAACTGGGTTCATGTATACAGCCAGAGTGGGATGTGCAAAAATGCATTCATCTGCTCCAGTTTGATTACTTATCTGATGTAGAATGCCAAACTTTGTTTCAGGTTTTCTATAAACCACTCTTGTGATACATGTGTATGCAAGGCATGAACAATTGTTAGCTTGGCACGCCTTTTGCTAATCAATTAGACAGAATTAGTGCAAGATTCTAGTGCCAGTTTCACCTAAAAATAGCAATTACTGATTTGTAGCTGGTGTTGCATAGATGGTGGATATTGATGTAGAAGTGCAGCATGGCTGCATGGTGGCGCATGGCCACAATGCATGGATATAGCCTGGGGTATGTGCAGGCAATGGCAACATCCAAGTGGTGCTTGACAGCAACACTGCAGCCTCCCCCCCCCCCCGCCAGTATTACACAAAATTATTTGATTGTCAGGTGGCCCAGGGAAGGACTTAGGTACCACCTATACTTGATTTCACTCTACTAACACACATTGCAGTTTACTCTCAGTCCACACACGGTGTATCCCCTGGGGATGACTGAGTCCTAGTCTTCTCCCCCCCCCCCCCTCTCCTCCCTCCCTCCCACCCCCCCCATGCATTACTTTGCATTATCCATGGCTCCTAGCAGCTTGCACTACAATTCACCAAAACGAAGTCCAAATTCGGAGCAGGTCTAGTCATTATTGTTTTGAATTCATCCTGATGGGCCATGCCCAGTTTGGAGAGGTCAACAGTTTAATTCTCCTGTTCCTTCTCTCACCATGTTTCTTGCATGACAGTATTTACAATAACCATGTGCGTTTTAGAAGTGACATTGCACACACAGCAACACAGCAGCACAGCAGCACTGACATGATTGTCTGTAGTAGTAAATAAGTGAAACTGAAGACAACCCATCAACATGTTTCCTAGCCCGTATTCCAAATTTGCTCACCAGATGTTTGCAGAGCACATACCAGTATTGACCTGTTCAGAGTGGGTGTGACCTGCAAAACTTAAACTGGATCTACACTCCCTTCTTGTCACAGCTCATCAGATGCACCTGGGAGGAGGTGTAGACGAAGATATAAAAAGGAGAACTATGCGATGATAACACGGTCAATTGAGAAAGATAGATAGAGAGAGAGAGAGAGAGAGAGTGTGTGTGTGTGTGTGTGTGTGTGTGTGTGTGCGTGCGTGTGTGTGTGTGTGTGCATCTGTGTCCTGCTAGCCTGGTTAGAGATATCTATCATCACACAGCTGGTACCATGTTTGGGTTGAGCCAGGCACTAGGAACGCACAGTGTTACTAGTGGGAGGGTTATGCACGTTCACTGACCAGTTTTGGTTCAAACTCTGCAAGCCAGGTGAAAGTGGGTCACAGTGATTGCCTCAAGAAGGGCATGAATTGCATCTATGGAGCCTTTCTCGAAAATCCCTTTATTGGAAAGCTTCTGTGGGCAGCGTCTTTGCTGCAATGAAGTTGTTAATTGTAGTGCTTCATTCTGTGGTCCTGGTACTCATTCTTTCTTCTGTATTTCTTGCCGGTATGTGTGTGTGTGTATGTATGTATTAGCTTGATCTACGACCGTCTGGCAAGCTGATCATCCAAGCCAAACTCTACACAGGCAGAGATGCAGGTACAGCAGAACTCCAGCCCACTATTTTGGGGTTTTGATATTTATCTGCTGATATGACTCACCCACAGTACCCATCTAGGAAAAGCTAAATTCCATGTGATTCAAGTCGTAGTGTCTTCCGGTAGCGCCTTTGGTGCGGTTTAGGGTGGGTGTTCTGCTAACTAATTATTTATTCCGTTCTCCACGAAACCCTAGCTTTTGAGTACGCTAGCATCATGTCAATGCAGTGTATAGACACCGTGTAGTTTTCAGGTCTGGGGCTGCTATACTGCACTGGTCATGCCGCTAGCCGACTCACAAGGTCGGGATGTACATGTATTGAGCAGTGCTGTCCAGTGTGCATGCCTAAGTGTATTGCAATATGGCTGTCGGCAGGCAACCCTGTACTGGTTATGGCTGATGTGAGGTGTGAGAAAGAATCATTGAACAGCGCTGTGCAGTGTGCATGCCTAATGCCTTGACGTACATGTGCTGTGAAATGACGTATCTGCTAATGCCTATCGATGTGTGATGTCATTGGGCATGCTCTCATGCAATGTGACTAAACATACAGTTTGCTCTCATTGGTTATGTGTGTCACTGCGTTCTCTCGTCATAGAGCTGTAATTTTCATTTGTGTGAGATTTCAATTCTGTATTGTGCAATTGCTAATCGGGTTCATTGTGGTGTATCATGTGGATGAGGGCTAATCATCTAATACTGTTGAACTATGGTGTCGGTGAACAGCAAAGAAAGGAGGCGACACGCCCGGATCCTCTCCAGGTCCTTCCCGCGCTGCATCGTCCAACATGACAATCAACACGGTGGGAATAGCGCAGCGACCGAAACCGTCGTCATCGCCCGCGTCAGGCAACTCGTCACCCCAGTCCAATGGTAGGCCACCGGCAGCCAAGTCACGCGCGATCATGCAGTCGCCCAGCGCTCTCGGCAATCACACGCAGGGAGGCCAGACGTCGTCGTCGCACTCGCCTTCGGCCCTGCACCTCTCCGGGGTGAACGGACACCACCACAACGCCATTGGATCGACGTCGTCCGGATCGTCAATAGCAACCACATCCCCCGTAACGCCGCACAGTGTATCGACTGCGTCATCACGCCAATCACTACTGCCAAACTCTAGCTCGCGCGGTGGTTAGTTCGTGTTGATGTGTTTAACATACTAACATACTGATTGTCTTAAAACCAGCGATAGTTCTGAAAGCTAATCATGCATGGCCTAGTTAAGTCTCTTATACGGGCAAAATAAATTACACATATCATCAAATAAACTCATGTATGAATGCAGCAAACTATACAAATCAATTCGAATACTAGTAATTCCATTGCAATAAAAAAATAAAAATAAAACATTAGGTAAAGGATCCTACTCTATGCTGATCATACTAATGATAGTAATCCTAAGCCATGCAGTGGAGTAATCCTAAGCCATGCAGTGGAGTAATCCTAAGCCATGCAGTGGACTAGTCTACATGACCACAGTGCACCGTGAGCGTCTAGTCCCTACTGACCATTGGCGATGTGAGAAACTGTTACAAATTAATCATGTAACAGAAATGCTGCCCTTGACACTGCAAACTCTTCGGAACTGGAGTCGACCATTCTGCTATTAATATCCATTAGGCGTGTGTTTGTGAGTTGTTTTGAACGTTAAAGCTGGTGGAAAGGTGTTAACCCGGTATTGTGTTTTGACTGCATTGAGTACAGCATTCACGTTAGCACTAAAGTGTGCTAGCATGCTGCTGAAGGTTAATAGCTTTGCCATGGTGCCGATTCTGTTAAATTGATAGTAATGTGTGCATCAATGCTGGCTGGAGCTGGATGGCGAACACTAATCTGCTCTGTAGTACAAGGGAATGTGGTGTGTAGCACAAGAGAGGCTGGCTCGCTCACGGTGCCTGGGTATTCCCCTAAAGGTAGACATGTTTATAACTGTTTTGTGTCACCTGTAGAGGAGTTTGCGGTCTGTATGGAGGACAGCAATGAAGCAGTGACCAAAGACCTCACCATGCTAACAGGCCGACGTGGAGCCATTCGCCACAAGAAATGCCACGTCGTCAACGGGCACAAGTACAAGGCGAGGTTCTTCCGGCAACCAACGTTCTGTGCCTTCTGCCGGGAGTTCCTGTGGGGGTTTGGCAAGCAAGGCTACCAATGCGAGAGTGAGTTAGAGATAGCGGACCACTTGCCTTTTTCTCTAATCTTATCTGCTTTAGGTGTGCTTTTGCTTGGCTTGATAGCATCAATATAACGTAGTCCCAACTCCAGCTCATACGCTCTCTGCCTGACCTCATTCACCACACCACCCAGTAACACGACTCCAAGTCGGTGTAGATGATGGCATAAATTACTCCATATACAGTCAACTTCGCTAATAACGACTGCGGATATAACGACAATTCGCGAATAACGACAGAATTTCCATGCCCAGAGCAAAGTCCCATCTAACTGTATACATTTAACTTCGGATACAACGACTATCTGAATAACGACAATTCGCGAATAACGACATGCTTTTAGTGCCCTGAGGTCATATTCACTGCTTGAATAACGACTTTCTGGGCTTTTGACAGCTATTTCAAGTACCTGTCATGCAGAAGTACCAGAACCCATGCCATGCATGGCGATGGATAAAGGCACACATGCAAGAAGATGCAGCCAAGGGGGGGGGGGGTACTTTTATTTTTTTGCTTCTAAATACATGTTGGATCATGGAGTGATCAGCACAGCTACAATGTCCTGTTGTAACTGTTGTACAATGCAGGTGTACATGATTGTACAGTAATCATCATACATGTCATGTACATTGTACATGTCCCTGTAGATGGCTCCAAAACTTGCAAAAGGCTAATTTTTCCAATCTATTTCCCTTCCATATCGACTTTATAGTTCCTTTCAATTGTAATATGAAAATGGGGTACACGTTGGCATAGAGCATGAAAAAAGCTTCATTTTGATATGCGTGTCATACTATACAAAAATACGGGTTCACATACATTCAAATGGGACTTCAGGTATAAGGACACTTCGCGAATAAGGACATTTTTCCGATGCCCTGCCGAGCCGTGTCGTTATTCGCAAAGTTGACTGTAGCTGTTTAGATCATACAGATCTCATCAGTGAAGGTCGTAAAAATGCTGAATGACCAGAGCTTGTGAATACTGTATTCATACAGAGACAGAGAGCAACTGTGAAAGTGAAGAAACTCGATCCTGAGCTTAGGCTCGTAACAGAAATGCTAACAACCAGAGAATAAGTTCAAGATGCCACTGATATGTGTAATGTTTGCGTTATGTTTCAAATGAAATAGGGCATCAACTCGTTTGTACAGACTGCATTTAGTCAAGTTGGGAGCGGGTAAGATAGGCAGATGACCAGTGGGTATGTGCCTGCCTGTCCTCATAATTGATGGTCTTGGTTTGTTGGTGTCGATCGCCGCTTTTTCTGCGTGCACAGCCTGCGCTCAAGTGGTGCATAAGAAATGTCATGAGCTGGTATTAGGCAAGTGTCCAGGGAAGAATGGAGACGCTCCGAAGAGTCTGGCGGACAGACGTGAACATGGACACAGCAGAGATAATAAATCCGAGGATGTACGTTTTGTTATCCACCAGTGTCACTGTTTGCCATACCATTGGTTGTGAGATCTTCTTTTTCCATTCTGTGTGTTGAATTGGTATGATTACGGTGGCACTGGTTTCATTTATATTGCTGCCCTCCAGAAGTCTAGTATCCCGTAGTGGCCTTGTAGCCCGTATGCCTAGGGTGCTGCTGTGTTTACCAATTGCCGAAGCTTCTCTCCAGCATTTTCATTTGTAATGTAAGCCTGTTATTCCGGGGGAGATGATTGGTGACAACAGCTACATGCTGTTGAAACGTTTGTACCCCCCCCCCCCCCCTCCCCCCCTCCCATCCCACTCTCGTCCACTTGTTTTATGTCAGGCCATCAATTGTCATGAATTCACAGTCAGAAATTTGGATAGCTGCACAGGCCTATTCTGCTGTGAATCAGTGAAATTAGCTTCAAAGCTAATTTCCATATTTGCCCATTTTCAACACCTTGTTGCAAACTTTGTTGTGGTTATAATTTCAATGGCACAAAGAGAGCGAATTATCTCTGAAAGGTGATAGTAGTAAAATTAAGATCTGTTTGTACTCACGATTGTAGTCTTTTGATTGACGCGTGCAGGAAATGTACTCACCTTTGCTCACCTTTGTTGTCGCTTGATTGATGTGTGCAGGAAATGAACCGCTTCAGTATTGATGTGCCGCACCGGTTCAAGATCAATAATTACTTACATCCGACATTCTGTGACCATTGCGGCTCTTTGCTGTACGGGCTGTTCCGACAAGGCTACAAATGTGACAGTGAGTGTAACTATAGAAAAGAAAGGGACCGTCCGAGGAACTACAAGTTACGCTGTAATGTCCACTAACACCAACTTTTTTTATTTTCTATAAAATTTAAAAATTTAAATACATCCTTGGCTCTCCATCTGAGTGTAGCAGCTAATAGCTATGTGTGTGTGTGTGTGTGTGTGTGTGTGTGTGTGTGTGTGTGTGTGTGTGCCGGTGTGTGTGTGCCGGTGTGTGTGTTTATGTGAGGGAGAAAAAAAAAGAAAAAAAGGGTAGAGTACGTGTTAGTTTTTGTCTGTGTGTAAAATGTAGTGTGTTTTATGTGTGCATGTGACCTGTGCATGTGACCTGAGCATGATTTCCTGTACAAAAAACCCCTGTGTTCCGCTGTCCATTGATTTTGATGAAGGGTGAAAGGATGACAGAGATTCACACACTTTGCCCGCCAACATCGATATACATACTGTATATTCTCTATTATAAGCGCTGTGCTTATATTTTTCCAACACCCCTCTACCCCGGGCTTATAATGGAGACCGTGCTTATATTTTTTCAACCAATGCATCCAAACAGATCAAGAAGAAATACATGCTAGATATCATGCATGCAGCATTGATTTCCACCAAGACCGTGCTAATAATATAGACTGTGCTTATAATGTTTCGAAAGGTGCTCACAGTGTGCTAGTATTAGAGACTGTGCTCGTAATGGAGACCTGTGCTTATAATGGAGAATATACGGTACCTTCCTTTGCCTATCACCATGATCCATAGCAGTTTAATCTGTATGACATGTTGGATTCCATGTGGAGTACAAGTGCCACCTCGCTGTGGCTATCATAAGTCTACAAATTGTTGGCGCGTTCTAATTTCGGCCTCCCAGGGCTAACACCCATTTCGGCTGCATTAAGTTTCAGCCTTTACCACTGCTGCCTGCATACACTGTCACACTGAACCTTGCAAAGTAAAATTTCGGCCGCAACAAATTTTAGGCCACAGACGCCCGGGCAGAAAATAGCCGAAAATACATGTGCGCCGAATATTTGTTGACTTCCAGTACATCGTCATAGCCCCAGTGCATGTCCGGTTTCCGTTTTCTTATGCATGTTTGATTGGCTACTTAGCTGTAGCAACACAATGTCTGGCTTCCGTTAACTTCCGTTCACTCACACCAGCACGTGTTCCTGTTGCCCTTGTTGCTTGCAGCTTGCGGCACAAACTGTCACAAGCGCTGCCGTGACCTGATGCCTAACCTGTGTGGTGTGAACGAGAAGCTCATGGCCGAGGTTCTGACGCAGGTCAAGAGGGACAAGGAGCAGGGCGGTACGCGCAACGGGGCGCGGATAAACCGGCAAACGTCGGCCCCGGAGAACAACGGATGCTTGCCACACTCGCCCCAGTCGGCTGTCAGTCAAGCTAGCAGTAGTCTGCACGCCAGCCGCAGCCTCAGTGCCAATCCAAACATGAGCTCATCGTACCGAGGCAAGCGGCACTCTCTCGCAGATTTCAATCTTCTGAAGGTCCTGGGCAAGGGTAGCTTCGGAAAGGTAACCATTGGTGACTACCATCTAAATTGTCAGCTTCTTGTCGTACTTTCATTGCTGGGTTTACGCAGTGGAGACTGCGGTAAGGTTTTGTTCTCAATTTCTCCATGCCTGGAACGTTGGATGTATCAACTGGGTTATATTCTGAGTAGTTTCACGTTTAACCAAGGAAACGGCTGGTGAAGTGCATGTCATGTGACTCCTGTAATCGTGTACATGTAGCAATGATGTAATCGTGTACATGTAGCAATGATGTTATCGTGTACATGTAGCAATGATGTAATCGTGTACATGTAGCAATGATGAGCGGCCGACTGGAAGATGTCGTATGTTGTTTCGATCTTTGGTTTCAGGTGCTTTTGGCCGAACTGAAGTCTAAGCGCGAGTACTTTGCAATCAAGGTATTGAAGAAGGATACTGTGCTGGAGGATGACGACGTCGACTGTACCATGACAGAGAAACGAGTGCTGGCGCTCAGCTGTCAACATCCCTTCCTCACACACCTGCACTCCTGCTTTCAGACTGAGGTAAGAGTGAAGAGGGTGAAGTCAGGGCGAATGCATAGCTGTGCAGAGAAGCCAATGTCTTTTATGACCACTGGTACAGGAAACCACCTAATCTGTATGTTGTCATAAGTGTATGGCGATGTACATAGCTTGCTGTTTCGGCTATCTAGGTCTCACCAGTATAGATACACACTTTAAGTACGAGTTAGCCGAACTACCGGCCATGGCGCAAAGGACACAGACATTAAATTAGAGGGGAAGTGCATCGATTTTTCGAGTAGGGTCCAGAAGAAAGACAATTTGATATCGGTTCGAATTGCATATCTCTCGCTTTCATACGATAAGCCAAACTTGCCAAATCGCCAATTGTATACTCACGTTGCCATAGCGACCAGCGCAGTGATGACGTATGAAAGGCTTAGCTCCACCACAGAGAAGGACGATCACTGCAGAAATTGGTCATTTTCAATTGGTTTATTGTATTCACGAAGTGAAAGAAGGGCTGTGTTCAATGCTGTTAGTGGAGTGAACTGTTTGTTAGTAGTCCTCTCGGTTGTGTACTGGGACGTGACACCGACAGGAGAAAGCTGGAGTGCGGAGACATCACCAGACAAGCGAAAATAGTGACGAACAAAATGCTGAAATCTTGGTTGGGACAAATCAGACGTTCAGCATTTCCCCCAACCAAGGACCATGCCGTTTGCTCTTTCCACTTCCTGAAGAAGGATGTGATGCTTCCTGGCGACTCTCCTATCTCTCGTAACATCTTCTGAGGCCAGGTGAGATGACGGGTGGTGTAGATTGACGAATGACATAATGTCGTAGGTTTGAAAGTTTGCTAAGAATGTCTCAGGAGAGATGGTGAATACCAAGCATCTTCTCCTAGAGGAAACCGTTTCCTAGGCACAGTCAGCCTAGGGAAATGCAGGGGAAGGCCGATAAACAGTTCACGGCACTAACAGCATTGAACACAGCACTTCTTTCACATCGTGAATACAGTAAGACAATTGAAAATGACCAATTTCTGCAGTGATCGACCTTCTCTGTGGTGGAGCTAAGCCTTTCATACGTCATCACTGCGCTGGTCGCTATGGCAACATGAGTATACAATTGGCGATTTGGCAAGTTTGGCTTGTCGTATGGAAGCGAGAGATATACCATTCTAAACGATATCAAATTGTCTTAGGAGAGCACTCATTTGTTGTTAGTCAACCAAGATAATGAGTAACATGGTGTGAGAAGGAAGGAGGGAGAAAGGAAACCAACAAAATAGCAAGTAGAAAGACGGGAGTGGAACTCTGTGACGTATGGGCCGAATGAAGGCTTATGAACTGTGGTGGGTTTTGTAATAGGTAGCCGAGTGGTAACACGGAGGCACGCCAATGTTCCACTCAGTTCTGTTGTTCTATCACCTTGCGTGAATCTCGGGATCATTATGTTACTGGTGACGCAGAAGGTACTTCTGTTACATGGTGATGTGGCTTGAGACGATTTACCTGAACGATTAATAGCCCCTCTGTGGATCAGACAATGAAGCAATTCTCACTGTAACGTCATCAATTACCTTCTGGATCACATATGCTGGCCCTGTCGAGAACTTGTGGAACTTGGCGGACTCATCTTGAGGGATTACGGTTGAGTGTAGAATAACGAGCTGATCCTTTTCAAACTTTGGCGGCGGGCGAGGTGTACCGTCACAACCTTTCCTCTGGCGGTGATGTGATTTAAGGTCGTGCTGGCGCTGATGTAGTGCGGGTGGGCCGGTGTCTGGGTGTTCCAGGCCAGCGAGCCAAACACTGATTGCCTCCAGAGCTTTTGTGACAGCCTCTAGTTGTGTTTGTTGTGCGACCCAGCAGACTGGAAGTGATAGTGTGGCCTGCTCTTCTCCTTGCAGAATAGAGTGCTTGTGCAGGGCAGCATCCAGGGTAGTCAGAGCCAGTTCCCGTACTCGGACGCGAGTCGACCTTGAGTCCAGGCCAGCAAGGAATTGTTCCTTAGCAAGAACATCCCTATCTGCGGCGGCCATGTTGGGGTAGGACTGGGCTACCGGCACCCGCCCATTCTCATAGCAAGCACTGGCCGACTCCTCCTTCTCTTGTCTCGAAGCTTCGTATGCTGCCCGGTGAATTTCGGCGCGCTGGCCTGGAGCAAAGCATTCCTCTAGGGCCTGAGCAAGGGCAGCGATAGGGCCTTGACGGGTCACCTGTGGTAGACTGAGGTAGAACAGTTGGGCGTCCCCGTGAGGGACAACCCCAGGAATTGCGTCTGCTCGGCTGGAGTCCACTGGTTCACCGCAGCAACCTGTTCGAACTGGGCATACCATGTTGCCCAGGGTATGCCCAGTCACGTGTCGTCTAGTCGACCTGCGTATTTGGCAGGAGTGGCCCAGTTGTGCACATGGCGGGCGGGTGCAGGACCAGTGACGGCTGGTGAAGCAGCTGCGGGAATAGCAGGGAGTTGAGCGATAACGTCAACGATTGACTAAGTACGGTAACAACAAGACTGAAGTTGCGTAAACAGTACAGGGATGAATTCACGCACCTCTGCCACCAATGTAATAGGTAGCCGAGTGATAACACGGACATAGCCAGCAATCGCATGTCATCACGTACATTCAAAATCAACATAATTTTTCGAATCGACCTTTTTTTCAGGATCACTTTTCAACGAGGACGAAGCAAAGTCGGCCGAACGAAGCCTAGAGGAAGAAAATCACCCTCTCCACTTCACCATCACGATACTGACATAGATACGAGATGAAACAACTAAAAAATCCACAAGAAAACTGTACGGCCATCATCGCGCTGACTTTGGTCTGACTTTGGTCTGAGAATTTCTATCACGATCAAAAATGTACGAGGAGCACTCAAAAATAAGCAACAGACGTACCTCTATCGCTCTCTACTCCTTTTTCAAGGCACAAAAGTCGACTCTCCACTTTCAAACCAGGAACCAGACATACCAGTGGTCCTTTTCAGCTGCTCCACGAGCGCAGGAAATGTTCACCAAGGGGCGCAGAGCAGCATCCATTCCAGAAAAAGAGCTAAAATACGAGTGAGACTGCATGCCTGAGTACATGAGTACATGTATGAGTACATGCAGAAAATAGTCAATTTCAGCGTTTCTGCTCCAAACAGCAACTAGCTTCGACTAGAAACAAAGATTACACCAAAGGATCAAACAACAACCATTTTCTGCAGTTTTTTTGCAGATGGCTTCCTTGTGCTGGGCCCAGCACGCCAAAAATCACACCTCGGAGGAGTACAAAAATTACAACTCTCAGATGTCCTCGATTGCTGGCCATGAGGCACGTCAATCAACACACGAATGAGGCAAGGTGATAACTGTATTCGAACTTACTCCGGTACACACCTGGAGTTAAAAGGCAATAAGGGAAGGCAAGAAGTGAGCTTACTCCGGTACACACTTGGTGGTTAGAATTACTCTGTTCTGTTGTTCTATCACCTTGTGTGAGCAAAGACAGCTGCGGGAGCAGCAGCGGATTGAGCCATAACTTGATGACTGACTTGGTACTAACAATGAGGCTTGCCTTTCGTTAACAGTACAGGAACGAATTCACGCACCGTTGCCACCAATGTAATAGGTAGCCGAGTGGTGATACGGAGGCACGTCAATCAACACACGAAAGAGGCGAGGTGATAACTGTATTCGAACTTACTCCGGTACACACCTGGAGTTAAAAGGCAATATAGGGAAGGCAAGAAGTGAGCGTACTCCGGTACACACCTGGAGGTTAGAACTACTCTGTTCTACTCAGTTCTATTGTTCTATCCCCTTGTGTGAACACAGACCAAGGACCAAGAAAACTTAGAAAAGTACAAGGATATGCGTGGGTACAAAAGAAGCCAGTATGAAGACGGGATCCCTGGATTGTACGCATGTATGGGCATAGAATCCTAGCTAGGTAGCACGGATATGGATATGTGAAGGGCACGCATAAGGACACGGAGTCCGTGCAGGATACACCAGGAATGCTTATAGTAGGTATGTGAGGTACATAAACAGAACACAGTAGATGCAGCGCAGACCCCGAGAGCATCATACCCAGGACAGTCAAGTCCATGAAAGTACATGTGTAGATACGGTATTGCATACAGATATGATGATGTAAACTAACAAAGAGGTGTAGTATGCAAACCTGCGAGCACAAGGGAAACACAAATGGTGAGAAGTGATATACTCCAATTTCAGACATTTTCGGTGCTCAATATTTTCGGTATGAGGGCAAAAGGCCAGGTTAGGTGAACAGAAATTTTAGGAACAGAGAAGAAGTTCCCTTTTGGATCATGTGTATTAGTGTTTGTTCGGTGTATTGAAATTTTAGGTATGAAACAGATGCACCGAAAGTACCGAAAATTAAAGTACTGGCCGAAAATTTGTGAACTAAAGGCCGATTCACAATACAACTTTCTGCGATGCGACACGCGATTTGCGACAGTTGCGACAAGAAACTGCCTGTCGCGAGCTGTCGCAAGCTGTCCCAATGCACCTGTCGCAGAAGTTGAAGAAAGTTCAACTTTTGCGACATGCGACACGCGACATACACAAATGGAGTACAGTTTCGACCCTGGGTGCACGTGCAGTGCACTTGCATAGTACTACTTGTGCATGAGGATGTCGCAAACATGAAGAATATTGTGAACCGTGTGTCGCTGTCGCAGCTCGTCGCATGTGTCGCAAGTCGCATGTTGCGTCGCAGAAAGTTGTATTGTATTATCTTTGAAGGCTTGTCAGCAAAGAAGTGACAAGAGTCGAGCAGAGCATCAATGCCTGTACACGTGACATGATTAGAGGTACTAAACAAATAAATAGATGTAGTAGTCAGCAACAATTCAGTATAAGCCAGGCAGGGATATAACAGTTTGATGGGTTCAAGAAACCTCTTTGGAAAACACAAATTCATGATGTTTGATGGTGTTTTAACGTGCATGTCAAATAAAAAAATTAACACTTTTTAGAGGATCAGTCGAGGAAGAATTGTTTGAACTTAAAAGTTGAAGGCATTGAGCAATTGATCCTTTCCTTCAGCATAGACTTAGATCTGTGTACAAGTACAATCTGTGACAGCTGTGACAACTGTCAAAGTACTAAAACATCCATACTACTATATGGGTGACCAAGAATTGTACTCCGTCCCTCACCCCTCCAAACTCTTAACAGCTTACAATGCAATCTGCTAGCCAATTGATATGCTATCTGCCTACTGGGATCATGCTATGCTGTCAGCATGACAGTACACTGCAGTTCACTACAGTGCATGCACTTTCTATCTATATGTACACTCATAGCTCTCTTATCCGGGCAGTCCGGGACCGGGCACTGCGCATAACCTTTGATGGGACGTGCCAGAGATCTGGCATGCGACGTCACTTTTCCACAGAAAGTGGCAAACGAGTGGTAATATCTCTACTGAAACTCGTCCAGCAGGTGCCCAGTAGACCAAGGTGCCCGTAGCTTGGAGGTGCGGATAAGACAGACCCATGAGTGTAGTAATGGAGGTGCGGATAAGACAGACACAGGAGTGTAGTAATGTACTGAGTAAAGTGCGCCATGTAGAGTGTTCAACCCGTGCATTTCTACAGTGCCGGAGCTGAGCTCAACCTAGGAGGTATTCATTAGTAACAACTTTCCAACAAGACTAGGCGATATACTTCCATCTGGCCTGGCGTGGAACCCTGAAACGCATGTTTTCGTGTTCTTCCGCTTTTGCTCAATGCAGGCTCACTTGTTCTTCGTCATGGAGTTTATCAATGGCGGAGACCTCATGTACCATATCCAACAAGCTGGTCGCTTTGATGAAGAACGAACAAGGTAAGCCATGGTATACACTTTTGTTATAAAAGAACGCGTGCAGCTGCTTTTTTTTTTTGGTTAGTAAGTTAGTTTACTAGTACCTGAAAGGTCTAGCTAGATTTCGAGTGGATTTCGAGAACGACGGGTGGGTGATTTTGATTGATACAGCGCCGCATAAAAATAGATGATCTTGCTACGCTGTGCAGGCAAGAGCAGCGCAAGCCACAAGAAAGTAATCGGCTACTCGGAATCAGCTCCATTTTGCTGAACGGCTGAGATCGCTCACCTCAGGGATCGCTCGTCAAGCTCAGTTCGCAGCTCCCTTACCTCCCGCTCAACGCCTGGAGTATCCAGCGCGACAAGGAGATTTGCAAGTACTGTACGCGTCGTCGTCGTCGTTCAAAATAAAATCTTTCAAAGAACGGCGTCTGATTAGAACCACACAGGCTGTCAAGCTACCCACACGAAGTCCTATAGAGAAGGCTACCGTCACAATCGACTTCTCTTTAGAAAATAGCCAGGCAACGGAGAGGAAGAGAGATGAGCTTGCAAAAGCAAGAGAGTCGATCCCGAGCAAAAATATTTGTCACCAGTGCCGAGAGCAGCGACGAGGAGGTCCGAAAAAAGTATGAACCCTTCCTTGGACAATAAATTCCTCATAGCTAGTTGTCATTCTATACCTTACCTTCCATCGTACCAAGTTTTATCACTTCAAGTGCACGCATTGATGTCCAAAGTCTAAGTTAAAATTGTCGAAAGATAAGCGACAATATTGCTGACGCGGACCAAGTACTTGCATCTTAAGTTTACTGCCAGTGTTGCCACACCATTCTAGCCAAATATCAGTGGGATTCAAAACTAAAATGCATGGTCCGCGGGCTTCGCCCCCGGACCCCCAATCTCACTACCACCAATATCCACACACACATGCCACTACATAACAATCCATGTCCTCTGGCACCTCACCACCCATTTGCATTCGCACGCTGTGCATAGCTATTAGCAAAAGAATTTTTTTTATCAGGGATATGCCATCTTTTTTTAGTATTCAAGTAGAGTGGAAAGCAATTTATACCAGGCACGTGACATACCAGAAAATCCACTGGATTACTGATGTACGCACAAAATAGGCATAATATATGCAAACTGGAGCAAATGACAATAATTATCATTTTTTTGAATATTACATGTAGGACTAAAACAACAGCAAGAAAATTAAAGGGGAAGTATACCCTAAAATCAAATTTTCACCAGTTGTAGTCTTCGGGGTGCTGAGTCGAATGGTCTTGGTCCGAGGAAGCTGCGATGCTCCCTTCCTACTTGAATCCCAATCGAACTCGCGCACTTCCACCGAAACTGGGTGACTGCGCCCTATTAGATGGGGATTTGTATGCAAAATGTCACTAAAAGCGCCATTTCGTTCTTATAAAAGCACGGATGACCGCGATTGGCCCAAATGTTGTAGTCTTTTGGACGCTGAGTCGACTGGTTTTGGTCCGAAAAGGCTGCGATGCAGCGTTCCTGCTTTATTCCCAATCGAACATGGTTGAACAAGCGGTCACGTGCTCCTGGGTGCCCAAATCACCTGGTCACCGCGCCAGCAGGCGACAACTTTCACACCAAGGTTCAACTCGAGTGACAGGACTGCACCCAAAAAAGGTCAAACAGGCTAGTAAGTTGTACCCTGCAGGCACGGTGACCAGCTGACTGGTGTACGCAGGAGCACGTGACCGCTTCTTCAACCATGTTCGATTGGGAATAAAGGAGGAACGCTGCATCGCAGCCTTTTCGGACCAAAACCAGTCGACTCAGCGTCCGAAAGACTACAACCTATGGGCCAATCGCGGTCATCCGTGCTTTTATAAGAACGAAATGGCGCTTTTAGTGACATTTTGCATACAAATCCCCATCTAGTAGGGCGCAGTCACCCAGTTTCGGTGGAAGTGCGCAGGTTCGATTGGGATTCAAGTAGGAAGGGAGCGTCTCAGCTTCCTCGGACCAAGACCATTCGACTCAGCACCCCGAAGACTACAACTGGTGAAAATTTGATTTTAGGGTATACTTCCCCTTTAATAATAACGTGGTGCAAAATTGAAGAAAAGGAAATGTTAACACCCGAAAGCGCTGAAATACAAAATGAAGAAAAAGGAAATTATAATCCACATAGTGCTAAATAGTAAACAGAGCACCCAATAATAAAATGAAATGAAAGAGTAAAGCTAAACCGATAAACCAAGAAATCATAACAAACTAAACAAAATAAAAACAATAATAGAATGATAATTGGCACTCAGATGTAGTGCAAAATGAGTCAACATGCCTGACCTGCACCACAGCCGTCTGGTAGAAACTGCGAACTCTGATTGCAAACCGCTTTCGGTGTTCGTCCGGCAATGTGGCGAGCAATGCCACAGCGTCCGCCGCAGCCTTCACGCAATTAAACAGGAACATTCTGTGCAGCTGGGCCTGGGACTTTGAAAGCAAGTGCACTTTCACGTCTTCACTATGGAAAGTGAGATTGAAGGTGACAAACAATGGGAGAACCTCTCCCAGAAACATCAAATACGCTTTTGTTTCTGGTCGCTCCATCAATTACACCCAGTCGATTACGTTCTGCAGTTGGTAGACATCCGGGCACGACTGAAAGTAGTGGAGCAAGGCCTCACACTGCTCCAGCATCCGCATTACAGATGTATGCAGGCTCAACCATCTCTTCGGTGCAGTATTTTTCTAGCCTGTGCTCCTTGACATCATACTCTTGTTGCACCTTCCTCAGCTCGGCAGTTAATTTTGTCGACCGGTCAAAGAAGTTATACCACACGATGAAGCCAGTGCCGGAAGTTATCCGGTAGCAGGGCATCGCACACAGCTTGTGCACACAGCTGTGCAACATGGCATACACAATGGAGGGTGTACACATGGGGCTGCCTGGCAAGGATCTGGGTCATAACAGAATTGCGTGACCCTCGCATGACATTGGCACCATCGTTTTTAAATTAAATTATGTTCAATATTAGTAAACAGGTGGACGTTCGTGAACTCCTCACCGGTGTTATACTTGAATGTTCTGGTTGTGAATGTCATCACCTTGACAAGTCCTCCATCCATCAGCTCTCGTCTGACCACCACCACCTCCTCATATGCTATAAGATGCTGCTGTAGTGGCTGTTGTGGTGGTGGTGGTGGTGGTGGTGGTGGTGGTGGTGGTGGTGGTGGTGGTGGTGGTGGTGGTGGTGGTGGTGCTGGTGCTGGCGGCCCATCCTCTTCGTCGTCATCATCATCATCACTGATGATGATGATGACCTGCAAATCCAGGGTGGACACTTCCACCAACGCAGTCTCTGCTGTGAGCAGTGGGAGATATACCGCTAATTTTACCCTAAACATAAAAGAATTCGATACTCGAGGGAAAACCATTCACTTGGAATCCGCACAGTTTGAACTGCATCATGAGAACGTGAGTGCATCTCTCGGAAAAATTCACCTCCGGCAACAGCACGCTATCAAGAACAAGTCCGCATACAGTACACACAAAGTGCCCCTCATTCACAACTTGATGATTATGAAAACATTTGTCAATGTTTGGACTAGAAGGAGGGGCATCAGGACAAGGGTCATCGTCATGCTCAACGACGGCGCGTTGACTCATCCGTGCAGTACCCAATGAAATTTTCCCAGCTCAGTCCGCCGTCTTCCAGCATGGACGAGATGACACCAAAAATACACTCTGCATTGGCTTGGTCCATGGGACGCAGGCCTAGGCTGTAGGTACGGACAAGGCCCTCATCACTGTTGAACACCCGAACTGGAACAGCCACTTGCTCTTGTACAGAAACATCCGCGGGCCCATCGGCCATGATCGAGAAGTGCCATCTTCTCAGTATCTGGAGGAGGCTGGAGTGCATGTCCTCCGCAATTGTGTGCAGGGTATCTGTCATCTTGGTCCTCGCAGCTTTCATCCCTGCAGCGATCTTCAAATCTGGGCACATAGCGGCTATCAGCGGTGACAAGCGGTCTGCAGTGGAAATTGCCAGATGATTCTCAGCGAGGAAAAAACCCAGCTTCAAAACAGCGTTGATGCATGCCACTGACATGGCATCTCGCTGCTTCGGGCCAGCTTTCGCCTTGTGCAAATCTCCATGCAGCTCCCAACTTCGAACATTGGCCTTGTGGACATCCCGTCACGCATGCTTCTTTAGGTCAGCCACTCCACCGTTGTGATAACTAAGGTCGCAGCAACAGACTATGCAAAAGGTCTTTCCTTCAGTTCGCTTGGACTTTGTCAACCAGTCAAACAACTCTGGTTCGGCCTCCCATTCCTTCATGTAAGCCTGGGACCATTTTACTCTCTTCCTTTTGCTACGGGACGTGGCGGGGAGTCTTCCACATCAGAGTCAGACATCATCCTGATAAAGCAAACTACCGGTATTTCTTACGCAGCACGCTACGCTACACACGTCAACTACATCACCTCCGACTCAAAACAAGAAGAGGAAGAAGAAGTCTCGTTGATTTGGCATTTGGTACTTTTCTTCCAAGACATACCTCCCAAATCGGCAGTCTACCGACATGTCGGCAGGTGTGGCGACACAGAGTATTACTGCACACTAGCAGTGTGTTACACACGATTGACTTTGTGTTCCAACCTGTGTGTGTGTGTGTGTGTGTTTGTGTGTGTGTGTGTGTGTGTGTGTGTGTGTGTGTGTGCATATGCGCGTGTGTGTGTGTGTGCGTGTGCGTGTGTGTGTGTGCGTGTGTGTGTGCGTGCGTGTGTGTGTGTGTGTGTGTGTGCGAGTGTGTGTGTGTGTGTGTATGTGCGTGTGTGCACCTGTATGCATGTGCAGATTCTACGTAGCAGAGATCACGTGTGGTCTACAGTTCCTACACACGAAGGGTGTGATATACCGGTGAGTCTGTGCAATCGTCTAACGCAACGCTCTTCCTAAAAACTCTGGGGAGATCATCTTGATGTATAATGAATAGGCGACGCGGTGACAAGATCTTCATAACAGTCAGAAGAATTAGCGAGGCGGACATTGTCTATAGCTACAAGAAAAATTGGTCTTCATAGGCTTAGGAGATGGGAATGTAGAAAAGTCAAAGAAACAATTGACTGTCACCACCAGGACCCGAACTAGGGACCTTCGCTTGAGCAAGTCGCGGCCAGTGATGATCTAACCGTAAGGTAGAAGATCTGTGGGTATTTTCCATGTGAATACGCATCTGCCGCTAGGGTTTACCGGGTGTTAGCGGCCGTCGTGAGTTCCCTTTGGGAACGGACACGGCGATTTACTTTTTCTTTACGCACAGTTCTCCTTGTGAATACCCACAATTCTTTGTGTAAGCATCCAATATTGAGTATCTGGTATTTTTCATATGACTGCTGCTTACTGTGTTGCAGTGATTTGAAGCTTGACAACGTGATGCTGGACAGCGATGGCCACATCAAGATTACCGACTTTGGAATGTGCAAAGAGGATCTATTCGACGGCCGCCAAACCAGCACATTCTGCGGCACACCCGATTACATCGCTCCAGAGGTACTATATCAGTGCATTTTGTGATCAATAAGACGTTTTTGTGTTTGGTAACCAGTCACTAGTTGCCTGCAGACCAGTCTTTAGGGAATGTAGGCATTCCAACAGGCACGTGACAGTTAAGTATGCATGCATGCCCCCCCCCCCCCCCCCCCCCCGAGGTGCCATGTAGCTCTAGTACTAGAGCACTGCCGGGTCCTGAAGAACAACTTGTGACAGGCTAGGGTTTTACCAAGCATAGCATACCAATGTATACACGGATAGGCTAGGGTTTTACCAAGCATAGCATGCCAATGTATACACGGTGACCTAACACTGTGCATAGACTGTACTACATGACCATGAACATAGGAAGTTAGGAACGACCAAGGCTAGGAGGCTGACCTTCCCCCCCAGTTCTTCGGCACCCAAAAAATATAGGTCATCTGCAGTAGTCCGGTTTCTTTGCAAGTGTTGCGCAATTTTTAATCCGTGTAACATTATCTCATCGTGCCACTATTTCCGTTCTACATTTTCTCCTGCATCCCAACCCTGTGTAGATTATCGACGGAGCACGTTATGGTTTCTCAGTTGACTGGTGGTCACTCGGTGTTCTGTGTTATGAAATGCTGCTGGGACAGTCCCCGTTTAGCGGCGAAGATGAAGACGACCTCTTCGACTCTATCCAGCATGATGATGTAGTGTATCCTAAATGGCTGCCCAAGCAAGCGTCTGCGTTCATCAGTCGGGTAGGTGATGTGTGTGTGTGTAAAAAAACGGAAAAATGAAAAATAAGGATTCACTGGCCCGAAAAAGTCACTTCAATCAGCTGTGTGGTGGATACCAGGCTAAAATTAGTGGCGGTCAATGCATCAGCCTTGCAAGCTATTGAATGGTGTAATCCCAGCACAAGTTGCTATGTCTAACATGGCTGTTCGCTATCATCGCTTCGGCGATGGGCATGTCTGAGTCTGAGTCTGAGTGTGTGTATGTGCGTGTATGTGTGTGTGTGTGTGTGTGTGTGTGTGTGTGTGTGTGTGTGTGTGTGTGTGTGTGTGTGTGTGTGTGTGTGTGTGTGTGTGTTACTGGCTTTGTGTGGCTGGTCTGTTTTCACATAATCATTTGTAGCACAGTCCGTCGTCGATCTTATGTTACTGGAGGTTGATCGTGTGATCATGAAGTTTGTTGTATCTAATGCTTCTGTTCCTCATTCTGCATGTGTGGGTGTGTGTGTGTTTGTGTGTGTGTTTGTGTGTGTGTGTGTGTGTGTTTGTGTGTGCCTCTTACTCTTTATTAGCTACTGGTGCGAGACCCAACGAAGCGTCTTGGATGCCAATCTGAGCTGGATATCCGCCGGGATGATTTCTTTGCACGTATCGACTGGACTAAGCTGGAGAAGAGGCAAATCAGTCCGCCATACAAACCCAATGTGGTAAGAACTACTAGGAAACATTATTCTCCCTTATTGTCAGCACGATTTGTGTGTTGTGTGTGTGCTTGCATACGTATTTAGTTATTTTTCTATGCTAGCTGATGGTGCAGTGGAAAACTGAAATACTTGTACCCTCAGAGAAGGAGCGCTATGTTAACCTGCAATGATGACATTCTGCTTTGTCACCTTTCATTATTTCCGACACTTGATGGGATCATGTTTGTAATTGCTGCAACAGTCTTCCCAAATAAAATTGCCTCATTTATAAAGGTATGTGCTTGGCTTGGTTATCTTTCTATCTCATTCTCTCTCTATCTCTGTCTCTCTCTCTCTCTCTCTCTCTCTCTCTCTCTCTCTCTTCTCTCTCTCTCTCTCTCTCTCTCTCTCTCTCTCTCTCTCTCTCTCTCTCTCTCTCTCTCTCTCGCTTTTCTCTCTCTCTCTCTCTCTCTCTCTCTCTCTCTCTCTCTCTCTCTCTCTCTCTCTCTCTCTCTCTCTCTCTCTCTCTCTCTCTCCTTCCTTCTCCCTTTCCAATTCGTGTTCCTTTGTGCAGCAATCAGCGTTTGACGCTAACAATTTTGATGTTGACTTCACCATGGAGCCTGCAGTGATAACCCCTGTTAACAAGGAACTCGTTTTGTCCATTGACCAAGAGCAGTTTCACGGCTTCTCCTACATCAGCTCAGACTTCAGATCATCAGCTAGGTCTTGAAGAGGACTGTTTGTCGTTTCGTAGCTCTTTTATAGTGTGTCAAATATGAGCCAGACTTGAAGACTTTCCGAAGAATGGCTGTTTTCGCTTTTGGAACTTGAGCAATTTTTTCAGTACATGTCGAGAGATGCACTTAGGTGATACTGTACCTGCTGCGGCTGATGCCACAGCCGCTATTCCTGCTGTTGTTGCTGTTCTTCAAATGATGCTTATTCAGGTCTGAATCTTGAGTCCCAGATCTTCAGATCTATTTTCACCTCTGTCCTATCATCAATACTCCGGCTCCGCATACTCCCCTGGCTTATGCAGGTGCAAGACATAGTACACACTAGATAGCAATTCCCACACTCTGTCACCACAGCCATAGCCATAGAGACTAGCAACATGCTACACCGTTAAAAACGTCACATGAGCCTTACAATAGATCTCCCCGATATTTACGCCGTATTTAATGAGAAAGATTACCCGCTCTCCCAAAGTTGCAGCGCTATTTTCGGACGTTCCACCGTACATTATACTTATGCGCAAGATAGCCAATCTGAGAGTTCCGCCTTGTTGTCGTATTATGCACCATGTGTTTTGAACTTTTGGTGGCGAATTGAGGTTAATGCTATGAATAATCATGTATGTAGATACTTGGAAATATGTTCCCAGAAAATTACGGCATACTAGTGCCTTGCAGTATTGTTGAGATCAGTGTGCCAATGCCAATGGATGTGGTGTGAAGTGCTAGTGTATTTGTGTCTTCGATCATCAACACTGCTGTTGCTGTTGCGGCTGTTCGCTGCTGTTGCTGCTGCTGCTGCTGCTGGTGGTGGTGTTGCTGCTCCTGTTTCCCGCATTTCTGCTGCTAGGCCAGGTTGCTTGCATGATGCCCAATACAGTATGCAATGCCACTGCAGCATTGTGATGAGCAATGAGTCACATTTTTTCCAGAGACCGGTCTAGACGGTCTACCCTTCGTGGAATGTATGATACTATAAAATGCTGTTTCACATCCCATGAAGGGACTCTCAGGCAAAATGCATGTGATTCACAGAGTGCACAGCCTGTTTACACCTACAAGGCTACTAGTAGTAGTACATGCGACACGAGGTGTCTACCCTCCACATCGGCCACTTCGCCATGGGTAGAATGTATCCAAGACTTAGTTAGTTTCAAGCTATACTCGTACTCATGCCTGTAGCTGAAGTGATGATAGCGAACAAGCTAGACATAGCAAAGTGCTAGGATTAACCTGATCAGTACACCATTCAACAGGTTGCGCAAGGCTGATGAATCGACCACCACTGATTTTAGCCTGGTCCACACCACACAGCTAGCTGAAGTGGCTATTTCTGGCCAGTGAATCCCTATTTTTCATGCCACGGGGAGGAACATTCTGTGCGTAATAATTTCGTTCGCACATACTGTTCCAGATACCACTACTTTGCAATAGGCATTGCACATGAAGTCTGTCGTGTATCCGGTTCCCCCTTGACTCTTGAGTCCTTGACAGCGTATAGCGTGTCGTCACGTGTCTACGACACGTCCTTGTTACCACAGCCTAGGCACAGGCCGAGAAACACGACCAGCATAGTTATAGTGGTGCCTGGTGGCGTGGCACAAGCGAAACTACTTACTTCCTACGACCATTGTGCTGCTTTTTCGCAAACACTAGATCAGTACGACAGTCAGTAGATCTACTCACGCCAGTGACTGTGGTGAACTGAGCTGAGCATGAGGTATCTAGATCATAGATGAGAGCATTTCCCCAGAAACGCTTTCAAGAGAATGGAACGCCTTCTTTCTTACTTGTCAAGTCTGTGGTCATACTGTTGTACCGTGTACAGGTGTACCGTGGTGTACCGTGGTGTGTCTGACTGCCTGGCCTGGATCCACGGATGAGTGCACGGACCGATAACCATGCGCGATAGTAAGACTGTTTCATTACCATGAATGATTACATGCGCGCCTAGCAGTGCCAGTGGATCTATCACTTTGTGTATGAGTATGAGCGCGCATGTATATCAGGTATATGACTGCATGCAATGCGTCACAAGACGTCATGAAAAGAAGACTTACATTTTTTTGGTTTATCCCTGCAAAAGACATTGCAAAAGACATTGCAAAGGCAATTACATGTACACAATACTCGCGCAGGTGTTGAACACTGCTACTAGTGCTAGTGCTAGAGCATTCTGGCCGTATCGCGAAGACAACATCAAGTCTGTGGACTGCATCGGCGTGTCTTTGAAAACTCGGGCAACTAGTTCCTTCCGAGATACCATCGGTGAACAAGATCATCTTGAGGCTGACTTGGATCTGATACCTGGATACACAAGCCGAATATAGTGGTAGGTCGACGTCAAACATTGTATTGGGAGGCGTGGAATGTCAAGTGCTACTTCTCGCTCCCCAAATATGCTACATACTCAATCTTGTATTACGGTATTACATGTGCTAATCGTAGTAGTAGCGGTTGACAAACTCGACATTCCTGTAACGAGTAGATATTGTGATTTAGTACTAGCGCACCACTGTAGCGCGCCCGTGCTTGCTTGTCACTGTACGTATGGTGTGTTATTTGAGAATCCCATTACAGTCAACAGTCTGCACTATGAAGTCTACACTATAGTATAATTATTATAGGGGACCTTTACCTGGTGGTAATAGGGCTTGAAAGTGCTACGTCACTCCATAGCAATGGCATAGCAACAATTTGAAAAATTCGGAAACTGGACCCACCTGGATCCAGTTTTTGTATGGATCCAAGCACATTTCAAGCGGTCTCACTCACAGCAAGGTGATGTTGCCAGTGAAACTGACTGATTTGGCTAGTGGGGGCGGGGTGACAACTGGTGGCGAAGTAAAAGTTACACCTGCATACGACATGAGTGGGTTGCTATGCACCCACATACTTAGGCAATAGCAAAGTCACACCTTAGTGGATCCAAAATAGAAATCTGATGTCAATTTACTACTCCCAGGCCGTTTTTGACGTCATCACTTTCAAGCCCTATTGTGAAGTCCATCCATTAATTCATTTTTGCCGCCAAACGTAACATTTAGACATGGTTAGCATTTTACCGTTCACGCTATTTTCGACGGTCGGCGTGTAGAGGGCGAGTCTACTGTTTTTTTGTGTGCTTTCGAGACACGGTTATCAGTTCGGCTTCTGAGTCCTGACTCCTGACGCAAGGATCGACTTGTGACGTAACCCTAGTTGGAATCTTACCGTTTCGTGCTCTCGCCAAACAGAGCTTTCTATCGTCGAAACGGTACCAAACCAACGGTATTTTGGGTGTTGGGTACGAGTACCGTTGGATCTAGCGTGAACGGTAAAATGCCATGTAGACACACACAAAAAAACGGTACAGGCCGACCGTCGAAAGTAGCGTGAACGGTAAAATGCTAACCATGTCTATTAGCATAGGTATTACTTGTACATTGAAGTTCAATGTTCTTGAAATCGTCAGAGATCAATGTCATCTGGTGTCGCACATATTTCAATGCAATGTGATGCAAGCGGCGAGTAAGACAAAGTGCACACTCATAATAATCAAAAGCATGGCAGCCAAAATAATGTTCCAGAAAATGTTAGTAAGGTTGATGTGTGCATGTGAATTCATGAAAGCATTTCTTTCACATAATACCGCGCCGACACCTTTCACAGTGGCAACATTTTTCACACGTCTACATTCGCCGCTAGCGTAGCATTCTGTTAGCTAATTGTTTGCGTCACGCTTCTTCTTTCAACTCCAAGTGTATGCATCCTTCTCCTGTTTCCCATTCCTTTCAGTCAAGAGATCTCAATGGTGATTGTGGCAAGAAAGCTTTTTGGAACAATCCTTTGTCTCTCGTATTTGTGATATGAGTTCGCCCATTGTTTTATTCATCACTAGTTTACGATTCAAGTTTTTTATTTGCGTCGTCTGCACCTGCATCTGCATCTGGTTCAATATGTGAATGTCAAGAATAGTCTATGCGTTAGTTTGCGAGATTAGGACTGCGAGATTAGGACTGCGAGATTAGGACTGCGGCGCGCCCTACTCTGTTTCGTAACGTTCGCTACAAATCTGAAAAATACAATCACCACATTGCCTAGCCATTGGCAATTAGCACAGAGCTTGTGTTGGATTGTTGCCGATGATTTTGTGAATCTGCGGTTCGCTTCGTGTTGTGATCTTGTGTGCTGCAGTGGACACCAGCCAGCAGAACCAGGCTCGCCACTGACATCCAATGATGCCCATTAGCTACGAATGCCTTCAGTATCTGGACTGCATAAAGTGAGGTTTTAGTATCACCCCGAAAACCATGAGTGCGCTATCGTCTGGCACCTACACTGAGAACTTGCGAGCTGTTGGTTCGCTAGCTGTGTCGCTACAGCAATCATTTCTGGAGCTACAGCAATACCTATCCCAGTTATTGGTGGCAGTGAGCGATGCTCAAGATACGCTCAGAGCATCGGGGACATGCTGCAAGAATGCTGAAAACTTGCTTCAAGGCTTTCAGATGCTACTGACCCAGTCGGGGCTGGATGCCGGCCGTCAAAAGTGGACTCTATCTGAGCAGAGCAACGATGGGCAAGCCAAGCAGGTAAACATATACGCTTAGTATAAGCCGCACCGTTTTTTTGGGGGGGGGGGGGGGGGAAGGTGAATTCCGATTCGGTGTGCTTATGCTCCAGAAAATACGGTACGTGCAGAGTGTAGCCTGCCTGATTCATGGCAAGTACGGACACCAGGTGTTCCACTCCTATTGTCATTGGCATAGTACAGTGTACAGTGTCTTACTGCTGTACGTCGCCGATCCCTTCCACTTCTCCTGTAAATACAGGCTTCTGACCGCATTGCTGGCTGCCATGCCGATGTAGAACAGCAGTTAACAACATGCGGTGAGCACGTAGACAAGCTGATGTCTGTGGTGGGAAAGCACTTGCTCGTCGCCAATTTCTCTCCAAGCCGAGCGGGTGAGTGTCTGAGTTGTGTTGTGAAAGCTGATGCTCCTTTTTGCCAGGGAGGCTTAACGCTTGCCTGTTAGTAGTATCCTTGCTACGGTCCCCGGTCTGAGGCAAGCAGTGAGACTCGGTCTGGCACCATATTGGTTCCTTTATGTTATTCACTACACTTACATATGCTGCCACCCGGTCGGTATTGTTCTGCTACCACTATTCTTTCTTGGTTGTGTGTTGTCGTGATACCGTGATTCTCTCTTGATTGTTTTTTTAGTCCAGAAACCCAGTACGCCTGTCAGAGACGCTGATACCCCGCCGCTATCACAGACACCAGACTCATTCCTGGCTAGCACTGCTGCGGATTCAATCTTGGCCAGTGCATCCAGTCCACGGGACTACTCTGATGATGTGGCTGTTGTGAAGGCAGCCCTATTGGAGGGTGGGAACAGCTCTCTGGGACTAGACATGCAGGAACTATCGCAGCGGAGCATTCACGAACATAGCTCAGAACTGAGCACAGCCGATGTTTCTGATGAGATCGCTGCCTGTGATCACTCAGCTGCTGGTATTGCACCGCCAGGCAGAGTTGTTTGCAGTCCAGAATCACTTCAACACCAGTCACGTGACCCAGCTAATTCAGCTGACCCGCATAGTACAGTGGAGACTTCACAACCCAGTCAATACAACAGTATGTATGCAGAGCACACATCAATGGCATCGGAACAAGTGGAGGCTGCTTCGGCGGCTGCATCAAACAATGATGTTAGATCCAGTGATGCAGCCCAAATGAACGTGGATGAAATGAATGGCAGAACTGATGAGTCTTCTGCATCTGATACCAGCCAAGTGCAGTCCCCGGCTGATTTGAGTGCTGAGAGCAGATCTACCACCCAGTCAGCACAGCCCAGTATAGTGTGCGACAGAGACAGCCCCACATCACAACCAACAGCAGACACGCATGACTCTGATACCGTTAGTAGTCTTGCACAACAAAAACAGCAGCAACAACTACTCCAGCCTGTGGCAGATCCAGAGCGCGATGCAGGCAGTGATAACAATACCATGATGTTCTTTGACCTTCCTGGGTCGAGTGCCCCAGTGCGACGCAAGCCCCGGCTCAGTAGCGAGTGCATCACACGACCTTCCAGAAGCCAAATGAAGCAACAGCAGCAGAACCAGCAGCCACAAAAAGGAGGTGAGCTGTCCACTTCAAGCAATACTTTAATGGGAAATGTTTGAGCACGTTCCTGAATTGCGAATCCACATTGGCTGTTGTTGCATGTGTCTGGTCTTACTTGATAATGTAGATATCGTGGGGAATTCTTATGCCAGGTAATATTTTTAAAGTGAACTCTGCACTGAAGTTTGTGTGAATAACTGTTATGTGGGAATTTGGAAGAGCTGTGACACACTAAGCCATTAAGCCATGATGGAATTTGTGAAGCTGCTTATGGCAGCACCGGATAACTAACTCACGTGTTATCGTTGTGTATTGCTGATTAACACTACCCCTCTGTGTGCAGCTGCCTCCTCCAAAACGTCGTCTCCACCTCGCGAGGGAGCAACAAGCACGACGTCACCACCGCTGACAAGGAGGTCTCCGCCAACTCCAAAGAAATCTCCTCAACCGCCGAAGAAATCGCCACCCACGTCGAAGCGCTCGCCGCCGACACCGTCCAGAGACATTCAACGTCAGAGTTCCGAAGAAAGACGATCGTCACTACGAAGCAGGCAGGATGCTGCAAGCAGGCAAGGAACTGCATCTCCAAGAACAAGCAGCCCCAGCGGAAAGCAGTTGTCTCGCAAAGGACAATCCACGTCAAGGTCCTCATTGTCAGGTGCAAGTGCAACAGCAGGCTCATCATCATCATCATCAAGTTCAGACAGTGGAGGTACTACATCAGTATCCCCCGCAGCTGTAACAGGTAGAGTTACAGATACTACTCCAGTCTCTTCAGATACACGTCACTTGGTGGCTGTCAAGGAGGGTGGTCTGTCACTGGGGCTGCGGATTTCTGGTGGCCGTGGATATGGCGTGTTCGTTGACTTTGTCACCCTCGGAAGCCTAGCCGACACATGTGGACTGAAAGTTGGTGATCGAATTCAGACGGTAAGTTCCTGGCAGAGGAAGAATGGAAGAATCTTCCATATTTGTGTGCTGTGGCATGCTTGACAAAAACATTGTGACTGTGTATGGTGTCTGTGTACTGTTTTGGGACCCATGCACAAGTCGTATGGGACCAGAGAATCATGAACACCCTAGGTACGCGCCCAAACTTCCCTCCTCTTAGAGGTGTCTTCTCTTGAGAGACTCAAATGCATGAACTTGAAAATTTGACTAGGAAACTCCTGAAACGCCGGATTGCCCGGATTCCGTTTCTTTCCAAGCATTCATTCAGGCCGGCTCTGCTGTATCTGTATGGTGTACAAGTATTGTATACACTAACACTATGCTGTAATGTTTTTCATTGTTACTGATGGCACATACATGCTTGTCAGGAAATGCATGCTGCCGGGCTGCAGTCACTGTAACATGACAGTGTGGTTACCTGCACACACCAGTTAATGAATGTGTAGGAGTTGCATTGTGTAATGAGTGTAATGAGTGAATGAATCTGGACTTGGCAAAGTATGCAGCTTACTGCAATGAATGGGGTTTTTCTTGTGATATGTGTGGACCTGTGTTGCTCTGGTTTGGCTGCAGTTTGCAGAGCGTGACTTTGCGGACATCACTCACAGCGCTGCTGGCCACTCCATGCTGGGACTGAGCGGTGAAGTCCGCATTTCCGTCAAGTACAGCATAAAGGGTAAGCTAGAAACGTAGCACCAACCCACACCTGTCCGGATATATCCTCCGAAATGAAGAACAGCAAGTCCATTTACGGCCTTCATTCTAACTGCCATAGCTCTTTGTCGTGACTGTGTTCTCTTTTGGAGTTTGGATCAGTAAAGTAATGTTGTTTCATCATTTTATGGGATGAAAGTGTTAAATTAGTGAATGCACTGACGACTTCTTCCTTATCACAGGGTGCGACAGAGCTCTCGGCCTTTGAAGAAAATGCTGACTATCACCTCCACCACTACACTGCGCAAACAAAGCTGACTATATTTGTTCCCTTATTCTGAGAACAAAGTAGCCGTGCTAATGGCAATGTTGTTGTATCCTTATGCTGTTCTGTTTGTTTCCCTCTCTTGCTTCTGTCGCATGTACACAGAGTATGAAAGTCTTCCCAAAGGCCGTGACACGCAGGACAACTTTTTTATCAGGTTGGTTGTGTGAAAGTGTTCCTGAGCTAGGTGTGGTGTGTAAGTGCAAATGCGGTGGGTTTGTGTGACTGCAACCGAACATTAAGCTATGAAGTTTGGTGCTCCCTATCCACCCTCTAAGGTAGTGTGAGGCCGGTAGCTAGACCTACTGAGTAGTGGAGCAAAGGCACAAACATGGCCAGCACAGCAGTGGACTCGAACTGGCCACCACACATCCATATTCCACGCACACGGTACATTGCACCCCTTTAGCTGCCGATTGCTGAGTACACGGAGTTCGGAGTAGGGACGAACCATTCTGCTGTCTTTTAACTTACCATGCAGTATAATTATGTTATATGTTCATCGGTTTGAGGGAAAGATGCAAACGGGAAAAGTCTGAAGAAAAAAACTGACTATCACCACCAGGACTCGAGCCAGGGCCTTCGCTTGATGCTGCATATGGTCACAAGTTGCAGCACGACCCACAGTTAATTGGGAACTCCTGGCCTGCCACGAGGGAAACATGGATGCAGTGAATGGGATTTTCGGTCTTTGACCGATTTGTAGTGGGTCTGATCTACTCACCTTCCACCGCTTAGGAGCTGCATCTGCGCCTTGATCCCAGAGGGTGGTGGCGTTCCTACGGATGCGGAAAACTCAAACCGTGAATTTTTTAAATTTTTTATGGTCCCTTATACTTTTTTAATTGTACAGTGCTTCATTTCTTGCCTGCTATCTCCTCTGCACATGCACTCTCTCTCTCTCTCTCTCTCTCTCTATCTATCTATCTCTCTCTTTCTCTCTCTCTCTCTCTCTCTCTCTCTCTCTCTCTCTCTCTCTCTCTCTCTCTCTCTCTCTCTCTCTCTCTCTCTCTCTCTCTCTCTTGTGTTTGCAGATGTCACATCAACCGACCGTCGGAAGCCAAGAAGACCATACAGGATCTGGGCATGGCACCGGGTGATATCTTCCTCGTTACAGAGACTGCCCCGAGAGCGCATGACGACCGGTGGAAGGTTAACCAAGTTGCCATGGCTACTGGAGTCGTCAAGGATAAACATGGCTTCATTCTCTCACGGAAAAAGTAAAGCATACGCAATATGTCACATCCAGAATCACCAGAGCTATAACCAATGTGTAAACTCACTGTTACCGGTACTCTGAACTTCGGACAACAGTCTCAGGAAACTCATCGCAACCAATCAATCCTTAGTTCATTGTTTCCATGTCTCCTTCGCTGTTCTTGGTAGGATTGAGCATTGGCAGTAGTTGAAAGACACAGTGAGTTAGTCTCTAAGGCCATGTTTGGGAAAAGGAGAGGCACCAGAATAGAATCATGTTGGGAAACGGGAGGATTTTCCACTGTGCTATGATATTGTTTGAGCACAAACAGTATACTTTGGTGAGCCCATAGGTCAGATGTCCAGTCTTAAATGGACTGTGTGAGCTCAGTGTTGTTGTTGTTGTTGTTGTTGTTGTTGTTGTTGTTGTTGTTGTTGTTGTTGTTGTTGTTGTTGTTGTTGTTGTTGTTGTTGTTGTTGTTGTTGTTGTTGTTGTTGTTGTTTCAAATCTTTATTCTCACGATAGCCAGTGGCCAATAAGAGATCTTGTTGTTGTTGTTGTTGTTGTTGTTGTTGTTGTTGTTGTTGTTGTTGTTGTTGTTGTTGTTGTTGTTGTTGTTGTTGTTGTTGTTGTTGTTGTTGTTGTTGTTGTTGTTGTTGTTGTTGTTGTTGTTGTTGTTGTTGTTGTTGTTGTTGTTGTTGTTGTTGTTGTTGTTGTTGCTGCTGCTGTTGTTGTTGTTGTTTTTGTTGGAGATTCTTGAACTGTTATTCCGGCACTGAATGCCCCATAGCTTATCCATCTGTCCAGACTGCAACATACTATCAACTGACACTGGCTCAAACATGAGAGGAGTTGTGCGATTTTTTTGTACCATGCAGTGTACCCTGTATCTGGCATACCTTGTCACTTGGAAGACACGTTTCCTAACATTTCACACAGTTGTTCTGCTCTACATGTATGCTCGCTATCACCGGCACAGGGCTGCGGACATGTTGTATCCAGGCACTGCACAAGTGGATGGCGAGGGTTAGTTTCTGAAGTGTTTGTGGATTTCTTAGCACTCCTGTGTTTTGCATGTTTGTGTGTTACCGGTGTGTACTACACATACCGTAGAATCCCGCGGATAAGCCCATGGGCTTATCTCAGTGTTTCACAAGGACATTCAGTTGGTGGGCTGTTACGAGAACATTGGGCTTATAGTTATACGCGGGCATGGGCTTATACGCCCACACCAACATTGTGCTATTGAAAAGTATCAAGGAAGTGAGAAGTACATTGCTGAAAACCACTGTGCAAACAAAAACAACGGATGATTGTTTTGGAAATGTACAAAAAGAACTATATTGTACATGTACATATACTACGTACATGGTATGGCCAAGAGTCCATAATTTATGGACTCATGGTATGAACTAGGCCCATGGGCTTGTACGATGAAGCTTTGTGATGTTCGAACTAACCCTGGGCTTATGAGCGGGCATGGGCTTATCCGCGGGATTCCACGGTATTTTAACATTAATTTTGTACAAATGTGTACACAGAGCTCATTGATTTGTCATGTTGAACATTATTTCGTGTGTGTGTGTATGTGTGTGCGCGTGTGTGTGCATGTGCGTGTATGTGTGTATACACGGGTATGTGTTTCTGCAGGTGGAGCGCCCACACTGTATGAACCAGTGTCACTGCTGAAGTGTAAGCACTGCCGGACTGATACTCTCCCAATACATGTATCCCTACTCCATACCAGCAGTGAATCATCACCCTGGGTTGTACACACAGCTCTATAGGCATCACAATGTTTACCCTGCCGTTACCCGAGCACTACACGGATTTTACGTCTTACAGATCTTGCTACTTTCTTGGCATTGCCCATGCTGAAGGTCCATCATCACGCATACCTTCCAAGCCTGATGTTTTGTCTTGTGTGTATTGCGCGGTGTGTTCAGGTGAGCAGCCGCGACCGGTGGTACTTCTGGGGGCTCCTCAAGCGGTGACAGCGCTGCGCACGCATCTGCTGAAGGAGTATGATAAAGTCTTCTGTACTTGTCCTGTCTGTAAGTCGGCCCCATGGTGAATTGTGATGTACAGATAATGTGATGCCCCGCCGAGTGTCGTTATAAGCGAAGTTGGCTGTACACATAATGTGATGGTCAGCCTTGGGCGTATTGTGTTGTACACATATTGTGATGGTCAGCCTTGGGCGTATTGTGTTGTACACATAATGTCATTTCTGAGTGGACTGATGCTCCAACTGTCATTGCTAGTGACAGTAGTAGTGCCGTTGCTTCAGGTTTGCTTGTTGGTCCTGCAGTAGCACACTTGCCTGGCGATGCTCCTGGGTTTATCACACACCTATTGGAGTTGCTGTGTCTGAGATTACATGTGCCATGCCTGTGCTGTATTTTCTCCGGAACATGCCAACATGCCATTATTGCATTGTATTGCATTATTGCATTGTCTCAGCTGAAAAGTAAACCAGTGCTTACTGTAGTGTCTGGTGTTACAGCCTGTGTCATACAGGAGCCTGTTTTGAATAGAAGCCTGTCTTGAATAGAAGCCTGGTTTTCAAGATACACTGTCTGCACATAAGCCTGGTTTTCAAGATACACTGTCTGCACATAAGCCTGGTTTTAGTGTTGACATGCATAGAAATACCTGTCTTGTGTGGAAGCCTGTCTCATATAGAAGCCTGCAAAATTTCCCCCAAAAAGTGGGGGAAGACCCCCAAAAAAATGGGGGAAAATTTCCCCCTTTATACACGACTTTACGGCATGTTGTTATGTCTAAGAAAGCATGCAAGTGTGTATGGACCAGTAGCAGTAGCTGCTGGGTACACCCTTTTGGGGATAGGCCAATGTTTTGACATCATTAGCTGCGGGTTGAGGCTGCAACGTGTTGATGTACCGCTGGCCAATAGCCTGCGGGTTGGGGCTGGAACGTGTTGATGTATCGCTGGCCAATAGCCTACGGGTTGGGGCTGGAACGTGTTGATGTACCGCTGGCCAATAGCCTGCGGGTTGAGGCTGGAACGTGTTGATGTACCGCTGGCCAATAGCCTGCGGGTTGAGGCTGGAACGTGTTGATGTACCGCTGGCCAATAGCCTGCGGGTTGAGGCTGGAACGTGTTGATGTATCGCTGGCCAATAGCCTGCGGGTTGAGACTGGAACGTGTTGATGTATCGCTGGAATGTGTTGATGTACCGCTGGCCAATAGCCAGAGAAGTAAGTGATTGACCAGCTGTAGTGCAGTTTTCAGAAGGAGGAATTACAGCCCCCTGATGTCAAGAATGTTCAGTACCATGTCTTTCTCTTATCAAGTTTGCCTAACAAATTGAATATATGGGGCAGCCACTCACCGATTTTGAACAGTGATATATCTGTGTGCGTGTGTGTGTGTGTGTGTGTGTGTGTGTGTGTGTGTGTGTTTCTGTGTGTGTTTCTGTGTGTGTGTGTGTGTGTGTGTGTGTGTGTGTGTGTGTATGTTTCTGTGTGTGTGTGTGTGTGTGTATGTTTCTGTGTGTGTCTATGTTTCTGTGTGTGTCTTTGTTTTGTTTCAGATGATGTAATAGGAAATGTAGACATGTCCGACAGACCAGATGTCCTCCTACTGACCAACATTCATGACAGCAGTAGACAAACATATGTCTACAGAACCAGTGTTGGCCAGGCTGCAGAGAAGGTAGGTAGTTTTCTGGACAGTTCTTATCAACTTCTGTTTGCTGGTATTTGACCGTGTAATGTTCAGTGTGTTTAGTGAAAAACACGTGTGATGAACACATGCACACAAGTCCGTCTTACACATGTGCTGCATCTATTGTAGTAGATTTGTTTGCACACTGGTGTGTGTGGGGGGGGGGGGGCATGAATGCATGAGTTTGTGTGTGTGTGGGGGGGGGGGGCATGAATGCATGAGTTTGTGTGTGTGTGTGTGGGGGGGGGGGGGGGGGGGGCGTGCATGAATGCATGAGTTTGTGTGTGTGTGTGTGTCCACATGTACATGTATACTTATTCCTATGCCAGTTCTCGATTACCCAGTGCTGGTCGTGGTTATGACTTATGACTGTTAACACTAATCTCTGCTCCTGGCACGACCATGCTGGCATGCTATGCTCTCCTCCATCAGGGTCTTCATTGCTTACTGGACGTATCACCCAGGGATGTAGTGACTATGCTAAGCAGCAAGCAATACCCCATCGTCATTCTCCTGCTGAAGAACAAGTCAGTGGTGTCGGCCAAGGAAGAGTTCGGTTTGTCTTGGCTGCACACTGGTTAGTTATCATGGCAAGACTGGAATCGTCTCTTCTGAGACGGCGTAGTGTTCCATATGGATGAACACAATCAATCTTGGAGCCTAGTTTAGGGAATAATTACCTTGGCTGGACACTGTTGTTAATCCTGACGTGCCTGATATGTGGTCATTTGACACGAGACCGTTTGACTGAATCCACACACCACATACACTTTGCCAGTTTCATACAGGCACTACACGCTGTGCCAGGTTCATACAGGCACGTGCTTTTTTTGCGGTTCTTAGAGTGACTACTTCAGTTTCTGGTTGTTTGCATGTCATCAGGATATTTCAATGTGTGTGTGTGTGTGTGTGTGTGTGTGTGTGTGTGTGTGTGTGTGTGTGTGTGTGTGTGTCTCGGCTGCGGTCGCTGCTGCAAGTCATCCCGTGGTTTCGACCTGCATAGCTGTGCTAATTTCCTGTCCAGGAAGTAGAACGGCGTTTCTGGATCCAATGCTGAACTCAGTGCTGTCGACCCCTGCACAGGGGACACGTGACCATTTAATGGCAGTGTTACCAAGGACCAAGGTGTGTGTGTGTGTGTGTGTGTGTGTGTGTGTGTGTGTGTTGACTTTGCTGGTGTCTGCAGGCAATGTGACGCTGTCGAATGTTGCTCGTCGTGATGGTCAGGCTGTGCTACGCATTGTTCAAGACCAGCAGAAGAATGTCGTCTGGGCACCACACGATACTCCACTCAGCGAGTTCAACAGCTAGGTGACAACAGCAGCTAGGTGACAGCGCGATCGTCGATGTACTGGTGCACCAGTAACTGATAACTTGAGCTCAGTGTCGGTGAGCATGAACTCATCCTATGAATCCGGAATGATGTCATCATCACGAGGCACTGAATGACGTCATCATGGTCAAGGTGAACGATGCAGGTTTTCTCGACTGGTCCATGAGTATTCTGCATGACAAGGTGACATTCTTGATACATGTATTGTATTTGTTATTTGGGCAGTTTATTAGTTTTTGAATGGATAGGAGTTCGGAGCTACGCAATTTTAGTTACTCCATTCTATACAGATCTTTCTTTTTGTGTAAATAGTAACTCACTTTGTGATTGGTTATTCAAAGTATCTAAAGGGCTTGAGCTATTGATTCATGCCGCCGAACCCCCTGCTGGACAGGAAGAATGGTGGAATCTATACACCTGAGGAATGCATTACCCAGTACACTCGCCCCCACTTCCTGCCATGCCACAAACAACATCATGATATTGTACACTTGTACGTATTGTGCACAACCACATATGAATAATTATTATGATATAACGTTGACGATGACTAACAATTTCTCTCTCTCTCTCTCTCTCTCTCTCTCTCTCTCTCTCTCTCTCTCTCTCTTTGATATTTTCAATGAATGGACGTTTGCAGTCTTGAACTCTCTGATGACAACGCAGTCATTCTTGTGCATCTGCTCCTGAGTTGTATGGTATTGGTCAAAGTAGACTGATGCCTTGTTTGAAGGATATGTCTAATCGATTCGCACGCACAATGCAGCATATTCTGGTGCTGATGTATGGCAAGGAGAGTCACCCAGACTATGCCAGAGATGCATACCTCAAGCACAATCATGTACATGTCACATGCACTGTTTTACATGTCACATGCACTGTTTTACATGTCACATGCACTGTTTTACATGTCACGTGCACTGTTTTGGTGTCGAGGCAAAGCGGTCGATTTCAGACGGCCTGTTTAAGGCCAAGTAAAAAAAAAAGCTAGATGATCGTCCCCGTCCGCCCCAGTTTTTGTCAGCGCCCCAAGAAATATTTTATTTTTTAAATCGTGAGTTTTTGCCGAAATCGTTGGTTTTTTACCGATCGCGGATGCAGGAAACATGTGCACGCTTTGTTTAATACTTTCTTTACTATATGGACCACATACTACTAGTATATCACAACGTCAGTATCGATCTGCTGAAGAAAGAAAAAGAAAAAAAGAAAAAAAAAGAAAAAAAGAGAAAAAAAACCTTGATGTTGTTGTGTACACTGTGTGCATGAGAGGGTAAAAAGTAAAAAAATAAAAATAAAATCCTCCCGCCCTCCCCGATTTTTCCAAAAAAAAGGACGATCATCTAGTAATTTTTTTTACTCGGCCTAATTGTGGAATGCTGTATCACATTGATCTTGGCCGTACCTAGATGATTCGAATCAGTGGCTCGTAGCAATGGTAAGAGGATCACTCTGGGTGGTGACTGCTATCTCACGAACCAACACCAGGGTGCCCTCCATGGGTGCAGTAGGGCATACGGCGGATAAAGTTGAGAGATCATTGACGGTCTTCAACTCTTCAGTGATCCTGCTGGGAGAGCTGTGGTTGGCCTTTTGATGTGAACTACATTGTGGACTACTCCTATAGACTATAACTAGTATAGTGGCTGTAGACTAGTATGGGGCTGTTAAGTGTGACGTCACGGCTCCTTCGATACGCATAGCAACGGAGAGCACTGGGGACAAACAAAAGTCGCGTCCTCTGGATGGAACCAGATGTCAAGGGCAACAGCATCTAAATGACTGGAGAGACAGTTGTTTTTCTTTGCTTTTTCTTCAAGCGATTGTTGTCGCTCTTTACTCCTTGTTCCTTCCTCTACAAAACTCCTGTAGTCGTCGAGTGCCTTCATGATGGCTGTGAAATTGGCTACCCACAGTAAAACTCCGTGTTTGAGAGTGCTTTGAAGATGTTTCGCGTCCTGATGGATCAAAGTATGAGCGCTCCTTGTGGATTCGATTATATAATGGTGAGTTGTTCAAGAAATCAGTGTCTTTTTTCTGTCTCTGCCCTCACGCTGGCACAATATCAGCCTCTATATCCATGACAGCTCGCACCTCCCGTAAACTGCATGACTTAGATATATTTTCGCCCTCCGTGGTGATTGAAGACCCATGGAAGAATTTATTATGTTCAGAATGATGTCCTAAGAATATAAAATAAAATAATTCTAGGGAATTGTCATAGGGTATTTTTGGAAGGATGGAGACAGAGAGAGAGAGCACTGTTTGAAGTGTTTGTCTCACTGTAATTACTCCAGATTATTGAATGTTGTATGATCTATTCTATATTTTCCATAATGGTTTTTCCTGATTTGCGGGATCTCTTCTTTTGCTGTTTGCGTGTTTACAGGAAGTGGCTGTCTGGTGTAACTGCACCAGATCCTGGGGAAATTAAGTCAGATGCAGAGGCAGGGTCGTCCAGTGATGCAACACTGCCGTTCTGTGTGCAACGTTACCGCTAATACCCCCGGCGAAAACACAAAAAAGACGAACACGTGAAAAGACTACAGTATTGACCGTTCTGCTAATATATGCATGACTGCTCCGACAGTCGATAATCGAAACACAGAGCACCAGCATGATGTTTTCATATTGGGAACCACACAACAGCTCAATTCTCAAGCCCAAAAATTGATGAATACAAATACAGAGCGACGCAACAAGAGATCATCCGGCAACCAAACAAACCTGGGTCTAATGCACTGAATAGTCCTGAAATACGCAGGCCAGACAAAGCAGTGCAAGCACATAATGTTACAAGGTACATGCATTGCAGAACAAAGTGTAACCAAAGATACACAGGGTTATAGCTGCACACTTGTGCATGTGCTCGCTCAGCCCAAGAACACACGATCATGATGATAGAAACAATCCGGGGGAAACACGCTACACCAAAGTAAGCATCAACACGTAAATAGTGCAGCTCTGAAAAAATTACATTGACATGAACATTGGTGTGTCGAGTAGTATCAGGCTTGAATAACCATCCAACCAAGACTTCATCAGGTCCCAGACGCTGAGATCGCACGCCGAATGTGAAGTGCATCTAGCCTTGAACCTGCCGCACAAGGCACACATATATGGCAAAATGACATCCACTCTGATTATTTCCAGAGGCCAATCATGACAGAACACAGAAATGAAACCACGGGCTCAACCAAGTAAACGCAAAGGAAGTTAGTCAAAATAATCTGTGCAGTGCTCTTTTAATTGCAGCGCTGATTGCAGTGTTGCGTCATAGCCCGATACCCGCTGAGCACAGACACAACTCCATTCGTCAGGGGCAAGACATACTCTTTTGGAATAAAGTCATAGAGTACAGCGTTCCAATGACATTACGGACACCTCGTGTAAATGCATGGTCTGTTCATCTGGCCGACTCGGCCACGCATGAGAGTGTGTGCATGTACATGCGCGCACACATCATGTATTCGGTGCGTATGGTGTACCAGTTGCGGGATAATGAAGATGGAATCATTATCATGATGTTACATGTACATCTACAGTGTATGTTTGAGTGTAAAGTAAATTTTATTTTATTGCACATTTCTTCGACACAACTAATTACTTACTTCACATGTTCGCATTTCTCATAATCGATCCACCTGCACTCCGTATCAGTCGAGGAAAAATTCTCCCAGATATACACTAGTCACCACAGCCATGTGATGACATTGGGATGGGCCCCAAGCACGATTGCACTCTCTCTGAGTTACAATAAATTTGGCCAGATTATCTGTGAAGACAAAATGCAATGCATAGCGGCAATCGATGGATGAAGAGAGACTGAGAGTTTGTAAATACCCATATCTTTCCACTTGTTCAGGAGCTTACCTTTTGGAGTTCACATCGTTTACACGATCTCTCATGCTGTCTTGCACCTTGGTTTTGTTGACCATGGATACGCCAACTCAGAAAACATTCTACAGGAGCGGCTACTAATGCAGGGCGTTTTTCACGCTCGATCTCGGCGATCTACCTTGTCACGCCAATAAAATCCTCCGTGACACTGGCTACAGTCACAAGAGACGTCTCAGTAAGGTAATAAGCACGACAACATCGTCGAGATCAAGGACAAAGAGAAAACAAAACACTCACTGAAAACAGCAAAGAAGAAACGAAGAAATGTACACGATTCCTATATGTTGCCACTGACAACTGGGTCGGTGGAGACGACGATACTTTTGTTTGTCCCCAGTGGGATCGTTGTTATGCGTATCGAAGGAACTGTGACGTCATCACTTAACAGCCCCATAGGCATAGTGGCTGTAGACTAGTATAGTGGCTGTAGATCAGGGAGCATGCCCTACACATACCGGTGTGTGTAGGGCAGCTCCCTGCTGTAGTCTATATCTACATGATTGTATTTACGGTAAAGTATAACAGTAGTGCTCATCATTGCATGTTTTTTTTTTTTTTTTTTTTTTTTTTTACTAGAGCCACGTAAACCCGGTACCCGTCATGTGTGAGCCATGAATAAGGGGAGTGGTGGCGTGGTCTGGGATGTCTGTCGCACGGAATGACGATGTGCCCCCCCCCCCCCCTAGCTTTAGCCTAACTAACATCTTGTCCGCTGGGTGATAAAGCCGCCATGGCGCTATACAGTCATCATGCATGGCGCAATGAAACTAATTACTTGGGTACATGTACAATGTATAAAGTACCTTCTGCCAAGTTCTGGGAAAGTAAAAACCTGTACTTTATAGCGGAGGTATTGTGTAACCGAGGTCAAATGCAAGTGGCTGGAGCAGGATAATTATTATTATGCAGCGTCTTCAAAAAGTACCTTTTATCCGATGCAAGGAGAAAGTTATGGGAGGTCAATTTGAACCCGCCTTTTTCGATGTTGGGGTCTTCAAACATGTCCCTCCCTCAGATAGTTCCTCCTCTCTTGTCGCTTGCTATGAACGTCACCAGTGCCGTGGGAAAAGCGAAGACGCTGCAAGCGGAGGGTGAAGGAGATTGAGCACAGCAGCTTCGTTCCATTGGTCTCAGTCTCTGCCACGGGTACTGAGAACTGGCAAGGCAGCGTCTGCACTCCTGAACCGCATTGCCTCCCTGGCATCGGAGAAATCTGGAGAAACGTACAATCATGTACATGTACATCTACGCAACAGTGGTAGCTTAGAAGTTAGATCCGGCGTCGCCTGAGGTTCGGCCTTCTTCGTGCTAGCGCTGCCTGCCTGCGCGATGCCCGGCAGAGCTGGAGAGTGCAGATGAATCCACGCAGTCACACAGTCACACTGTACATGTACATGTATATCCCAGGCTGCGCTGCATGGCAATGGACTGAATGGTATTTTACAGACACATTGTCATTCTGTGTTCCAGGGTAGATCCACTTTACAGAGCATAACGACTGTATTGATCCTTGTGTTCTCCACCTTCAAGGCTTCATTGCTCAGACAGATGTACAGTCATGGTATTATAAAAATAAATATAACCCAATACTACCTGACTAGTAGACTGTACAGACTGTTCATGCTGTCAATCTAACAACAATACACACTGTGCTTGTACATCTGATGGGTTAGGGTTAGGGTTAGGGTTATATTAGGGTACCAAGACTGGAGTACTGATAATACATTGCAGTGCACTACACTTCCCCAGACTGCCGGATAGGTCAGTACAGTCCACTACACCACCTCCCAAGACTGCCCGACTCACAGACAGTGAGTGCAATCGTCACGCCTCTCGAGCAAGAAGAAAAGGAGCTACCGAGAGCTGTAGGAGCGGTTTTGACACTGTCGCCCAGCTAGTTAGTTAGTTACAATGCCTGTAGTAGTTACTTTACGTAGTGTAAGCATAACCATGCGACAGTGGACACTACCTACGCTACCGCCTGGTACCGGTTACTTTCTACCTCCTTAGACTAAGCTTTAGTATCCTCTGAGCTGTGTTAGTCTTCTTTTGTTTAGTTACAGGAGCCCCACCGGGCCCCTCCCCGAACGGCCGAAGGAGATCAGGTGCACAAAAGGGCAGGTAGGACTGGCCACACTATGTACTAGTTGTAGTAGTGGAACAAGCGCAATGCCAATGGGAATCACAGTACACTCTTTGATCTCGAAGGCACGGCGCGCAGCTGTTTTCGACTGTTGTTCCGACACCTCGCGCAGTCTTCCTGTACTGAAGCGCGTGCGATCTTCAGAAGCTAATGACCCATGCCACGATGTACCGGTACACTCATGTACATGTATGTTCCAGTTCTACTAATTGTGTATTACAATCCTCTACGTCCCCAAGCTCAATGCTCAGTAGCCAACACTAGCGTTGCCGGCACAATCTTGCAAAATGGGGCCAATTTCTTCTTCTTTTCTCCCTACCAGTACCAGTACAACTTGTGCGTGCATTCACGAACGAGCTGAGTGCATGGAGCAACACCCTCTTCCCCGAGCTGAGTGCATGGAGCAACACACTCTTCCCCGAGCTGAGTGCATGGAGCTACACACTCTTCCCCGAGCTGAGTGCATGAAGCCGTTTTGTCAGAAAGTCACCGTGTGACTGTCCCCAAAACTACATGACAATCATGATGGCATTGGGTGACAATCATGATCGTATTAGATAATCTGAATGATGGCACTCTCTTCCCAATCTCCACGACACACAAGCCTCTTGTACGGGCAAACAGAATACAATTCACGGTGGCATGGCGAATGATTAGAACACAACACTCAACAGAATACAATTCACGGTCACGGGTGGCATGGCGAACATCTCCATGAGGATGCCGTTGATCTATACAACCCCGATGCACACAATCTCCGATCGACCAAATTACATTGTACATGATTGTAATGTTTGTGGCAAGTATTATAAATGGAATGAAGTCGCACGAACACAGGCAACAAAATTAATACAATCAGTGTACATGATGTAGCTGTACTGTGCGCAGAGCCTACTACTACAAGTACAAGAATACATAAACTTCTGATTGTGATGTCGGTTGATTGGTTGGTATTATTCTACTTTGCCAGGATGAACAGACATAAAGTCATTCTCATTGCTGCCTTTTATTGTATGGACACGTGTCCAGGCGCTAAGGCTTAAAGCTCTCACAGAACGACGAAGAAAGGATACACGAGAGCCTAGAGACATGATCAAGAGTAAATTGCCCCCCCCCCCCTCCCGTTGTACAGTACGTTTGTTTTGGTATATCGGATGATGACAAAACTCAGAAGCAAAGAATGACACCTTACAAAGACCTGCCGACTCCTTTCCTGCGAGAAGGCCACGGCCCGGTGACACATACTGGTAGTGACATACTTCGAAGTAAGTGCACGGGTTCAGCTTGAGATGGGGTATGGATCTTCTTTGTGCAGTTTTCAGGGTTTTATGGTCAAAAGTTCAACAGTTAGTATTAATAATAAATTAATAATAATAATCTTTATTTCAGGATTACCCAAAGGCTAACAGTAGTAGTAACTAATACTAACATACAACGCACATGCGCATATTTGTAGACAAACACGCATAGCATGCACAATCCAGTAGATACATGACATTGTACTGTAGTAGACGAGGGCATCAACTAACGTTTGTTTGCCTTTGGTTTGCGATGTAAACCATGGTAAGGCCACCCTTTGTTAATTCATTGTTTAACGTCCTTTTTTTCGCGAAAAGGTACGCGGGAGGGCGGAAAAAAAACAAAAGCCCATTCCAAAAACTGGAAACCCCAATCAAACATTTTGACCAGTAAAGCATGTGATATAATTATTATTATACAATATTTCTGGGTCTAACGGCACTTGCAGGCATAGAACAACACTCTTTGATGGTACATTGGAGCACATGCCTGATGAATCCAACAAAACAGGTACATGTACATAGCATGGAGTTAGCATGTCATGAATTCATTACATCTGGATTTTTACTAGGGGTGCGTTTGGTTGGTACGATCTAGAACAGGATCGAACAGCTGGTGCACATGGAGCAGCCTCATGCCAACCAAACGGCACTCCAGAAACAGAGCACATTTTTGTGGGAAAATGTGCCAAACTTGGTGCATTCCTCAAAATGTGTATGGGTCACCATGGTCACGTTGTACGGTACGACGAGTCCAACCCAAAAGCGTATGCACGTGATCATTTGGGACCAAAATCGCTGTTCCCGCCAGGTTTCACTGTGAAAAAGTGAAACTGCTCGGTCTGCTCCGGCCTCGAGGCGGAGCAAGCAGAACATGTTCTGGCCGACCCAGAACAGGTGCAGTCCCAACCAAACGCGCTGTTCTGGTGAATCCTGTTCTAGTTCGTACCAACCAAACGCGCCCAAGGGCACACACCGTACGATATTTAAAAGCCAACAAAAAAAAGAAAAAGAACACAAGACAAAGGCATGCCCGGGAGGCAAGATTATAAGTTTAAGGTCATGATCGGCACACTGTGAAACTACACAATCATGTATTTACAACTTCGCATATTATTGGTACTACTACTTTCTTGTTTTTTTTTCCGGTCGGAGGCAAAAGGTACGCGGGCGCGGACGTTAAACAACGAAAAAAGAAAGGGTGGCCTAAACCTGCAAACAAAAAAACTAAAAAGTAACCTACTGATCACACCCGTGAACTAGAGTGCATAAACTGTTTATGGGCTCTTGATACCAAGAGTACATCAACCTCTTGACAGTCTTGTCGTCTTGATCATACGTACATGGCACACAAAGACTACATGACTAGACTGTACACACAAGTGTACTTTGACCCTATGAGGACAGACAACCGGATAAGCACGTGGGTTCGTAGCAGCAAGAGTCCATAAACACTCTTCGTAGCAGGTGTGCAAAGAAATTATGTTCACAACGAACTGTTACTTGCAAACAACCACTGAGTCTGTGTTTTGGCTCCCCACTCTGTCGTCGTTGTGAGTTGCAATACCAGGCAGTGATGATGCGTGCTGTTTGCCTGCCTCGGGCTTGCAGTGGCTACAGGGTGAGGGGCTCGCAGCCACCATGATGCCAAAGAGCCACGCTCCCTTGCCCGTGACAGAGTGAGCAGAAACAATATCACTTCGTTCCGACTTCGTGCAGCAAGGCGGCAGATGAAGTGGATTGGCTGGCTGGCAGCTGTGTCAATCGGTTCCGTGGTCGAAGTCAGCTCGTGACCGAAACACTGCACAAAAGAGTACATAACCCCCCTCTTGCTGCACAACATGAGGACTACTCTACAAGTTCTCGCTTGTTGATCAGTACGGTATGTGTCTGACAGTGTGTATTGAAAGTTCAAACTTTGAAAGTCTCCATACGCGTAGCTCCACAGCTCCTAGTTTCTCTATGTTTGGAATTGGAGGAGAGCGAGGTAGTCGCTGTCACATCAGCTGTGCATGTGCTGTCCAGTTTGCTAGTATTCAGTAGCAGTGTGTCCGTGGATATCTGGCCTTTTTTCAACGTGAAACAAGGACAGGGTCAAGCAGACTATCGTAACGACGTACCCCTGCCAGTACCCAGTAGTGAACGTCGAGTACTAGTATGTCTGTGGCGGATTCGACTCACTCATTAGAGGAAGGTCCTCACACACCAGAAGTCGATGTACTTCAATCGGACCAAGCCAGTCTGCAGCTTGACAGTGCGTTGGCCTCAGATGAAAATGAAGACGCTGGGGTCGCTTCTGCAACAAGCGGTCGTTCCGCAACCAACTGCCAGCATGGAGCCGCAACTGTCCACATGAACGCATGCCGCCAATCTCGTCATCGTCGCACTAACACATGTATAAGTCGGAGAAGACGGCAGAAAGCAGACCATTTCTACGCGCCCAGAATATGTAAGTCACTGTTTGTGGGCTTTTAAAGGGTACATTTCTTGACCGACAGCTCTTCAAGTTTGAAAGTTTAGTTCCCATTCGACTGGGTGCGGCGCAGGGTGAAGCGACGTAAGGAGTGACGGAAACCGGCACGACACTCATGACACCGATTGACGATGTCAAATGCGAATACCAGGAACGGGTACGCAGCCGTACTACAATGCAAGTCGAGAAGCATGCCATATGGGGGTGGGTGGGGCCCGGGGTGCATGCATACAAAGTGGCTGCATTTAGAGTGTGAACTGGCGACGGTGTCGAGTAGGGATGCACGCCATGACAACTTTGCCAGTTATCTTGGGATAGCCCCAGACTGTGAGACAAACTGATCTTCTGCATTTCCACGCGTAGATACGTGTGTGACAAGCAACAGTCGCATTTTAGCGGTACGGTTTGATTTCAAATTTTCTGCTATGCGTACTATCAAGAGGACATAACCCCAAGAGTGTGCAACTGCCTGCACAACCTCTATGCAGTGCTGCGACGGCAGAACTTCACATCACGCGACATGGTTCAAAAGGTTACACTGGCAAACAGTGCAAAGTGATCACAAGAGTGTTGTACCCAAAGCTGGGTTTCGTACAACCCTGTATCGATCATGCACAGAGTGCAAATAATGTGTACGGGTTCATCACGTGATGTGAAGTTCTGCCGTCGCAGACCCCATAGCTGGAGTTGCACACTCTTGGGGTTATGTACTCTTGGTACTAGGGAGGTTTAGTTCCCACGTAACGGAAACGCGAACGTGGGTGATCCACGTAAAGTGGATGAAGGGCACCCACGTTGCAATGTTGTGTTTAGTCACACGGAACAAGCAAAAGCATGAAGCGAAAGGCCCAAACCTGGTGAAAGACGAAGCTACCCGGGCCTAAGAAGCTCATCGAATATTTTGATTTCGTGCTTCGGAAACTTCTTCAGCTGAGCACCCTCACAGCTCGCACAATGCGCTCCATTCTGATTTTCACCCACGTTCTGGCGGAACGTGGGTGAGCCTCCATACACGGTATGTCGTGAATCAGAAAACGTCTGTACGTGGGTCACTGAGTATCACGTGGTACACACACGTAAAGTACCCACGGATTACGTGGGACTAAACCTCCCTACTATCAAGAGTACATAACCCCAAGAGTGTGCAACTGCCTGCACAACCTCTATGCTGTGCTGCGACGGCAGAACTTCACATCACGTGACATGGTTCAAAAGGTTATGCTGGCAAACAGTGCAAAGTGACCACAAGAGAGTTGTACCCAAAGCTGGGCTGCGTACAACCCTGTATCTATCATGCACAGAGTGCAAATAATGTGTACGGGTTCATCACGTGATGTGAAGTTCTGCCGTCGCAGACCCCATAGCTGGAGTTGCACACTCTTGGGGTTATGTACTCTTGGTACTATACACACTCGTTACGAAAGTAATTGGCTAGAACTCAATAGACTATGGATCAATTATATGGATCGATTAGCACATAGACGTGGGAGATTCCAACCTATTGGAAAAGGCTAAGAGTGGCGGTTCTGGTCAGGTCATTCCTACACGCGACCAAAATTTGTCCGCGGGATGCACTCATCCGCGGGCACTTTTACAGTTATGAGCCAGTGAGGTTGTACTATGGTACGGTAGTCTTGAACCCTGGTTGTTTGGCCTTTGCCTTTGGCTACTCATTCCAAATCACTACGGTATCACCACAGTAACGCCGTATACTCACTGAATATTCGCGGGAACTCTGGCCGCCACCCGCGGCCGTGTGAACTGCGGACTCACGTTTCACTTTCTGCGGGCACCTGACAAACGTATATTTGCCTGTCGTGTGAATTGCCTATAATCGCCACATGTGACCGCAGCTTAAGGCATCTCAGTATGTAGGCCATAGTTTAACATGATAACAGTTAAAAGTGATATCTTCCTTCTAGCTTCCTCATTGGCAAAGGAACCAATCGTGTGTGCGTGTCCACAATCCAATATGTAGCTAGGGTATAGTTCTCCTTGCTGAGGTTGTCGGTATAAGTCTGTCTATAGGGTTTACCGGGTGTTAGCGGCCGTCATGAGTTCGCTTCGGGAGCGGACGCGATATTTTACTCTCTCTCTTTTTTATAGGCTCTGAGTTATCATTGGTGAGGTTTTGCTATACATGTATGTGAAACGTAGAGAACTCACATAGAGAGCAGATGTCCGGGTTAGAGTCTACGACTTCGCGTGTTTTAGGTCCAGATTTCGACGCGTAGATGAGGTTCTCAACGTTGTGGCATGCGCAAAGAAAATGCATACGTATCTGCTGGGTATCATTCGGATGCAGGCAGAAGAAACCCGCCAAATTTGGAAGGGGAAATTCCCAGTACACATTCCATGTGATTTCCCTACGTGAATGTAGAGCAGAACAGATTGCCTTCACGTTACAGGAACGCGAAGATAGTTACCGGAATTCTTCGCGTCATGTTCCCGTAACGTGCCCGTGCATCTAGCATCTGCTTCTATCAAACCAGTGCGCTGTCTACACTAGTTACCTCAGCAAGTGTAGGGTCTGCATTAGTAACTGTCCTGGTCGTTGTACATGTGTCTGGTGTTTGTATGTCTGGTTTCTGGTGTGTGTGTGTGTGTGTGTGTGTGTGTGTGTGTGTGTGTGTGTCTGGTTTCTGGTGTGTGTATGTGTGTGTGTGTGTTTGTGTGTATGTATGTGTTTGTGTGTGTGTGTGTGTGTGTGTGTGTGTGTGTGCGTGCGTGCGCCGGTGTGTGCTTATGCGCTACAGGTGGTGTTGTGGCTGTGGCGATGTTTGCCGTCGGCCTGATCCTAATCATTCATAGCAGCAGACAACTGAATAAAACACACAGCAGCAGCAGGAGCCAGTCTGGCAATCGTTTGGTGTTAGTTGGCGCCGGAGCTGTGCTTATCTTTCTCTCACTGGCCATGATTGTGCTGCTTATCTGTATGATGTTTCTACGACGAAATGCCTTGAAGACCGGACAAATCAGACCAAGAAGTAACTATGCCGTTGCTGAAGGCAATGTCCAAGCTGACGAACCTAAACAGGTCAACGCTCACCAGCCACATTGCCATGCCGAGTCCATCCTGAACAGTGAGGCACCACCGCGGTACATGGACGCAGCGCGGGCCTCTTCGGCGAACGATGCTGACTGCTCACTGTCGTCTGTATCTCAGCAGCCAGTCTGTGATCATCATCGCTACAGCATTGACAGCACTTGCAGCAGTGTGGTTGATCTGAGTGTTCATACCTATGCATTGCAGTGCTCAAGCTGTCCGCCGCCACCCAGATACGATGAAATACTAGAGTAGTAGAGACGACATAAGCTCTTCACAGTGCGTCACTGGATTGCTGCCAGAACCGTGTCATGCCAATCTACATGTACATGCACTGTGGGCATACGATGTAGCTATCATCACTACATCTACTGCCACCAGCATTGTCACGGTAAGCTGGTTACTAAAATGAAACACCTATAGTAACATTAACCCATAGAGTGATTTTCTACTAGTAGCAATTATATTTTTAAACATATTTCCACTTCAAGCAGCAGTTACAATTCATTGGTGTTATGGAAGATTTATTCTCCTACTACTTCGAAGTACCCTCACTTTTTCCCCAGCATGCATAGGTTATTTTTTTAGCGGTTTCCATTATTTATAACGGTCATGTATGCCAGCACGCTGCTGCTTTTGGCTGAATTTGTGTTTGATTTAGGAAACTCCTGGCCCGGTGTTTCTAATGATTGTTTCGTCAGCTGAAGATTCTCTCAGAACTTGATATGACTTGCATTTTCGTACAGCTCGTCTATCAAAGCCTTGTATTTCTACTTGTATTCGTAACGTATAAGGAATCCACATTACTGATTTCTAGAGATTTGCAAGTTATTTATCTAGCCTCCGGATGATCCCCTTTCACTCGGGCGATGATCCGACACAGATTTTGTGAACGGCCTACATCATCAGACCGTCTTGCCCGGCGCTCAGCCTATAATATCACGACTTTCTCCCGTACACTTCTACCGCCTTTTGATTTCTAGTGTGTTGGTATCAACTCTTAGCCACAGTATATTTCAGGAATTTCAGCGAGCTGGTTCGGAGCACAGCTACATTCTGTCCCCGGGGAAATTTGCAATTCCGCGGCCGCGTTTTTTTCCGCGTTTTTTGCGATTTTTTAAAAGACCGCGTTTTCCGCGATTTTCCCGCGTTTTTTGAACTTTTTTGTTGCACTACACGTACACACAGTGCACTGTTCGGTCAGCATGCTAGCAACGTCTCATCGTGGCGGCTTTTTACTCAAATATGACGAGTGTTTACACCAGAGACTTGTAACTGATTGATTTCACTACATACTCACTGAAAATAATTGCCGCACATCAATATTATTTACCGCATATTTACCGCAAATTCACCGCAAATTATGCCATATTATGCCGCGTTTTTCCCCGCGTTTTTTGCGATTTTTTTCCGCAATTTTCCCCGGGGACAGTACATTGGTATAATACAGGATAGGTATTATATTCTTGGTTTCAAATCATATTCGGACGTAATGAACAAACAATGCAGCATTCAGCGGCTCATGCGATTGCCAAGTGTGGACACGACCGTGGTTGCTGTGAGTTGAATCACTATTGTCTTGGTCTTGTCTATTGTGCTTCTGGTGCTCTGTGTGCATGTGTGTGTGCCTGTACATGCATGCGTGTGTGTGCCACGATGTGTGTGTGTGTGTGTGTGTGTGGGTGTGCGTGTTTTGTGAGTTCGGTTAGCTCCAGTGGAATCACTCCACAATGCGCCACGTAGCGTGCTGCAAATCGAGAAAGTCACGGCCGAGTGTAAACTAGCCTTTCACATTCAACTCTTGCTCAGTTCAAGCAAGAACGAGTTACTACCAGGGACTGGAGTCAGTAAAATACTACTCCCTGGTAGTAGCTGAGTGAAACTCTTGCTTGAAGTGCTGCCAAAAATGAACAGGCCTCTTTTACGAGCAAAATATACACAATGAAAAGCCTTGCTTATTTTTTGCGAGAGAAAGACAGTGATAAAACTTGGGAGTGAATAAGCTCCCACAACTGCAAAACTGTAACCTGTACTGCTGTAATCTCTCTCTCTCTCTCTCTCTCTCTCTCTCTCTCTCTCTCTCTCTCTCTCTCTCTCTCTCTCTCTCTCTCTCTCTCTCTCTCTCTCTCTCTCTCTCTCCACCCGGGGCCCCCCCCCTCTCTCTCTCTCTTTCTTTCTCCTCATCCATTCTACCTCACCTTCTCTTGTCTTTATCGCACTAAATCACCCCCCTCTTTTAGGCTATGGTGCGCAAGCTCACGTTAACGCCGAGACCATAGGTCGGTGTTGTGGGCTTGCCTCACCAGCACAGGCTTGCTTTGCAGCCCCTACTCTCCCTGCTGTTTCGTCATTGTATACTCTGTTGTCTTCCCTTCTGACGAGTAGGTTGTGTACTTAGTAAAAAAAAAAAAAAAAAAAAAAAAAAATGTGCCTGTACTGTGTGTGTGTGGCTGTAGCCTATGTCATAGCATGTGCATGCAGATGTGGATGGCTACCAGGTGTCGAACTCGCTCTTGACTCGAACTGGCGCCATGGCGCAGTGTCGGCGTGTCGCAGTGTCGGGGTGTTGCGGGCCTTGCGCCCACGGCCCAGGTCCTTTGTAGGGAGTACTACTAGTACACAACTTCACAAGTCTAGTACACTACTACACAGCTCATGGTATGGTTGCGACATGCTGAGCCATGGCATGAGTTCATTGTTTGTTGACATTTTTGACACCATCACTAAGTGTGTCTTCATCATCAGCATCTACACGTGCAGGGCCATGCCACATGACCTGATGACCGGTCGACCCTACGCCATGCTAGTACTAGTAGTAGTACTATACTACATGTACCAGTCAGGGAGATGTCCTATCTAGGACATCGCACTCTGAATGAGTCTGATTGGTTACCTGTCCCAGAGTTGTCATGGAAGCGTCGGTCGCGCACACGCGATGAAAAGAAGTGCTGCGTGAGCATTTCTGAATGTATGTGGAGGATGCACGATCGTAATGGCGATGGATTTCTTTCCGAATTGGTCAAGTTTGAGGGAATAGGCGGAGAATATCAGACATCGGCGGGGATTGAGGTAGTGTATATTCGATTCTCCATCGAATACCCGACCGAATGGCCGTTTTCGTTTGGGGATTTCATGTGGGGTTTCTCGTAGCCAGGCGGCGCTTCTTTGGAAACGATTGGTTCTAATTTTGAATATTTTGCCTTTGGAATGTTTCTTCACCATGTTCACGCCCTATGCGTTCATTTCGCCCCAAACCTGGTCATGCAGAGGAGGAAGACGAGCCAGCAGGCGCTAGGCGCGTAAATTACTGCCTGGAGGATATTATTTGGCCAAAGCTTGCTGTTGGCGTTTTTGATTTCTTGGATACGACAGCTCTTGGCTAAAACTGGACCTTGGACGGTCTTTCTTGGATATCAACCCAGGACGTGGTGGTCATGGACGTATCGCCATCGCTTTCAGCCAGATCCTTCTGCTGCCTGAAGCCAATGGCGAAAGTAAAAACTGTATCGCAGCAGCAGCTACTGCTCTGCTGAAAGTGCGAACACAAATTGCTTCGCCAATCCTCTTGTGCACGTGCAATTTTCAATGTGACCAAAACGATTCGCTTGCCAGTTCCTTTGTCAAGGCGTACTCCACAACGAGGAAAATAAAATTCGTGAATGTAAGAGGCAAGATACGAATCTCGACTCGCTTGAGGCAAGCCGCCAGGAGAACGACAACTGATGAATGCTTTTGAGACGAAAGGCCTTCGTTGCGTTTGTTTTGAGTGCGACATGTTCATCTTCCTCGGACGCGACACAAAGTTTTGAGTCACGTGTCACGATTACTATGGGAACAGCATAGTATGTATGCTGGGGCATGCTGGGTTCCGTGATGTCCTATCTAGGACATCACCAGGACTGTGTACTGCACTATCACAGTTTCTGGTTGAATTTTTTCATCAGAATTTTCGCAGCTGGAGGAAAATGATCAGCCTGAATCGCCGGAATGCTTTCGAAGAGCACAGTCAGTTTCGTATCCATGACCTCTCGAGTCTCGAGTGCCAGTCGAGTACGTCCGTGTCCGTAAATTCTGGTGATCATTGCCTTGCTTTGCTTGTCGGACGCAGTTCGTATGCATGGCCTGATTGCTTCTGCTGAGAGTTGAGGAACGGCGCGGTACAAACAACAACAGTGCTCCGTTTTCGGTGTGTGCCTGATTTGAACCGAATCATCGTATCGACTGGTCTTGGTTGGACAGAGCAATGCGTTAGTGGCGCTACCGGATGTCCTGTGTCTTTTACGGATCCATGGACGGAATCCTCAGCGCTAGCGGATCGCTTGGGCAAGCTTTCCTACCGCTGTGAATAGAGTGCTTGAATGCTGCTGCTACTCATTAGTAATTATTTAGACTTATCAGCGGGCTGAGTTGAAGAACCTGTCCTGACTGCTGCACTGGGGATGGAAGAGAATGACGGCGAGAGGGGAGCGGATCAAGTCCGCAATCGCTGTGCAAGCCAGCCCAGCACCCGAGGGCGAGGAGCAGCGACTAGCGGCGATGCAGAGAGGAGAGAGCGACCTCAAGCAGCGGCCGCAGCTGCAGCTGCCGACACTGAAAGGGCGTGGGCCTGGGAAAAGTAAGAACTAAGCGACGTGCATGATACATGCATCGGTGGTGAAGTCCTCCATCCCCCTCAGCTGGAAATTTCATTTACCGGAGAAACCACGAGATGTGCCGTTGCATGGTAGATGAGTAGAGTGACGATCAAGTGCTTGTTCAGATTGTTTCTTGCATGACCAGTGGCAGTGCGTGTAAGCACGACGTACCTTGTGACGTTGTGTGCTGTAGGTTCATTCACCTTCACTTGAAGTTAGAAAAAAATTAATGCCGCTATTCACGCTGGGAATACTTTACAATGTACTTAGGCAGTTAGGATAAATCTTGGTGTTTTGGCCCCCGTGCTACTCAGACCTGCAGGCAGAGGAATAGGATTTATGTGGGTGTACTGAGGCATATACCCCAGTTTTTCATGGATTGGCAGTGCTGCACATAACAATTATTGTGCAGCACTGCCAATCCAGTAGTAATCCAGTAGTTCTGTTCTTTCCGAATCAAATGAACCCCTCAATAGGCATATTATGCCTATTGAGGCCGGGTTCATTTGATTCGGAAAGAACACAGTACTACTGCTAGTATGTAGAAAGACACTGAGTAGGGCTTGATGAGGAGAGAAACTGGGGAAAATCAAATACAAGTACAAGGTGCCGGAATTCCACATTGATGGTGTCAAGGTGCAGTGCGGCTTGATCACCTAGAGTGGAGATGATGATGTGTCAGGGGAATTAATGATTTAAAATACCTCAACTCAAGTGTGCATTTCACAGAGCCAACTCTTAGTGCATCACTTGCATAAGTCTTATCACAGAGAGAATGTGCATAGTAGCAACAAGTACTGTACAAAAAGGGTTTGCTCCCCACACCGGAGCTCGCGCTATTCCGCCGACTTTACTTGACACTTGACTGACTCACGACTGCTATCCAGAGCACACGAGAAGTCCATCGAACCTTCGACTCGGCAAACCTGCAAGAAAGCACCACTCCCTGCTCAATACACAGTGTTTCGGGGAATTCACCCCTCATCAGTTGAGCTTGAGTAGGCTGAGGAAGATTGTGCCTGAAGAGAGCACTATATAAGTGGTGCTCTTCAGGCACAATCTTCCTCAGCCTACTCAAGCTCAACTGATGAGGGGTGAATTCCCCGAAACACTGTGTATTGAGCAGGGAGTGGTGCTTTCTTGCAGGTTTGCCGAGTCGAAGGTTCGATGGACTTCTCGTGTGCTCTGGATAGCAGTCGTGAGTCAGTCAAGTGTCAAGTAAAGTCGGCGGAATAGCGCGAGCTCCGGTGTGGGGAGCAAACCCTTTCTTACAAATCATCGCCGAAGTCGCAACCACTACTAAGTACTGTACAAGCAGAAATATTCGTCTGGAATTTAATTCCCGTAGCTATGCAGACGACGTTACTTCAGTAACGTCTGGCGCTAGCCAGGGTCCACACAGCTTTAATTCCCGTAGCTATGCAGAAGACGTTACTTCAGTAACGTCTGGCGCTAGCCAGGGTCCACACAGCTTTAATTTGGTATTTGTGTGTTTGTGTGTTTGTTTGTTTGTTTGTTTGTTTGTGTCACGCCTGGCGCTATCCCGTATCTGACGGCAAAAAATCATAGGGATGTTATAAATTTTTCAATTCTCCTATTTTTTCAGGCATATCCTGGGATTCGAACCCGCACTATCGCCCAACATGCATTCCCCCATACACTTCGCATTCATACCCATTCTTCCAAGTTGCTTCACGTTATGATCTTGCATTTGAAAGCCCTATTTGAATATTGCGGGCAGCTGTATGTGGCCAGCTGTGTTTGATGGTACGGTACGGGAGACGGTGTCGTATTACCCTCGATTGTACCTGTCCCGTACCTATCCCTACCGTACCGTACCATCAAAGACGGCTGGCCACAATGCATATTCAAATAGGGCTTTCAAATGCAAGATCATAATGTGAAGCAACTTGGAAGAATTAGTATGTATGCGAAGTGTATCGGGGGATTCATGCAGGGCGCGATAGTGCGGGTTCGAATCCCAGGTTATGTCTTAAAAAAAAGAATTTTTTAAAGAATTTATAACATCCCTATGCTTTTTTGTCTAGATCATCAAGACAAAAAAGCATAGCGTAGGGCCCTGAGCTTCCAAGCTTTCTCGTTTGGTATTTGTCTGTGTGTTTGTTTGTTTGTTTGTGTCACGCTTGGCGCTATCCGTATCTGAAGGAAAAAAAGCATAGGATGTTATACATTTTTCAATTCTCCTATTTTTTTCAGGCATATCCTGGGATTCGAACCCGCACTATCGCCCTACATGCATTCCCCCATACACTTCGCATTCATACCCATTCTTCCAAGTTGCTTCACGTTATTATCTTGCGTTTGAAAGCCCTATTTGAATATTGCGGGCAACTGTATGTGGCCAGCTGTGTTTGATGGTACGGTACGGTACGGGAGACGGTGTCGTATTACCCTCGATCGTACCTGTCCCGTACCTATCCCCTACCGTACCGTGCCATCAAAGACGGCTGGCCACAATACATATTCAAATAGGGCTTTCAAATGCAAGATCACAATGTGAAACAACTTGGAAGAATTAGTATGTATGCGAAGTGTATCGGGGGATGCATGCAGGGCGCGCGATAGTGCTGGTTCGAATCCCAGGTTATGTCTTTAAAAAAAAGGATTTTTTTAAAGAATTTATAACATCCCTATGCTTTTCTTTGTCTAGGTCATCAAGGCAAAAAAGCATAGCGTAGGGCCCTGAGCTTCCAAGCTCTCTTGTTTCGTCTTTTTCGTCCAAGGAACTTTTGGACTAAATTAAATGCCGGACTAATGCCGATTTGTCCAGCTTTTCTATACACTCTTATGATCCATGGACGAAATATTCAACCGGACGAACTCCCTTTCTTTGGAGTTGGACGAAATTATTGACCGACGAAATGTTCTGCCTCTACAGTAGTCACTACAACTTACAAGTACAACGCGGCAATGTAGACTAGTAGTAAGGTTCCACTCTACGCATCAAGGGAATGCCGCCGCTAGACAAGCACTTTCACTACACTGTACTGGTGTGCATGCAAACAAGGTGACGGTTTCTCATGCTCTGCGTTCACGGAGAGAAATGAATTTCCGACTCGCGGTCTGCTGCCAAAATTGGGGCGGTGCCAATTTCGTACACGCTTTTTTTGCCCGTTCCGCAGCTTAGAGAGTCTGGTCTCCGTGTTTAAATCTTGAACCACAATATAGCCACAAACTCCAACCCAGATATACATTATATGTTCTGTAGCTCATTCTATATTGCTGGCACGACCTGAAAATGTGGGGACTCCTGGTCTAGTTCGGCAGCACCCCCGTGGACACATCTTGTGTGAAAATTTGGTGTAATTTAAATTGGAATCGCAGTGAAGAGACCGTTCTTGGAGTTCGGAGTTGGGAAATGAAGGCACTGCAGTTACCGAAAATATAACATCACCGAAAATTTGTTTTTACAGTACCTGATTTTTACCCGGGGGAGGGGGGGGGCGGGGGCAGTGCCCGGGTTACATAGGTCGATAGGCTTCCTATTTTTCAAAGTGCGGGCAAGCTGCTGCATGTATGGCTTGCCCGGCGGCATGTACAGCCTTACACTAAGTAACAGTACTATCCAGTTGAAAGAAATCATCTCATGCAGATGCAAGCAGGCTCACGTTGGAACCCAATGAGCCGGCAGATGGGAGTCATTTGTGGTATGGGCATTCATCCCAAATTGCCGCGAGCAATTCAACCACTCCCTCCAGCAGCAGCTGCCATTACACACTGTCAGTGTTGATGATTCTCTCCGATTAACATACTACTGAGTAGACCAAACTGTACGCATACAGTTTTCCTGTTTGTGCAGCAGTAGTAGCCCAAACTGTACGCATGCAGTCTTCCTGTTTGTGCAGTAGTAGTCTAATCAAGTGCACACCACTTTTCCTGTTTTACTTCCTGTTGTTGCAGCGTGTCGGACCGGCATGTCTTGTTCCATTTTGGTGTGATATTCGGTGCTGTGTTTGTAACGTGTGTAATACTCCTGCACTGGGTGGCGTTTGTTGGTCGTGACTGGTCGGCGCATTCACTCTTCTACCATGTAAGTCACTCAGCATGGTACTAGTGAGGAGTCCTTGGTCCTCCTTTTAGGGGGGGGGGGGGGGGGGGGGTGCACGGTCGCATACATGTATGTGTAGGATATCTGGTGCATGTCATCCATGGTCATTTTGTGCATGCTGAACCTAGGTCGACATTTTAGGGGGTGAACGTGCCCCCCCCCCCCCCCCCCCCCCCCCCCCGTGCCCCATGCGGGTTACGCGCGCCTGCTTTAAGTGACATTCTCACGCTCACACTCAGTGCCCCAGTGCGGGTCCACACATCATGCACATACTGTGTAGTGGCTAGTCTCTGTCCTCCATGCTTATAAGAGTGTACTGCATGTTGCAAATGCCTCGATTCCCGAACAGGCTCTCAGCTCCAAAGAAAGAGTTAAAAAAATTTTTTTTTTTTTAAATACTGAAGTACTGCCAATATTTTGCCCATTGGCCCGGGCATCATCAATGCATCAATCGCCCAATGGGCAAAATGTTGGCAGTATTTCGTTATTCTTCTTTTTCCAGCTGAGAGCCTGTTCGGGAATGGAGGTACTGTACTTGCAAGTGGAAAGAGAACGCTGCAGTGGAGTTGGAGAGTTTTTAGGAAATGCTGTACGTTGGCCTGCCTTGTCGATTCTTGCAGAAACTAGCGTCTGATGGACACCATCCTCCCTGGGTTAGAAAAGGCCTTTCTTTGCAAGCAGACCAAGGTCAGTCAGCAGGTGAAGAGAACGTGCAAGACTTCTGGTCACAGTGGCATACACTGGAGTCACTGAGCAGAGACTGGGCAAACTCCAGCCAGGAGAACGCTGTGCCCAGCTGACACATAATAATCTCTTGAGGGTGCCTAGTGCTGGAGACCACCCTTACTTGAACAATGCCTTTTGTGTCAGTGAGCAGCTGCCATGGTAACACATGCATACATGGACACGTTGTCGTTCTACTTCAAGTATTACGTGCCCCTCGTCGTCGTCGTCGTCGTCGGAGGAGGAATTGCCATCACCAGGTTTATATCACGAACACAATAAAAGAACATAGAAATGACGGCTAGACTGACTCGCTGGCTGGCTCGCTGATGTGAACATGTTTTCAAGGCAAAGTTGAGAATGTTCATGTTGGACTGTTTTTATACACAATAATGTATATAATGATATACATTGGCACTGGCCCCCTCTCCACGGTTTGCGCGGGCCTGGTGTGGTGTTCTGTCCAGGGACCGTATTGCCCGCTGTGTTGGCTTAGCACGCCGCACGCTGTCAGGACTTTTTAGTGTTTAGTACTAGCAATCCCGTCGTCGAACTGTGAAGTCTGAAGGCATGACCGTGATGACCGTGTCATGTTAAGCATGAACTCACAATCATAGTCATGTAGGATCTCGCATCTGTAAGAAATTTGACTCTTTTTCCATGAACACAGAATGTTTTTACTTTCTAGTGTGTGGTACAAACTGTGCTCTTGTCTTTGTTGTACGTCTTGTCTACAGTACTAGTGTCAGTCGTCCTGACATGACTAGCCGTCTTCTTTGTATTGTCAACAGCATGAAGCTATTAGTTTCGGAAGTATCTTGATATCAATTTTGCTGTGAGCAAGCGTCATTTTTTACATTAACGTTTATACCGATATTCTTTTTCTAATACCTCATAAGTCGGGTTCCTTCTATTTCAACGTTCTTTTTCCTGTCAGCATCAACTTCTGCAATGTTGCTTTCAGATAGGACAATACAATCGATTGGCTTGGTTGTTGGAACTCCGGACGATTCAGAAAACACTGACTCAGTCCTTGTTTGCGGCTTTCATGTCCTGTGTATCCTGATTCACAGCACATTTAGCCATGCAGCAGCCATGCAGTCAACTTTGCATATAGCGACACTCGGCGGGGCATCAGAAAAATGTCGTTATTCGCGAAGTGTCCTTATACCCGAAGTCTCATTATATTATGTAATACAGTTAGATGAGACTTTGCTCTGGGCGTGGAAATTCTGTCGTTATTCGCAAATTGTCGTTATATCCGCAGTGGTTATTTATAGCGAAGTTGACTGTACTAAACTAGTGAGGTAGACTGTGCCCATTACCATACAGGTGTACTGCACCATACAGGTGTACTGCACCATACAGGTGTACTGCACCATACAGGTGTACTGCACCATACAGGTGTACTGCACCATACAGGTGTACTGCACCATACAGGTGTACTGCACCATACAGGTGTACTGCACCATACAGGTGTACTGCACCATACAGGTGTACTGCACCATACAGGTGTACTGCACCATACAGGTGTACTGCACCATACAGGTGTACTGCACCATACAGGTGTACTGCACCATACAGGTGTACTGCACCATACAGGTGTACTGCACCATACAGGTGTACCGCACCATACAGGTGTACTGCACCATGCAGGTGTACTGCACCATACAGGTGTACTGCACCATACAGGTGTACTGCACCATACAGGTGTACTGCACCATTCGGTTGACAAGTCAGAAATGAGTTAGCAACCAACCACTGTAGTAGTGGCCAGCCCAGTCAGTGCACGAAGGCAAAATAAGAATTGGACAAAATCTAGCTGAGGGAAGTAAGGCTATTGACTGCAGAGCATCTGAAAACAACTCTGCTAGTCTGTATGAGGGGGGGGGGGGATCTCAAGGAACAATAGCGGGACAAAAATAATAAGGAAGCTAAGAAAGATCAGGCGGGATTTGCTTTCAGCCACATCAATGCGGCATGAATTGCGTTGTAGGCACATTTCTAGAGAGGTGGCAGAGAAGCCAGGTGAAAAAGATGAAATTTGAAGGTCCGACGTGACGGGGCAGGTATTTTGAACTGGTGACTAGATTTCTATGGTGAATGGAAACTAGAATACTGGTGATACGAACGGTCTGAGTGTTGGACTACACTGTACTATAAGCTGCTGCTATTAGTGTGGCTACTGGTATAGAACAGTGCATGCAGTGACGGTAAGAGCTAGAACATCTATATAAAGGGGAAATTCAATGGTCCTAGCATGCATATCTCTCATTCAGTCTGATACACTGGTTGTCGATGACACCATGTAGTTCGGGCTAAGGCCTACTTAACAATTCGCATACAGTCATCAAATTAGGAGTCCCCGTAAAAGCGATAAATACTTGCTCGGTGCCCTTCGGAGAATGTGGAATAAATTGCTACACATGTACATAGCGTGGTTCAGACATGCATAATCTTCTTCCACCGGCCGCATCACGACTCAGCGTGGGTCAGTAGAGCTGGTTATCTTGCGGAAACTCGTTCAGAATAATCGGCTTCTCCGTGGTGGAGTATCGCCGCTTATTGAACGCCCTTCCTTGAATGCCTTTACGCACGACGGGACGAGGCCCAGTCCGTCTGCAGCCTTTGCAGCACAGGACAATACTCAGCAAGACGGAGAGAAGAAAGAAACCACCTCCCACACTGATCACGATGCGACCTTGGTACGTGTCATACATGACTCTCCATGGATCTAGACACATGCTAGTGTTGTAACCGGTGTTGTGCTCACTCATATCCTGTTGGGCACTGCTTAGCTGTTCTTCAAGATCTTGGCTATGTGAAAGCTCTGCACTGTACAGGTTGGAGACGTTGTGCAGGCGTTCCCTGTGCCATGTGATGTTCTTTTCGTATTTCTCACGCCACTCCGTTAGTTGATCACGTGATATCCAGTGAGAAGAGGATCCGCCGTTGCCGTGGGTCCTGTGAGAGGTGGTGTCAGCATAGCTCGTGATAGCTTGTGGCGATGATGGCACCCCAGGGGGTGATGATGTCATATCAGGTGGTGATGATGTCATACCAGGTGTCTGTGTAGTGTCTGGTGTTGTAGCTGGCGTACCTGTTGCAATGCTGTTCAATCGAGCAGTGCAGGTATGAAGCTGAGCTTCTGTGCTTGCCAAGCGGTGTTCTGTGCTGGTCAGGACTTGTGTGATATTCTGCTGCGTCACCACACACTGCGATAGATTACTCTTAGCCAAGACGAGTTCTTGTTGATCGCTGCTAAGTCTTGATAAGCACCGCGTGAAGTTATTCCGTGCAATGCCAATCTCTTGGCTTGAAGTGTTCAGCTGTTTGTTGAGACCTGTTAGCTGTGCCTCACAGCGTGACAGGTTTGCCATTGCTACATTCCAGTGCATGCTGCATGTCATTGCCGCTGACTTGGCGCTGGTCAGTTTTCTCGAAATGTTTGCGTTCTTTGCAGAGAGCTCCAATGCCATCTGCATGTATTGCGCAGAGTCTGCACGGCAGGCGTTGAGGTGTGACGACATGTTGGATGCTGAGATGGCATGTTGGTTTAGCAGACTGCTAGCATTGCTGTTGCATGACAACTGTTGTTGTTTCAGTTGTGAAGTGAGATCAGTTCGCACAAGCTGAGCTGTATTGTAAACATTGGAGAGGTTTCGTCGCAGCTCGCTGGATGTGTGCTTTTCCAGTACGAGATCAGCCTGGCAGCTCTGCAGATCAGCAGTGAGCTGCGTGTTCTCCTGCTCCGCCTGCACTAATGATGCGTTGAGGGTCTTCTGGCTTATCAGGCACTGTCCCAGAGTGAGCGAGGCATTGCCAAGGCATAGATGAACACTCTGTAGGAAAGAACAGGTAACAAACAGAAACAATAGTCCTGTGATCAGGCCACTGGCCTGGGAGCAATGGAGCCTCGTATTCTCCACTGTCGCCCCAGCTTTGTGAAGAATGAGTCGAGTATCCAGCACAAACAGTGTACAAATGCTTCTCTAAAACTCTAACATACACTTACCTGTATGGAAGCGTGGTTACTAGCTAGCACTAGTGGCTAGTACAGTACACTAGGATTAGCTATTACACTATATTGAGCAAACTAGCACACGAATCGGAGCCAGCACTACAAAAATGAAAAAACGTATTACAGGTAGACTCCCTCTAATTCGAATACGGTTTAATTCGAACATTCCGTGTAATTCGAAATTTTTCGTCGTACCGATCTTCTGCAAGTCACTTCAAGTGAAAATCGAATGCATAATTCGAAGTACGAAAAGTGCGCCGGTTGGATAATTCGAACCCAGTCTTCGTACAGAAGAGCTGTTTACAGTACATTGGCTATGTTCTTTGAACGCTTATTTCGAAGTGAGATTGAGTTGCTATCCTTGTAATTCGAAGTTCATTCTTTTCTCCTTCTCTAGCCAAGAGTAGCTCAAAAATTGATTGATGGTCCGCTGCAGGATCGACTATAGCGTTCAAGAAACCCACCTTCTCTCGAAATTTGATTCAAGCCCGTGCTAGGCAAATTGCAAAGGTTTGATTGAAGACGACTTCTTCCAGGTGGCTGACTCTCTTCGCGGATCTCGATGGCCTTTCTTGCCGCGCCAGCTCGTGCGCGGGGATGTTGGCGAACAACAACACTATTGTCGTAAATATTGTCGATGCCTATGCTCAACTTCCGTTCTTCAGAACGATGTGCTGCTGTTCGACGGCCTTTCATGACGCGGATTAGGCAGCGCAGTTCTTTTCCGTTGAAATTGTTTCAGGAAAGCTGCAGTGATTGACAACGTCTTCACTAGAAGATGAAGATAATGTCAAAATGATTTTGTGTCGATCCAGTGTTTTGATGATCCGTTGTACATGACCGGTACGACCACCTATGTTTCGTTGATGCAAATACAAATGTGCAAAAAATATTCAGCATGCGATTTCAAGCATTTTGACATACATATCAGTGCATGGGGCTGCATTTGGATAATTAGAAGTTCTGGATAATTCGAAGTTAGGGCCTGGCAATTTGAGGTTCGAATTAAAGGGAGTCTACCTGTATCTCCATTACATGTACGAGCCCCGGGCTTATACATGTAGGAATCCAAGCAGTCTGGACGCTGGGCGTATATTAGAGACTGGACTTCTACTAGAGACTGGACCTTATACATTTTCATCTATCTGGTACGTTCGGACCTGATTGGAAATTTTTATTTCCATTGCTATCAGGTTCGGCCTCATTTCCTCTGTGCTGCGCTGACGAGTCCACAAAGGACGAAACAGTTCTGTCCGCAGATTGAGTATTTCGCTCCTGCTCTTGTAGCAGTTGAGCACTCTTGCGTGGGGTAGTGCCTTTGCTGTTTGCGTTATGCAGAGCTCACTGACTTGTCAGTTTGAGCACTCTGGCAAGGTACGTTCGGACCTGATTGGAAATTTTTTATTTCCATTGCTATCAGGTTCGGCCTCATTTCCTCTGTGCTGCGCTGACGAGTCCACAAAGGACGAAACAGTTCTGTCCGCAGATTGAGTATCTGGTACATGTATATTGGTTAATATTTTTGTTGTCATACCAGTACACCAGTATACCAGTAGAACAAAGTTTCCCACCAGATACCGTGAATGGCGGTTTTGTACTTCCTGGTATTCTGAGTCTGTGCTTTTTTTATTTATTACGGGGATCACGGACCTGCGCTACAATGTGTGCATGTGATAGTGTGTGACGTCATACATGCATGGACATGTGATAGTGCGTGACGTCATACATGCATGGACATGTGATAAGTTAGTGTGTGACGTCACACATGCATGGACATGTGATAGTGTGTGACGTCACACATGCATGGACATGTGATAGTGTGTGACGTCATACATGCATGGACATGTGATAGTGTGTGACGTCATACATGCATGGACATGTGATAGTGTGTGACGTCATACATGCATGAACATGTGATAGTGTGTGACGTCATACATGCATGTACATGTGATAGTGTGTGACGTCGTACATGCATGGACATGATCCATTATAGTTCTCCATTATAAGGCCGGTGATTTTATTGGAGACTGGGCTTGTATATCTTCGAAGCCCTCCTGGAGTGCGCTTATAATAGAGACTGGGCTTCTACAAGAGACTGGGCTTGTAATAGAGATAATACTGCATACAATATAATGCCCTCACGACTTTTCAACTTACATTCTCCAAGCCTCCAACTTTCAGGCGAAGGTTCACAATCTCCTTCTTCAGCAACTCCATGGTCTGCGATGAACTGGAGATGTTTCCTTGCAGTGTTGTCACCTGCAGCATGGGTTCAAGGTCACAATACATGGGTTCAAGGTCATAATGCACAGAAACACAGTGAGACTATGGCATACTGAAGAAGGAAGCTTTTCTACTGTCGCGGACATGGAAATCCGGTCACACGTCAAGCAGCCCCAGGGAAATCCGGTCACACGTCTAGCAGCCCCAGGGCGCTGGCCATGCAGCCGTGGATAAGCAGTACACACATGCATTTATGCGCTGTAGCGTGCTGGTCGCAGCGGATCAACAAGTGCACTGCACACAGCGTCCTGTACGCGCTAAGGGCGCCGGCCCCGGTCAATCGACTGGATTTCTATGTCCACGACAGTAGTAGACTAAGTTTGTTTCTGGCTGGAATACCAACGCCATATCAACACACTTATACATGTGAGAGCAAAAATGAAGCAACAATGAAACAGGAATGAACTTTGGCAGCAATTTAAAAGCAGCAATGAATGGTATAGACTCTGTTCCACCCTACCGTTGCTCTCAAGTTGGAGATGGTGGCCTGCAAGTTGGAGGAGAGTGTCGACAGTCTTGCACGATCCTGCTCAGACTGTGTGGCTCTTAGTGTGCAGTTGGCCAACAATACCTGCAGACAAGGTCCATCACAACCCAGAACACAATACGCCGGTAAAGATTTGCACACTGTATTAACATGATATTCCAAGGAAACAAGAGCCAAGGAAGAGTTTCAGGGGATGACATAGTTCGCTGGCAATGAGGCAATGAGGCAATATGTTTGAGGAAGTGTTCCATCTATGGCTAACATTATAACAGAGAGGTTCCAGGCTGTCCAAAAGAGAGTGCTCAATACCGAAAGGCAGAGCTAGTTCCAACAAGAATAAGGGTACGAAACACGTTTTTCTCCGAGTTTCACGCACTTTTTCATCCTCTTATTCTTGTACTTCTTGTATGGCTAACATTCTAGCTACACGTGTACACATTAGCATATGCCGTGTGCATCCTAACTCTCTGGACTGCTAGCTGTTGTGACCTTGTCAGGTTTCATCAGCGTCTTGCCACATACATCATGTATACAAACAATAAACTAGCAGGCCTGCTCCTCGGCACACTGACACACTGCTGTACATGTGCTGTGCAGGGTTCTAGCCAGGTCACAATTGTAGGGGGGGGGGGGCAGGGGAAACAGTTACCCCGTAACCCATTTTTCTATTTTCCAAAATTGTCCTGCCATACAAAATGCAACAAACAGGGGTGAACCCCCGACTTCATGCCAGACAAATGTGCCTTTATGAATCCCCTGGTACTAGTAGTGACTATCGACTGCATTTTCGTTGAATGGCATGAAAAACACAAAAAATCGGCAAATGAGTAGGGGGGGGGCACCACTTTCTCACAGGGGGCACTCAATCAGAGTAGGAGGGAGCTGCACCCCTCCCCCCCCCCCCCCCCTGCTTTGGCTAGAACCCTGCTGTGTGTACATGCTGCAATCCTGCTACATACATAATTATACATGTACATGTACTAAGATTGTGCACTTCAAAGTTTGTGCTTGTTGTACAATGTTACGTACCAGTGTTTCCGTCCGCGCATTCGTCAAGTTTTGTATGGTTTCTTGATATCTGTGCACATCTGCAAGGGTCATGTTTAAACTTCTCTGTACCGATGCTAGGCTGGCTTCGCACAACACATGGTCTGTACAACAGGGTGACGTGGGGAGTGTCCCATTCGCCACACAAGGCAATGGCGTGGGAATATCTGGTTGAGAGTCGGTATCCGGTGGACCACTAGGAATTCCCGTAGGTGAAAACGACGCCATTGTTGGTGGGTTAGTGGTTGAGCTCTGTCCAGGACAGCTTGGCTTGTCCACGGGGACACATTGATGGTTTAGCACCGACTTGCAGAAGCGTGTTGCGAAGAAAGGATTGCTCGGGTAGCTCTTGACTCCCGTGTTGAGTTTAATGATTTCGGTCAGCGTCAGGTTGTGTATCATCTCAATCTCGGATTTATTCATGATGCGTTCGTACCAGAAGCGATCGCCGTTGCGAATGGCTTCAAAATTCGCCACTATGATCCTGCAGCACGGCAGAGCAATCACACAACATAATGCAAACAGGGCACACTAGTTCATGTGAAGTTGGTATATAGTCAGATCTCGCTTAACCGCACACATTCGTTTTCCACAAAATATCCGGATGGGCTAAGGAAGCGGATAATCGAACACACATACGGTGTGTATGCATGACGGAAGAAAATCGTTGGTTACCGATTTACAGTCAACTTCGCTAATAACGACTGCGGATATAACGACAATTCGCGAATAACGACAGTATATATTTCCATGCCTAGAGCAAAGTCCCATCCAACTGTTACACATACAACGACACTTCGCTAATAAGGACACTTTTCTGATGCCCCGCCGAGTGTCGTTATAAGCCAAGTTGACTGTACAGCATATTATGCTGTAAATCGGTAACCAACGATTTTCTGCCGGATGACGAGGGAACCGGATAAAATAGGACCGTAAAAGCCAGGTCTGACTGTACCACACTCCAATGATGCACATTGCAGCAGTCAACAAGTAGACTTTACTCAGGTTTAATAAATGTTAGCTAGAGGCATTACTCAGCTCCAGACCAGAATTCAATGTCGGTGTTCAGTGGTGCCGTGGATGACTTAGCAGCTTCCTGGTAAGGACTTTTTTATCCATGAATCTTTTCAGTGTTATTGGTAAGCCTCGGCTAAGTTTGCCAATTACCAGGGAAATCCCCTTGGAAAAGAATTTGTGTTCTCTGTCTTCTAGTGTGGCTTTGCTCAGCTGCTTCCCAAGCATGCGTTAGGACAATGATTGAAAATTCAGCACCAAAATCGCTAAAGACCATTGCTCTTGCATACGACCATAAGTACGAGATATCAACAGAATGCATGTTTTGCTGACAGTCCCGAAAATGTGGTTCCCATTATCCAAAATAGACATTAAACTCACTTGTGAAACATTGGGCCAAGTTCTGATCCGCTGACATGATCTTCAGCCAGCCCACCAACCCAGGCATCTAGCACGTCAACGCTGGGATACACAGCCTTCAACTGGGACACGACTGTCGTGTTCTTTGTGATCTGCGCAATATCTTGATAGACTAGAAGCAAAGCAAGCGCATAGTACAGACAGGGAGAAAGGAAGAATCATGATAGTGCTGAACATGACATCAGCCACCACAAGGTAGGGGCATTGTAGATTTCAACCCTAATCACAACCAATCCTATGCCAGTTAGCACGTTGCGAGGAATCTTGCATTTTGTCAGTGTTGTGTGTTGTTGTGTGTAGCATTTAGGCACGAGTTCACATTGAAAATGAATAGGACAGAAGTGCACCTCACTGCACCAAGATCATACTTATAGTATTATTCTCCACCTTGTCCTACTTATGTGCCCATAGAACCATGTACCCATGTGCTCATGGACCCATGGACCCACGTACCTATAGACCCACGTACCTATGGACTCACGTACCTATGGACCCACGTACCCACGTACCATGTACCCATGTGCTCGTGTGCTCATGTACTCATGGACCCATGTACCTATGGACCCATGTACCCATGAACCCATGTACCCATGTGGACCAATGTACATTTGTAGCCATTAATCCACGTGCATCGGCATAAAAAGCAGGAAAGAAAATTGCATTTAAAGTCTCTTTAAAAAAAGAAGATCCTTCCCAGCGTCAAGATGCACTTGGCTGGGTTGGAAGATACATCTTGTGACTCCAGAGTCAGAATTTTCTGAATTTAGAGCTGGTCTGAGAAAAAAAGCTTGAAATAAAGGCTGCAAAGCTTTTGTGACCCTTATCTAGACCTACATTTGCTGAGGATTTCTTTCCGTGCTGTGTTGTAGTCTGGAATACCATGGTCGCGACTTCGCTGGATATTCAATGCTGCCAAGTCCAAGCCATCACGTCTTCCCACGGGGAATAGCACATTCCTCATGTCGTCAATCATCTGACACACACAGCGGCACACACGCAAACCAGTGGATTCTAATTGTTCTTGTAGAATCATCATTTCGCCGATTTTATTAATTTTATTATTTATTTATTTATCGTCTCCACTTCATGGCACATAACAATACATAGCCATTACAAGAAAGGGAGGATGAATCCAACCACGGAAAATAGCATTATCAAAAGAAGAAAAGGAAGGGAGGTGTCACGATTAACTTCTACGTATTCAAGTACATGTACGATATCTGTGCACGTAGTACCACCATCAGATAATTAGGAGCGGACAGAAGACCTGCACATTCACACACGTATCCAAACAGATGTACTGATCTACACCGTTTCACAGAGACTGAGCTGTATGATACATACCATGTGACTAGCACCTCACATATTGCATAACTATACGCACATCCTGCACAATGGCCCCCGTACTCATGTATACCATGCAGTATCCACACGGTAGTCAATGCTCTGGGACGTCGGAAGTTTAAGGGGAAGTTAAGGCTAAAATCAAAATTTCACCAGTTGTAGTCTTCGGGGTGCTGAGTCAAATGGTCGTGGTCCAAAGAAGCTGAGACGCTCCCTTCCTACTTGAATCCCAATCGAACTCGCGCACTTCCACCGAAACTGGGTGACTGCGCCCCACTAGATGGGGATTTGTATGCAAAATGTCACTAAAAGCGCCATTTCGTTCTTATAAAAGCACGGATGACCGCGATTGGCCCATATGTACCGTACTGGCAATATATGTTGCCGCAGTGAGGCCATGAAGCGTTACATTGGCACATGTTTGCCGCACGCAGGGCGTTACATGCAAAGTCGCACAGGAGCCGTTACACAGGTTTCTATATTGCCGCAGTCCTTTTTTTGCTATTGCCGCATCACTTTTTTGCTATTGCCGCATCATTTTTTTTTGCTTTTGCCGCATCATTTTTTTCTTTTCATCCACATTGAAGGCACAGAAATTCAGTAGCTATCCAACTGTTACAAACCCGACGGCAAAGGGCGACAACGATATCAATAGAAGACTGTATATTTTAACTATCAGAGTGCAAAACGACCTCGGGAAAGAAGAAACCATTGAGATCGCCAACCACTGAATGATGCGCCTTCGAGTGTCAGGACTTCCTGCTGCTGCTGCGTCCAGTTTTGAACTTTTCACCACGCGCGCGGTACACGTGCTTTCACAGTTTTCAGCCTTTTTTTGCAGTGCAAACTGCAATGAAAAGATCGCCGCACCCCGCCGGACGCGCGTTACGAACTCAACGAAAATTTGTCGCACTAGCCTGGTCGCGCGTTACGCCTTGGTGTGAAAGTTGTCGCCTGCTGGCGTGGTGACCAGGTGATTTGGGCACCCAGGAGCACGTGACCGCTTGTTCAACCATGTTCGATTGGGAATAAAGGAGGAACGCTGCATCGCAGCCTTTTCGGACCAAAACCAGTCGACTCAGCGTCCAAAAGACTACAACATATGGGCCAATCGCGGTCATCCGTGCTTTTATAAGAACGAAATGGCGCTTTTAGTGACATTTTGCATACAAATCCCCATCTAGTAGGGCGCAGTCACCCAATTTCGGTGGAAGTGCGCGAGTTCGATTGGGATTCAAGTAGGAAGGGAGCGTCTTAAGCTTTCTCGGACCAAGACCATTTGACTCAGCACCCCGAAGACTACAACTGGTGAAATTTTAATTTTTGCCTTAACTTCCCCTTTAATTTAGGGTGGTGCGGTCAGCCATCTGAGGTTGCAATTTACTTATTGGGACTGCGTGGCTCCGCTGAAAATGTTCGAAATTTAGAGTCTAAATCAATGTTTTTGATTGATTCACGGGTTGCCAGGGACAAAGAGTGGTACGGTCAATACCATAGTGACCGTATCGTGTCCGACACCCCTGCCTGGTCCAATGCATTCAACGCTACACTCTACTCACCAGTGTGTCAATTTCTTGCGCACGCTGTTCCACCATTCCGCGTAGATACGGGTCTACACCGCCTTCGTGCATCACTCTCTCAGGTGTAAAGTAGGCCTCCCTCAGGGCAACATGCCCTACGTGTGGTACACTGCCATTCTCATCAAATCTCCACAGATGGGTGTTCACTTGTGAGTGACCAAATCTATACAAGCCAAACAACAGCAGATGGGCAAGGTTGGGAGTTGTAAAAAATTTACTTTGTGAGGGTAGAGCAGCCTTTGTTAGCTATTGGCATGGCAAACAACAAACTTCACCGTGGAATGTTTAGTTTCAGATGAAAGTCAGGTACTCCGAGAGAGAGAGAGAGAGAGAGAGAGAGAGAGAGAGAGAGAGAGAGAGAGAGAGAGAGAGAGAGAGAGAGAGAGAGAGAGAGCGAGAGAGAGAGAGAGAGAGAGAGAGAGAGAGAGAGAGAGAGAGAGAGAGAGAGAGAGAGAGAGAGAGAGACAGACAGACAGACGGAGAGACAGACAGAGAGACAGAGAGTTTGGTAAAAGCTTGACATGCCTACAATGAGAGTCTATAGACAGACAGACAGAAAGAGACTGGAAGGTCAGGGTTTTCCTTGCTGCATTTCGGTTCCTGTCTGGAGAATCCTGTTCAACGAGAAAACCTAATGCTTAACTTGTGCCCCACCGTTTTCCTTGTTCCCATTTAATGAGAAATCAGTAGAATTTGTTTAACCTTCCGAGCGTAGCTGAAGAACTGCATCAGCCCAATCATGATTACCGAATACATGGCAAGTACTGCAAATCTAGAAGTATTGATATGCAAATGTGGAGCCTCTGTCATTGGTATGAACATGTATCGAGGGAATGAGGTCTGCCGAAAATGACAATGATGGAAAATTCTAATGGGTCTTTCCATTTTGATATGGTAAGCTATCAGCAAGAATAAACTCGGATGACGGGAGAGCCAAGGATTAATTTATAGTGAAGAAAAGACCAAGTAACTGCAAAAAGTGTGCAATTACATGTGCATTGGCATACAAATGTTGGAACACTCAAAACAGCTTCACCTAGGGTTCCCTGTAACAAGGCCATGCCTGTTGGGACTCCCCTAGTCAAATAATAAATACTACTACTACTAAAAAGCTTACGTGGAGATAAAAATGTAAGCTGCGCACTCAGTACAAACACCATTAGCAAAACTTGTTTTCATGTAAATAACTAAGCTTGTTCCTAAACGTTTTCGTCGCCATCTCATCAGAGGATTACTGGCAAATCAAAACTAGCTCTAAACTCAATATATATACGCACATTGCAAGTAATAATTTAGACCCTACCTAGCGCGAGAAAATGTTAGCTGAAAGAAACATTACATCAATCAACGATATCAGGTGACAACAGATGCGATAAATTCACCACTAGAAAGTAACCACAAACGAGAACTACTGATCTAAATTCACAAACAATTTCAACGTAAACAAATTCTTTTTCTGCCTACACGAATTTGTTTACGTTGAAATTGTTTGTGAATTTAGATCAGTAGTGCTCGTTTGTGGTTACTTTCTAGTACTGAATTTATCGCATCTGTTGTCACCTGATGTCGTTGATTGATGTAATGTTTCTTTCAGCTAACATTTTCTCGCGCTAGGTAGGGTCTAAATTATTACTTGCAATGTGCGTATATATATATATTGAGTTTAGAGCTAGTTTTGATTTGCCAGTAATCCTCTGATGAGATGGCGACGAAAACGTTTAGGAACAAGCTTAGTTATTTACATGAAAACAAGTTTTGCTAATGGTGTTTGTACTGAGTGCGCAGATTACTCTATTTATTGCGTTGACTACTACTACTACTACTACTACTAGCTCCATCCTACGCTCCACGACGGGATCTTAATTGTACTGAATAGAAAGAAAGGGTTGCCATAGCCCAGCCTTTTCCATTCGGCATCCTAATGTCGTCAGCTAAAGCATGCCGCCGCATGTACAACAATCCTACTCCGAAGTACAACATATTTCCAGTAGATATCTCACCGGAAAGCAGCCGTTGCAAAGATATTGCTGACGCTGGGATTAACCTTGGAGTCGTAGCCAGTGTACTTAGCCAGGTCCTGCCCAAGCAACGCTGGCAAGTACTCTCTGTATGTGATAGCCTGCAGCTCGGCTATGACAATCCTGCGAGCATATTCAAATACTTCCAAGTCCAGTGCCTGCAGAGGACACAAATCAAGAACAGAGTGCATAGCCTTGTTTACATGGCACCACAACATGGCTGAACGAAGTAAGAGCTACTGTGGTACAATTAGGGCAATGCTGGTCCAGACTTAGGTGCCCGCAAGAAACATGTTTTCTACTTTCCAATTACCTACATCTACATGTACAGTCATAATATGGCGAGAATTTCCAGATTTCCGAGAGTGCTCAACACCACAAGGATGGAACAATACCACAAAAGGCAGAAGAGAAAAGAGACAACTGGCTAGGTCATTGTTGTGACGCTGCGTTTCATGCACATAGCAAAGCTAAGGCAATCCTCAGACAACTGATAATCTGATAATCAACTGATAACCAACATAGCAGCCGGTCCAGTTTTTTAACACAATGCCAAAAAGTGCACAGAATGCAGGATATTGCACCTTAATTTCAAATTTTTCCCGGGCTGACCACCCCTCCGGCCACACCCTCCAACAGCGGTGCTACGCGCCTGATCAACTGATAATCAGCTGATAATCTGATAATCAAATGATAATCAACTGATAATCTGATAATCAAATGATAATCAACTGATAATCAAATGATAATCAACTGATAATCAACTGATAATCAAATGATAATCAAATGATAATCAACTGATAATCAACTGATAATCAACTGATAATCAAATGATAATCAACTGATAATCAAATGATAATCAAATGATAATCAACTGATAATCAACTGATAATCAAATGATAATCAACTGATAATCAACTGATAATCAACTGATAATCAACTGATAATCAAATGATAATCAACTGATAATCTGTACATCAACATATGTACAGTGCTGGCAACTGAAATCCGACCCCTGCCTGAGCGGTGGGTTTACATTCTAGCGGTCTCTGTTTCGTAGTTTTACCATCCCGTGTTGGGTCTTTGCGATGTGAGCGCACCGCTCAGGCAGGGGTCGGATTTCAGTTCCCAGTACTGTACATGCACATGCGCATTGCAATTCCTTTTCATTTCCATACATACACTCTGAACTGGTACCAGTGAAGGGGCATGTTGCGGTGGAAACTGTGCGAGCAACACATCACTATGCGCCGCAGACGTATTGTTTGCATTAACCTTACCGTGGGCTTGCGGGCGATGTAGAGATCACAGAGGCGATTGTGCTCGCGTACAAACAGCGTGTGGAGCACGATCAAACCAGGCTGGACATTAGCTCTAGTATCACCAGCCACACACAGGTATTGACTGGGCCGACCAACAGGGTTGTCATTGGCCAGGCCCATGCGATTCAGCTGCAGGAGGCAGGGGACAGAGACAGGAACGGAAAAACCACTTTCCAGGGCAGAACAATGGACAACTACATTTATTTGCCCAAGCACTAGTGCTGTTTTACGGACCAGTTACTATAAAGTTGAGGAGTAGTAAAGTTGAGGAGTAGTAAAGTTGAGGAGTAGTAAAGTTGAGGAGTAGTAAAGTTGAGGAGTAGTAAAGTTGAGGAGTAGTAAAGTTGAGGAGTAGTAAAGTTGAGGAGTAGTAAAGTTGAGGAGTAGTAAAGTTGAGGAGTAGTAAAGTTGAGGAGTAGTAAAGTTGAGGAGTAGTAAAGTTGAGGAGTAGTAAAGTTGAGGAGTAGTAAAGTTGAGGAGTAGTAAAGTTGAGGAGTAGTAAAGTTGAGGAGTAGTAAAGTTGAGGAGTAGTAAAGTTGAGGAGTAGTAAAGTTGAGGAGTAGTAAAGTTGAGGAGTAGTAAAGTTGAGGAGTAGTAAAGTTGAGGAGTAGTAAAGTTGAGGAGTAGTAAAGTTGAGGAGTAGTAAAGTTGAGGAGTAGTAAAGTTGAGGAGTAGTAAAGTTGAGGAGTAGTAAAGTTGAGGAGTAGTAAAGTTGAGGAGTAGTAAAGTTGAGGAGTAGTAAAGTTGAGGAGTAGTAAAGTTGAGGAGTAGTAAAGTTGAGGAGTAGTAAAGTTGAGGAGTAGTAAAGTTGAGGAGTAGTAAAGTTGAGGAGTAGTAAAGTTGAGGAGTAGTAAAGTTGAGGAGTAGTAAAGTTGAGGAGTAGTAAAGTTGAGGAGTAGTAAAGTTGAGGAGTAGTAAAGTTGAGGAGTAGTAAAGTTGAGGAGTAGTAAAGTTGAGGAGTAGTAAAGTTGAGGAGTAGTAAAGTTGAGGAGTAGTAAAGTTGAGGAGTAGTAAAGTTGAGGAGTAGTAAAGTTGAGGAGTAGTAAAGTTGAGGAGTAGTAAAGTTGAGGAGTAGTAAAGTTGAGGAGTAGTAAAGTTGAGGAGTAGTAAAGTTGAGGAGTAGTAAAGTTGAGGAGTAGTAAAGTTGAGGAGTAGTAAAGTTGAGGAGTAGTAAAGTTGAGGAGTAGTAAAGTTGAGGAGTAGTAAAGTTGAGGAGTAGTAAAGTTGACCATCCAGGAAAGCACATGATTATGTATTAGGTTCCACCGGCATGTCACACCGGCATGTCACACCGGAATGTCACACCGGAATGTCACACCGGCATGTCACACCGGAATGTCACACAGGAATGTCACACCGGAATGTGGTGATGTTGAGGTCTTTTATCTATCTACTTCAAGCAACCATTTCAAACACAAGCAATGAAGTGTTCCATATCCACCAGCACTATTAGTATGCAACATAAGATTAGAAACAATCGCACAGGACTCAAGCTTACTGGAATATACTCCTCTCCCTGGATCTTGTCTACGATTAGCTTCCCGTTCTTGTGCGTTCGCAGCAGTTTGAGTCGGTCTTCGTCGCCATACAGCTGTGTTGCGTCGATGATTGAGGAGATCTTGTTGAACTGTTCACGAGGGCGCTTGAAGGAACGTCCAGTGCATCTGAATGACACAGTCAACCAGTCAAAATAATAGTGAGAATTTATCTCCTGTGAAGGTTTCCCACTTCACAGCTAATAGAGGGAAAGAAATGTGAAACTCGGATTTGTTGACATAGTGTAATTTAACTTGGATACTGAGCTAATACAAATAACTCAAATACAGTAAAACCTGTAACTAACGACCACCCCTTGGTGCCCGGAAAAGTGGTCTTTAGTGGCAGGTGGTCTTTAGTTAGAGGTTTGCACCGCGCGACCATATATGGATCCCACTATATGATAATGTATGTCAAAATGCAGATAATACAATCCCCCACCACTTGCGCACTGACATTCTTCTTTCAGATCATACAACACTTGGAGAGAGAGAAAATCAAGTTTTTTTATACACTGGAAGCGATACGACCTTTTGGCCCGTATGTCTACCAGTAGATCTACGTGATGTGGCGATGTTGCGAGTTTTCGCACCTTCACTCTAGACTATTAATATTATCCGCCATCGTATCCTGGCCTGTGTTCCGTACAGGTGAGTACATGTACCGTAGCATGCTAGCTAGCCAGCACAGACTGTCAGTGTGCCCTGGTGACTGAGCTGTGTGATTGCACTTCGACAGAGAGGTTGTATTTCTCGCCGGCCGAGCGCAGCGAGATAGGCGAGAAATGATTTCTCGCGAAATATTTTTCAGTTGCAAATATGGCATCTGGTGTGTTCTTTGTTGTCGCTTCTTTTCCTGACTTCTTCAGTCAGTTTTGAGTCTCACCAGTGTCCCTGCCCTCCCACCCTTTATTTCTGTGCATATTATCAATGCTTTTTATCACTGTTTGCCGTGATGTGCTTGCCATGCCTACATGATGCCTAATCGCCATTGGGGATATACACCCGGTTTTTTCCCTCACAAATGCGTCCGTCGGCGCGAGGGTTTTTTCCCGGCTGGCTCGGTCCAGGAAAATTAATCTGACGGTCCCAAGTGGTTCTGCATCATGGCCTATTTCTGCTATCCACTGGCACGACTATTCTTTCTGAGACACTCTGTTCTCAGTCCTTGCTTGCTTCCATACCTCACTCGTTATCCGGTTCACATCTGGCTGCGGCCAACTACCAAATGAGACTGCGTTCATTTGTCCAGCTGTAGTATCGAAACGACCATGGAAAATCATCAAAATTTCGAGAAAGAGCTTCGAGCAATGTTTGATTTGCTACATCGCGGTCGCTAGTTACGGGTCAAAATTCGACATTGGGACAAGAAAAGGCGGTCGCTGGTCGCGTTCAGCAGGTAGTTGCTAGTCACAGTGCATTTTGAATGTGATACCGTCCGTGCCTGACGAAGTGGTCGGTAGTACCAGGCCGGTCGCTAGTCACGGTGGTCGTTAGTTACAGGTTTTACTGTAGAAGAAATCACACATGGAAACAAGTTATGAAGCAACTATATTATTATCTTGTTACAGTCGTGGATAGTTGCTTCATACCTCGTTTCCATGTGATTTCTTCTATTTTAATGATAATTATAGTGTTCCTTACCTTGAGTAAGTGGTGCGGACAAAGCTCATGAACTTGCTGCCTTCAACATAAGGATCGAAGTGAACATCACCCTGTGCACAAGGCAAACCATCACCATATCCAATTAAACTGAAGGATAATAAAAAGAATAGTGAACCATGGGGAAATGGGTCTTTTGCGCTACCTCTGTGCAAGATCGCATGACAGGAGATTGCCGCGGAAAACCTCTCTCCACAGTACATAAATAGCAGGACAAAAGCAGCTTTCTGAAACAGGACCGGTGGTAGACACTGACCTTTGGAATGCCGATGGGAAACCACACGTCACCTCGGTCAAGGTCAGTTTCAAATCTTGGAAGAGGACTGGAGAAATCAGTGTCGTGAGCCAGGAACTGAAATAGAAAACAATAAATAAGAGAGTGATCCAGTCAAGAAGAAATCCAACACCAAGTGTAATGTTAATACCTACCGTATTTCCGCGCATATAAAGCCATGGCGTTATATCCGAATATAAGGCCACTCTCACTCATAAAGCCATGGCGTTATAAGTGAACAAAATTCAATGTGGAGGAAGTTGCATCCGGCATTAAAGGTGAGTTCAATTCTTTCAGTGAACCTACAGGAGCGGTGATTCTCTCTGCATGTACCCATCCCCACTGTCACATGCCATACCACCACCGCACCTTCACACAAGTTTGTATGCCACCTTGTACACAATAGGTTCACAATTTGAAATTTTCACGGAAAATTGAAAGTACATGGATGCTCGACATGAACGTGCAACGGCACCATACGAGTACTCGAAGTTAAAACTCTGCCGATTTTTGCATGTAAGCGCCTCTCACTTTTAGCGCCATGGCGTTAAAACCGAGGCTTTTTTCTCCAAAAAATTGGTTTAAAACAGCGATGTTTCACCTATAACGCCATGGCTTTATATGCGCGGAAATACGGTATGACCACCACCACCACCACAGTGCCAGGGTTCAAACCGGGATGTCTGTCATTTTAAACACCGCATTTTACCGTTAATAAATCGACCCACGTTGGGTCTTCCACTTACCGGCTTAATGAGTCAATATGATCCATAGCAACTAAACCCCGGTTGAAAGTCGACTACCCCTTCCTTTAATCCGGTTTTAGGTAATAAAAGGTCGACTTATAGCCAAACAAAAGTACGACAGATAGCATACAAAGGTTTGCCACGGGTATGAGCAAAGCGTCTTGGCCTGTCCAGCTCCGGTTTGTGGCTGAGCTGTGGGAGCTTTGCCGTGATAGCATTCCAACGTGTCCTAAATTGTTTGCCCAAACCATATTCTGCCATGGCATGGAGCATCCGCCAGTTCAGTACCAGGACTACTGCTACACATGACAAGTACCCTGGACTAGTCCAAGCAGTTGCTACACTAGTACCCTGGACTAGTCCAAGCAGTTGCTACACTAGTACCCTGGACTAGTCCAAGCAGTTGCTACACTAGTACCCTGGACTAGTCCAAGCAGTTGCTACACTAGTACCCTGGACTAGTCCAAGCAGTTGCTACACTAGTACCCTGGACTAGTCCAAGCAGTTGCTACACTAGTACCCTGGACTAGTCCAAGCAGTTGCTACACTAGTACCCTGGACTAGTCCAAGCAGTTGCTACACTAGTACCCTGGACTAGTCCAAGCAGTTGCTACACTAGTACCCTGGACTAGTCCAAGCAGTTGCTACACTAGTACCCTGGACTAGTCCAAGCAGTTGCTACACTAGTACCCTGGACTAGTCCAAGCAGTTGCTACACTAGTACCCTGGACTAGTCCAAGCAGTTGCTACACTAGTACCCTGGACTAGTCCAAGCAGTTGCTACACTAGTACCCTGGACTAGTCCAAGCAGTTGCTACACTAGTACCCTGGACTAGTCCAAGCAGTTGCTACACTAGTACCCTGGACTAGTCCAAGCAGTTGCTACACTAGTACCCTGGACTAGTCCAAGCAGTTGCTACACTAGTACCCTGGACTAGTCCAAGCAGTTGCTACACTAGTACCCTGGACTAGTCCAAGCAGTTGCTACACTAGTACCCTGGACTAGTCCAAGCAGTTGCTACACTAGTACCCTGGACTAGTCCAAGCAGTTGCTACACTAGTACCCTGGACTAGTCCAAGCAGTTGCTACACTAGTACCCTGGACTAGTCCAAGCAGTTGCTACACTAGTACCCTGGACTAGTCCAAGCAGTTGCTACACTAGTACCCTGGACTAGTCCAAGCAGTTGCTACACTAGTACCCTGGACTAGTCCAAGCAGTTGCTACACTAGTACCCTGGACTAGTCCAAGCAGTTGCTACACTAGTACCCTGGACTAGTCCAAGCAGTTGCTACACTAGTACCCTGGACTAGTCCAAGCAGTTGCTACACTAGTACCCTGGACTAGTCCAAGCAGTTGCTACACTAGTACCCTGGACTAGTCCAAGCAGTTGCTACACTAGTACCCTGGACTAGTCCAAGCAGTTGCTACACTAGTACCCTGGACTAGTCCAAGCAGTTGCTACACTAGTACCCTGGACTAGTCCAAGCAGTTGCTACACTAGTACCCTGGACTAGTCCAAGCAGTTGCTACACTAGTACCCTGGACTAGACCAAGCAGTTGCTACACTAGTACCCTGGACTAGTCCAAGCAGTTGCTACACTAGTACCCTGGACTAGTCCAAGCAGTTGCTACACTAGTACCCTGGACTAGTCCAAGCAGTTGCTACACTAGTACCCTGGACTAGTCCAAGCAGTTGCTACACTAGTACCCTGGACTAGTCCAAGCAGTTGCTACACTAGTACCCTGGACTAGTCCAAGCAGTTGCTACACTAGTACCCTGGACTAGTCCAAGCAGTTGCTACACTAGTACCCTGGACTAGTCCAAGCAGTTGCTACACTAGTACCCTGGACTAGTCCAAGCAGTTGCTACACTAGTACCCTGGACTAGTCCAAGCAGTTGCTACACTAGTACCCTGGACTAGTCCAAGCAGTTGCTACACTAGTACCCTGGACTAGTCCAAGCAGTTGCTACACTAGTACCCTGGACTAGTCCAAGCAGTTGCTACACTAGTACCCTGGACTAGTCCAAGCAGTTGCTACACTAGTACCCTGGACTAGTCCAAGCAGTTGCTACACTAGTACCCTGGACTAGTCCAAGCAGTTGCTACACTAGTACCCTGGACTAGTCCAAGCAGTTGCTACACTAGTACCCTGGACTAGTCCAAGCAGTTGCTACACTAGTACCCTGGACTAGTCCAAGCAGTTGCTACACTAGTACCCTGGACTAGTCCAAGCAGTTGCTACACTAGTACCCTGGACTAGTCCAAGCAGTTGCTACACTAGTACCCTGGACTAGTCCAAGCAGTTGCTACACTAGTACCCTGGACTAGTCCAAGCAGTTGCTACACTAGTACCCTGGACTAGTCCAAGCAGTTGCTACACTAGTACCCTGGACTAGTCCAAGCAGTTGCTACACTAGTACCCTGGACTAGTCCAAGCAGTTGCTACACTAGTACCCTGGACTAGTCCAAGCAGTTGCTACACTAGTACCCTGGACTAGTCCAAGCAGTTGCTACACTAGTACCCTGGACTAGTCCAAGCAGTTGCTACACTAGTACCCTGGACTAGTCCAAGCAGTTGCTACACTAGTACCCTGGACTAGTCCAAGCAGTTGCTACACTAGTACCCTGGACTAGTCCAAGCAGTTGCTACACTAGTACCCTGGACTAGTCCAAGCAGTTGCTACACTAGTACCCTGGACTAGTCCAAGCAGTTGCTACACTAGTACCCTGGACTAGTCCAAGCAGTTGCTACACTAGTACCCTGGACTAGTCCAAGCAGTTGCTACACTAGTACCCTGCACTAGTCCAAGCAGTTGCTACACTAGTACCCTGGACTAGTCCAAGCAGTTGCTACACTAGTACCCTGGACTAGTCCAAGCAGTTGCTACACTAGTACCCTGGACTAGTCCAAGCAGTTGCTACACTAGTACCCTGGACTAGTCCAAGCAGTTGCTACACTAGTACCCTGGACTAGTCCAAGCAGTTGCTACACTAGTACCCTGGACTAGTCCAAGCAGTTGCTACACTAGTACCCTGGACTAGTCCAAGCAGTTGCTACACTAGTACCCTGGACTAGTCCAAGCAGTTGCTACACTAGTACCCTGGACTAGTCCAAGCAGTTGCTACACTAGTACCCTGGACTAGTCCAAGCAGTTGCTACACTAGTACCCTGGACTAGTCCAAGCAGTTGCTACACTAGTACCCTGGACTAGTCCAAGCAGTTGCTACACTAGTACCCTGGACTAGTCCAAGCAGTTGCTACACTAGTACCCTGGACTAGTCCAAGCAGTTGCTACACTAGTACCCTGGACTAGTCCAAGCAGTTGCTACACTAGTACCCTGGACTAGTCCAAGCAGTTGCTACACTAGTACCCTGGACTAGTCCAAGCAGTTGCTACACTAGTACCCTGGACTAGTCCAAGCAGTTGCTACACTAGTACCCTGGACTAGTCCAAGCAGTTGCTACACTAGTACCCTGGACTAGTCCAAGCAGTTGCTACACTAGTACCCTGGACTAGTCCAAGCAGTTGCTACACTAGTACCCTGGACTAGTCCAAGCAGTTGCTACACTAGTACCCTGGACTAGTCCAAGCAGTTGCTACACTAGTACCCTGGACTAGTCCAAGCAGTTGCTACACTAGTACCCTGGACTAGTCCAAGCAGTTGCTACACTAGTACCCTGGACTAGTCCAAGCAGTTGCTACACTAGTACCCTGGACTAGTCCAAGCAGTTGCTACACTAGTACCCTGGACTAGTCCAAGCAGTTGCTACACTAGTACCCTGGACTAGTCCAAGCAGTTGCTACACTAGTACCCTGGACTAGTCCAAGCAGTTGCTACACTAGTACCCTGGACTAGTCCAAGCAGTTGCTACACTAGTACCCTGGACTAGTCCAAGCAGTTGCTACACTAGTACCCTGGACTAGTCCAAGCAGTTGCTACACTAGTACCCTGGACTAGTCCAAGCAGTTGCTACACTAGTACCCTGGACTAGTCCAAGCAGTTGCTACACTAGTACCCTGGACTAGTCCAAGCAGTTGCTACACTAGTACCCTGGACTAGTCCAAGCAGTTGCTACACTAGTACCCTGGACTAGTCCAAGCAGTTGCTACACTAGTACCCTGGACTAGTCCAAGCAGTTGCTACACTAGTACCCTGGACTAGTCCAAGCAGTTGCTACACTAGTACCCTGGACTAGTCCAAGCAGTTGCTACACTAGTACCCTGGACTAGTCCAAGCAGTTGCTACACTAGTACCCTGGACTAGTCTGTTGGAGAACATGCACTCCACGCCGGCTTACGGCCAGTTCACTCACAACACCACAGAGC